ATATTTTTTTTATATTGACAGTAATAGTATTCACATGTAATTAAATTCACACTGATCAACGTTTCCAGTCACCACATGCTTTTTTCTGCATAACCACTTCCAAAATTCCTGTCTGTTTTTTCCAGTATAACTTGGCTTTGTATTGCAGCTCTGTGCTGGATGAAGATTTTTTTAGCAAGTTGGCTGCAGAAGCTGAAAATGATGAGCCAGTAAGAATGTATACGTGCAAGAAGTTCACCACAATAATTTACAGTTCCCTATTTACAAATAGTGATGGTGCTTGTTGTTCCAGTGGGTGGGGTTTGTGCATTTAGAGCTTTGAGTAGTTGTTTTAATACCATTAATTATTGAATAGAAATAGTAATACTATATTTCCTACTCATGATGTTATTGTTTCTCCTAAGACAAAATCATCGTGTGTTATGAGTATGCCAGAATTTTAATCTATTACATGCATAAAATCTGACATGTTTCAGGCATGGTGTATATGACTGGTTGCGTTTGTGTGGCAGGGATCGGATGTCTCTGACGCTGATCCCCAGGCTGTACTTAACACGATGGAGGTGAGACTCATCATTGCCTTACACTCCTGCCTTTTGGGATGGCCACATTTTCTAAAACTCTTTGAGTTGATCTAATGGTCAAAATGGCCACACATTCATTCTTTTTAGCTGGTGATCTTGATGAGGCTGAAAACTTTTGTATGTGCAATGCACATCTCTGTGTATTGTTCAATCTATTTATTTTCTGGCCGACACACATTTTTCTGTTCATCATTTACTGATTAAAATGATTTGTTTACACTCACCAAGCATATCACAGTGCTAATCACTTGCTACTATGACACTAAAGTGCATATTTGATACATTGAGTCATCTGAAGCAGTAAGATAAACTATTCATAATAAAGTTTTTTGGTTAGATCGCGTTATTTATAAATGTGTCATAACCCTCCACCACCCGACACGGCCAAACAGTTAAAAATGTGTCACGTTTACAAAAGACAAACAGTTCACTACTTTAGAACTACTTTAGAACTATTTGTCTTTTGTAAACGTGACACATTTTTTACTGTTTGGCTGTGTCGGGTGGTGGAGGGTTACGACACATTTATAAATAACGCGATCTAACCCAAAAACTTTATTATGAATAATATTGATCGTAAAGCCGACGTGTGAAGATCAAATTAATTTCGCATTTTATCCCAAGGTCTCGTTTGCAAAATAAACTTGTCTCAGTTGGTTTTCCTCTGATTGTAAGGACTGTTCATAATTCTATCATTTCTGCAGTGTCCTCAGACTTAGTGAGTGTAAAGGAGTTTGTCGTTATATTTTCTGTTGGTTGGTCGGTTATACATCCCACAAAAAAGGAAATATACAGTAGATTCAAATGTCTTATTCCAAGGTTTATGGATATGAAACATTCTAAGAATTTCTGACTGACCATAAAATGCTGAACAAACAAATCCAAAATAATAATTGTAAAGAAAAACTTAAAAGTTTACAAGAAAGTAAATGTCAACTACATTTGAAAGGTCATCACGTCATTACGTCAATGTCAAAGTATTGCGCAATTTGAATTTTTTTCAACGAGTTAATCTTTTAAATCACAGTTACTATATTTTCAATTCTATTTTTGTTTCACTTAACTTCGCAGTTTATTTCATAATCATTGTGTTAAAAATATATTAGTATTAATATAGTTTATTGTTTTGGATCAGTCACCAATTATTACACAATAACCCAAATTCGTTTTTTACTTAATTTGGCTTGAATTACTAATAACTTCAGTTTCTTTCCACAATGCCAAACTCTCATAAATAGAATTGAATAGGCAACCCAATGTAGTACCCTCCTGAAAAAAACTTTAGACTTAGTGAGACTTTCCTGTACAATAGCCTCGCATTTTACGTGCATTTATGTAACGCAATTTTGAAATAGGTTAGATTAATTTACACTTATTTTTGTTATGCACGCACTATTATCGAAATAACGTGCTCCAGCACATTGGCCATGGTGTACAGAACGTGCTGCGAGCTAATCTTGAGTCAGGCAGCAAAGTTCAGTAGCGACTCCTGAGGTGCAACACGACAATCACAAGCGCGGGCAGCATTAGCAGCAGCTCCTTCTCGTCGCCACTTGGAAGATCTTGTCCACGTGAACTTTGTCTTGTGTACCATTTGCCTACCAATGTGTCTGTTAAGCATCTCACAGTGTTACAACTCGTTTCGTTTTACTTCACTTTTTTAGTTCTTTAAATAGGCTGTTCAATTTTTATACGTGTATGGTATTGTAAAAAGATAACGTACTGTAACCAGTAAAATATGTAGACGTACGAATTAGCTTAGATAGCGTGCTCTCCCTAACCCCAAAACAATTTCCTTTATTTCTTATAGGAAAAATTATGTTTTAATTTACGCGATTTTGAGTAACGCGCCGTTTTTCAAGAACACAATCCCCGTATAAAACGAGTTAGACGTATAGATAATTGGCATTTAACTGGCATTAATACTGGTAGGAACCTCTTGGTTACACCAGCCCACAGGGGATTATTGTGTCCGTCCGTCGTGCAGGGAGGGGCTGGGTGGGGAGGGGCTGGGTGGGGAGGGTGAGGAGGGACTGGGTGGGGAGCGTGGGGGGTGGGGCTGGGTGGGGAGGGGCTGGTAACCCCGTGGTGCCCTTATAAAACTCAACGTTTAACCTACTCACGCCGGCTTGTGCTCGCCCTCACAGTCGGGCATATTTGCGGAATACACCACGCCGCCGTTGACCCTGGCCAATGACCGAGCAACCCAACATTCCTACCAGCTCCCTCCGCAGGAATGTGTTAGAAAATGGACAATACATTGCATTATTACTCATGAAATATAATGCAATAACCACAGGAATAGCATTTGGAGAAGTGCATTATATGTTTTTTTTATTAAACTGCCTATTTTAAAGCATATGCGGGAAAGTGCAGGGTGGACTGTGTGCCATCCTGCAGTGGGCATCATTGGTTAAAGCACTGGGTGAACATGTCACTGCTCCCAACTTTCTTGTCACATTGTTAATGTGGAAATGGCCTAGATCATACTCATGTGATCATGACCATTCCATAATCTGTGAACCATTGCCACACTCCTTCAGTGAATCATGTCTGATACAACCTTTTAATCTTTTCCCTTTTTAGACCAAAAATGTACGTGGGCAATGTGACCACTAACACCAATTATCATTTGGCTCTTGCTCAACACTCGCAGTTCTTGTGAACAAGTGTTGCTCCATTTCTGCAGAAATTTGGTCAGTGCCCCTCGGCACAAAATAATTCCTTCACCAGTAGTGCGCATACAGTAATGATAACTGACCAGCACAAAGCAGTGGCTGGTAGATGTTGGATAAGCTTTTTCATTTTAGAATACAACAGTTTCTTAATACAAGACAATACCTATATGTCCAGTGCATGTTTTGGTAAAAGTTTTTTGTCCAATTTTAGATCATGGATAAAATTAGTAGAATGTTAAATTTGGCCGCTTCTTTTCACGCTACTGTATGAGTTGAAAGTATATATTAGTTAACATATGATTGGGCCCTGTATGTTTTGGATGCCACAATATGTTCTCGTGTGATATATGCATGGGTACTGCTTCATCGGCTGATGAAAATACCAAATGTAAAATGCACATTTTTGTGGAACAAGAAAACAAGCAAAACACTGTTTTGGCAGGAGGGCAGCCTCAAGTTCATAGCAACAGATTTTGACGAAAAGATGTCAGTAAACATGTTGACCACTTCTGTTGATGTTGAGTTTCACATACGCATGCACATTTAGAAAATATGGAAACTGACAGTAATTTAAAGGTTTAGTTAACCATATTCCATATCTGTAAACTCATGATGAAAATGTAGTTTGAAGCAAACCAAACAAAAACGTACACGGTAACTTCACACTCTTTAATCACAATATTCAATGTGTGTTGAGTATTAGCGACTGACATGAAGGCAATAGAAGCAAACACAGTGTCTGCAATTGATATAAGATACGCATACAATAGCAACCCTTTACAGAATTGTACGTGTTGTAAAATAACTGGAATATATAATTTTATTAAAGAGAGGTTTATTTTTTATGGAAGGTGCCACGATGCATCTTTCCATTGATACGTGTTCGTATGTAAACATGTGTTTTCGATAACATATGTTGTATACTACATATGGTTGAGTTTTGCTACAAGTCTTAATGACCAACAATAGTACAGAGTGTGATGTACTTGTCATTAGCGCAGGATTGAAACCCATTAATGACATTATATGAAGTTAAATATATAACCCAGCAATGTGTTATCCCTTTATGTACAATGAGATGCTTTAATCCATGGTTTCAGTAAAATCTACTACCCTTCAGAGGAAGATTGGTTTAAAAGTTTCATTCCAACAGCTTGGTTAAAATGAGGTTAAATGCATGGAACGTAATTGAATTTGATTGACTAATTATACAGTGAAATGTAGATATGATGGCTGTCTGAGTGACTTGCTGAACTGATCCCATACACCATTTAGTAAAGTTCAATGCTCAGCGTGGTATGACACAAATAGGTTTGGTCTGCTCTGCTAGATTATTTAGCGTAGGTTATTCATAGGTTCAAAGCTGAACCTGTCTTGTTCCCCCCACTTCACAAACTGACACCGACCAGCACAGTGAAGTAAGGTCAAACAACCCCAAGATTGAAACAGTGTGAAGCCTTCATTTAGCAGTAGATTGACAAAGGGCAGAAATTCAATCATTTCATTCTTCAACAATTATATATTTTAAAAAAGTGATTCTAAAAGACATGACATGACTCATGATAGTATTTCGAGATTATTACAGGAAGTTATTCATTATTAAAAGTGGTTTCATGATTTTCATGGTTTGTAGTAAAAAGGTTGCACTTAATGTAGTGTGAAAACAATAGAAATTAGCCTCAAATATAGTGACCAGGTGATTTTAAATATTAAGTTCAGGTGCTACCTATGAGATAATATTGTGTTTGGGGATTCTGTCCATTGAGTGTGCCATATGTTGTCTAGGTTTATTTAGTGCACTTACCATAAGATGTTTGCGTTATTCACAGTAGGCTTTTGTCAACATAAAACAAGACTGCAATATAAAATCTACATTATTTGCTCATTAAAGACATTTGTTTTTTTGCATATTTGTTACATTCACTTCCAACATTGATTTAAAAAAATGTTAGTACGATACTCTAAATCACCTCAATTATTATACAGGAGTTTTGTGTTAATAAGTCTTTCAAATGAATACACGTGTTTTCTATTTGGCATGTAAAGGCAGAAGCATGCACTGGTAAATTTGAACACATGTTGCAGTGTTATGGCTAAGGCGACATGTAGGCACAGTGTGTCAAACCGTGGCCCTTTCCTAAATGCACACTTAAAGGGACGCTCAGTCAAGCAGGGAGTACATTTGCAGGACGCATGTGGGAATGCATCGCATCGTGTCTCTCTCCATCAACCTTGTCCCATGCACAGATGCCGCAGTACGCCTGCAACATAAATACGCATATCGCGAGTGGGCTGAAGAGAAGCAGCACTGGCCAAAGCTGTAGCAGGCACACGGCCAGGAAGATGAGCAGCACGACTCTGAGCCATCGTCTTGGTTCCACCAACACAATCCGAAACATAGATGGCATGAAAAAGTAATCCTTCATCTTCTGCAGGACAGTCTTGCACTTGTATTCTGTCACACTGTGAAGGGCGACGTCCTGTTTGAGCACAGTCACAATGCATTGGCACCTTGCGGCATATCTTGCATCCTGTGTAATGGGTCTGGACTCAATATCCCCAGCCGGATTTTCTTTGTAGAAGATATAAAGCATCATTTCATAAAAAATCCCAAAATATGAACGATGATCGGCTTTGATATGGGTCTTGTGTTTGTTTGCGATTGATGCTTCTCCAGCTGTTGCTTTTGCAGTGTCTGGCAGCTGTCCAGCATTTCCCCCCGCCAGGGCCAGCACACTCGTGGGTTGATGGGGAGAGGCATCCATTGCAAGCAGCACCACCGTTAGGCAACTCGCGAGGTCGGCTCTGAAAATGATGCATATCAGAATCGGAATCTTTATTTAGACTGTAAGAGGAATCCAATGCGCTGTCAAGCTCTTTTTTACAGATGTCCAGTCAGGGCGGGTCAGAAAGTTACAACAGTAATACAATAAACTGATAGGAGTGTAAAGTATAGGAAAGGTAAGCAAGTAACTAAATCTAAATAAAGTACATATGTATAAATTGCTAAATTAAATCAATTCCTTTCCACAATAAATGCAAGCTTGGGCAAGGCAGCAAAACAACAGTCCCAGACGACAGCCAGACAACGACAGCCCCTCAATAAATGTACACATTAAAATGTTACAAAAATGTTACTATCGATACACGGGTTCGATCAAAGTCACAAACCACATTTGCAAATGTGATGGTATCCAGAACTAATCTTCTGCTTCAGGATATTTTTAAAAGAAGATTTACGATGATAGAGACAAGGTGTTTCCAAAACTTTGGTGCGCAACGGCAAAGTCTTTGTTATCTATTCCAATTCTTGTTCTTGGGGTAGTTAAAAGGCAATTCGATGTACATCTTGTGTTTGACAGTGGAAGTAATGCATTGTCAAAGTATAGCGCAGATTTGCCAAAAACAGATGGCGATTTTCTGAAATTGTATCTTATTCAAAATAAGTAAATACCACCGAGGTTTTATTTACAGTTTTGACCGAGTAAATATCTGTTTCCTGGCTGCCGACAAAAGGGATACGCCACAGGTTACCATTGTTTGAACACTCACGTGTTTCATTTCCCAAAACAAATTTTGGGTTTGAGTAAAAACAAAATGGGTATTTTATTTTAATGTTTTGCTCAAAACATAAATTGCGTAATCTTCGTTTACTAATCTCATGACCATGTTCCTATTGTTTTACTATATCGTGCTTGATGATCAAAACCAGTTTGTCTTACAAATAGTTGAACGATGCAGTCTTTTGCCAACATGTAAACCAAGCTTAAAGAACACATCCCCATGCAGTAACGTACGATAACCATTGCAATGAATACACGATATAGTAGTAGTGCATTTGGCACTTTATTTACAGTCCGCATTGCCAGTTTATTTACAGCACCCATTGGATATTGCTTTGATGCTAACAACGTAGTCCAATGGAAAACAAGTCTGCACTTAGTTGCTTTAGCCTATAGCCGTACCTTCTTTACCAGATGGTGTGAGCTCTCGCGGCCTGGAGTACGCGTCGCTCCAATGTTGCTGCGCGGCTCGTGGTGTGACAGCAGCAGCAGCAGTGGCCCCCAGTGCCCTGTGAGAGGCCTCCTCCTCCTCTGCTGTGGCTGGCGGTGCTGCCACGAACTTGAGCTTCATGGTTGCAGCCTATCGCGATGCATATTCAGTGGGTGTGTCGTGTAGAGCCGACCAATTGGCGTTTGCTTGCCAAGCAGTAACTTGAGACGAAGGGACGGGTTACGAGAGGTCGTGTCCGAGCTGCGTTATGGAGCTCTTGGGAAGGGGCAGCAGCAGTGGGCGAGGGGCAGGCACATGGCGGTGTAGACACGCGGCAATTCGCCACTGCTCAAATAGCCCCCCACCCACCACCACCGATGTTTGAGGCCCCTTACAAGGTTAGCAAAAAGTGTTTGTGTTGAGGCCAGTGTAAAATATTACTTGCAGATATGTGGCTTTTAAAAAAATCCGACTGGAAGTGACGTTGGGTGCTATGTTTAGTTGATTCAGATCGCTTGTTTTGTAAGGTTGGAGGAGGTTAAGGTATAGTGGGTTTAATAAGAGAGGGGGATGTGGTTGGGAGAGCGTTGCAAAGGCGACGAGTGTGTTTGTTTTAGAACCCCGCATGGCCTCGCATATGAGGATTCGGTGTATAATGGGGCTCATGATTTTGGAGATAACTCCACGTTATGCCTGTCTGAGAATACTGACTTTAATACCGTCTTAGGTTTATCCCAAAATAAATTTGTTGTCCAATAATGAGGAATATTTGAGCATATTTTAGACATATATAAACACATTCTTAGAATCATGAGTTACTTAACGTTTTTCAATTACAGAGATGTTTCTCTTTTACCACCTGTGTTGCTGTGTGATGGTGATTTAACTTGTTTTGCATTTTGTTCCAGATTCGAACCCTAATTGATTATAATCAGTCACGTGTAGCTCATTTAAATGTACGATGTGTTTCACCGTGTCAATTGTATTACAAAATATAAAGGACTTTTACATTTTCTTCTGAGGAAGAGATGTTTTTGTCTCATTGTTCAAATAGTACCAAGTGCTGCAGGGCAGTGATTTTGGACGCTTTTAAACTTGTTCATACCTAACACCTCACGGGTATTCCTATTAAAACAAGCTGTTGGCTCTTAATTACAGTCATAACTCTTAATGGCAAATGGGGCTATATAACAATTTATCCAAGCTCACGGTTACTTCAGAGTTAATGGACCTTTATTTTGCTGGAATTTCAAATATATGTTAATTTGAAGTTTGTTAATACAAAGCCATTGTTTAAATAAAAATATGCACAATTTTCACTGTAAATATGCAAAATAGTGTGCATTGTTTTCAAAGCTTGAACCAGAAAGTTATACTTTTGATGTTATTCTAGTCCTAAATGAGAATCCATGTGTTTTTTTAGGAAGGTTGAGGTAATCGGCATGTTATTGAGTAAATCTAGATGAAAAATAATTTACAAATTCACTTCATATTTCACTAATTAAAATCAATACGAGTCTTAAATGCCATCATGCACGTATGCGGCACATTGCTATACATAAAACATTTACCCACATCTCTATTCCACAACAGGACATTGATGACATGGACGCAGATCTTTTTGGAAAAATGAAGAAAACTGGGCCGCCTGCCAGCCAGCATTTTAAAGCAGGACCAGGGCAACTTGCACAGACTCGAGGCCCCAAGACACCTGTTCCGGCAGTGACAGAAAGCACTGCTCAAGAGAAATCCCAATCCTCGCCAGCACGTTTGGCTCCTGCGAAAGGTAAATCTGTTTACATTTTGTACATTATTTTCTGTTTTTGTTGAAACAATGATCATCGAGCAGCAGCAACAATCGTACCCAAGCCAGTTTAATGCATGCATCTGAGCGGATATGCATCACACCTCAATAAACATTCCTAAACTTGAAATGGTCACGCCCAAATATCCAGAGTGGGTTAAAAGTAATGCTGTAACCAATACGTCACTGCTTTGTTACTTGGCGGTGTCACTTCCTCAAATTCTGCTCACGCACGCAGGAATGCAGAGGTGATTCTGCATTCTCTGCAGGAGGAGCCAGCTAAGAGCTTTATTGGTCTGTTTTCAGATATGTTTACCGAAATGTTAAATCAGATGATGGTCTGCTAGATTCTGCTAGATACTTTGATATGCTGCGAAAGTACTATAGAGTATTTAGGAAGCGAAGTCAAATTGAAGACGAAACATTTTTTTGTTAAAAGAAATAGCAGTGCTTAGATTCATTGGTGCCCTGATCCACATTGCCATGGTTGGGGCTAGCATTTCTATAGGACACCCACAATCAAGTTCATACAAATTGCTACTCATTGACCCTCGAGGGATGGCAGGCAGAGTCAATCCCCGACCAGGTCTTGCACTTATAATCTTCCATTTGTCAGTCGCAAGCTCTGATCCTACCTGCACCTGGCTGGTTATGACATGAGCTAAATTGATAAAAAAGCGAAGAAACACATTGTTATTCTTCGATTAAATCAATCAAACTTTATTTAAATAAAGAAACATAAATAGAAAAAAAGCTTTATTTTCACTTAGCTTGAGTCCTGATGCTAGCTTGTAGTCAGAAGGCGGGCAATGAGTCACCACAATTGCACACACACACACATGGGGCACGCGCACACATGCACAAAGACACACACCCCTAACGACAATGATCCCCCGAGTAGCCTTAACAGGCTGTGCTGTTAGCAGCGCCGATGAAGGCCGCCACGGCACACGAGGGGGTGGGTGGCCAACACCACTCCCAGCCACGATTGTCTCCCCAGTGGTGATGTTTACATACCAGGTACTGGTGTTGGCTGTGAGCAAGAATCGAACTCAGGTCGCTGCTTTTGTAGCGCTTCCCACACACAACAACAACAACAACCGCCATTCGCCACTAAGTGGCAGTGACGTCACCACGACGCTTGTGCCAGGCCAAGTGCACCTTGAGGCCACGTGAAGTGTCGAACGCCCGCTGGCAGGAGGTCACGGGGCAGACCCAGCAGGTGCCACGGGTCGACTGACCGAGATGACCGAGATGACTGGCTGATGCACCACCTTTGCCCCCTACTGTACCAACTTGCTGTGCTTTAGCCACCCGGCGCTCCGCTCGTTGTTGTGAGCGTCTCTCCTCCGCCCTCCGTTGTTGTTGTAGGGCGACTGCCTCCAACTGCCCAGTAGCGTCCTTCACGAGCCTCCTCCACTGAGGCCAATCTTGACACCTGCTGGTACCAGTCATCGGCAAGTCCACTCAGCTCCACGTCCTCCTGTACCACATCACTCAATCTCTTCTCTAGCCCGTGCCGCGCCCGTTTAGCCCCCTCGATCCGGCCGAACAAAAGCTGTTTAGGCATGCGGTGGCTGGGCATGCGGGCTACATGACCCAGCCAACGCAGCCTTGCCTGCCGGAGGAGCTCACCGATGGGACTTTGCCCAGATCTTTCAAGGATTTGTGAGCTCCTCACACAATCCAGCCTGGTTAAACCCAGGATGGATCGTAGGCAGGCCAGCCTAAATGTTTCCAACCGGCGAAGATGTTCCATTAGGGGGGTCCACGTTTTGCAAGCGTAGAGAAGGGAGGGAATGACCGTGGCCGAGAAGACCTGAAGCTTCGTGCGGAGTGACAGACCAGGTAGCTTCCACACAGCGTTACGCAACCGATGAAAAGATATTGCCGCTCGACTGATTCGGAGTGAGACCTCTGCTGTTAAACTGGAGCCGGTCATAAGCACACTGCCCAGGTATGGGAAACTCTCCACTCTCTCCACAACTTCCCCATCACCGATTGGGAGTTGTGGGGGTGGAGTGTCCGATGGTACAAAATACCCAGGCAGGTGCTTAGTTTTGGTGGGGCTGATGGTAAGGCCCCATCTCTTAGTGGCACGCTCCAGTCTCAGCAGCAGCGTCTCCAACTCCTCTTCTGAATGAGCAGCTATTACCAAATCATCGGCATACATAACGTGGTTGACCAATAGGGAGCCATCCCTTGATCGCACCCGGGCGTCGATCAGCCTCCCATTATAGCTGTACCAAATGGAAATTCCCCCGGTACAGCTATTGAAGGCTTCACGAACTACGCAGTCGAAATAGATGGTAAATAATGTGGGAGCCAGAGGACATCCTTGTCGCACCCCCACACACTCGCACTTTCACACACACGTGCGCGCACACACACACGCAAACACTCACTCCCATTGCGAGGCTGACTCATTACATCTAGTTGAGGATTGCTCCTCTGAACAAAATAGCTCCATGGTTCAGTCTGAAATTACGAGTTTGCGTTTTACTTCATTGTTATTTATTTCTATATTTCATGGAAGTTGGTTCGTAAGTAGGGGTGTTTGTAAGTCCAGCGTTCGTAAGTCGTGGATTGCCTGTAATAGTGTAAAGACGACTTCGACACACTTGTCTTGAGATGGTTTATTTTATTAAGGAGCCACGTGCTCACACTTGAACATGCGGAGACCCCACTGCAACAGTCCCGAGTCTCCCGCGCACGTCCCTTATATACGGTCTGAGGCCACGCCCCCATTCCCGAACCTTCTCACTGGTTCTAGACCGCTCACTCTCCCAGCAGACTCTACCGTCCTCTTTCGTCACCTGGCCATGCTCCTATTCTCGATCATTCCCGTAGCCACCAGTCCATTCGTACTGCAGGCTGACTCCCCTGTCATTACCTCCCGTGGCCACTAGTCCACTCACACGGTAGGTTGACTCCACTGTCATTACTTAACCCCCCCCCCCTTTAAAAATGTAGCCGTCCCAGCTAATACTAAGAACTTGAAACATTTTCAAAAATTAGGGCAGAATGACAAAACACATCTGCATCGAAGAGAATCCGCTGCACTACTATAGCAACGAACAACAACATAATATGACGAGTGAGTGGTGTAAGCCATCTCACAACGAATAAACAAACGCACTGAGGAACACAACAATGTTTGGACGTGGGAAAAGAAAGTCCATCTTCGGGGTTTGGAGAGCCATCAACGTAGCCACAATATCTCTGGCAGGATCCTCTCGATAATGAATCTTAAGACTCATTGAGTGTCTCCATAGTTAATGAAAAATAATACTCTTCATGCATTTGTAGTGGGTTCTAGTCAGGCACACACCAAGGAAGGCAACACCTTTTATTCTCGAGCACAACCAACGCTACTCAACGTTCCAAGGTTAACTATGCACACTGCGAGCGACTGTGTACATCACAGGTTAACTACGTAAGGTGGTGGCCACCGTTCCTAACCACTTGAACGGATTCCCTATACGGTTGAACCAGAACAGCCGACACGCCGTCGTGTCGTCGCGTACTTAAGAGCGAAGATCGAAGAAGACGATTTCTTTTCCAGGTTTAACAGCCACACTCCCTCTTGTCACTCGGCTTATATTTCCTGTGGCGTGCCCGGGCTCCACCCCTGGTCACGCCCCCTTCTCGATCCTTCGTGAAGAGTCTGGGTCCACATCACGTGGTCCGCTTACCCCCTTCTCGGGGCCCCCGTGCCCCCTCGTCCGGTTACGTGCTCTCGCGGGTTCACCCAGACTGTCATGTCCTGACCCGACCTCCGTGACATCCGGAATCTGCCCTCTCATGAGCCCTTGTGTATAGTACACCCACTGTCGCCATAAAACGGCCCATTTATGTCATTACATATGTACTGAAGCCCATTGAAATTTGATATTGTATGAACATGGGTAAGAATTATTAAAAGGCAAATTTTTACGAAATGCAAAGTTTATTCTTCTTGGTTCTTTCGGTAAAGTCACGTAGAAGGGAAGTAATAAAATAATAAAAATAAAACATAATAAAATAATTCTCACGACGTTTCGTGAAGAACATGTCTGTCGATAAGACAGAGTCATTCAGACTCTGTCTTATCGACAGACATGTTCTTCACCTGAGGACGGCTGCTTGCGTTGTGGCCGAAACGTCATGAGAATTATTTTATTATGTTTTATTTTTATTATTTTATTACTTCCCTTCTACGTGACTTTACCGAAAGAACCAAGAAGATGAATCCCTGCAGTCACGAAAGCTTTAAATCGAAAAGCAAAGTTTATTGTCATGCAATACTATTTCACTGAATATGAAAATTAGGCATTGTGCACATTGTTCAATGTAAGACGTGTTTTGAAATACAAAACTCAGCAGAGTAGTCACCACTAGCCATTGTCTACGAGTGTACAGTAAGGAAAGCTGTTTAAGCCCATGTGTTATTAGTACACAGCAGTCAAAAGCATAGGAGGAATACTGTGGCGCAGTGGTTATTGCCCTGCATTATGAACGCAGCAACTATGGTTTGATTCCTGCACATGGCTAATGTCAGTGGCAAGTGGTATCAGAGCCAGGCCTGGTCCTCTTCTTGGTCAAATTAGTCTTCATTAGCTATTTGGTGTGATATGTAAACTTCATCAGTGGGGAGACATGGGCAGTTGGACATTGTTCTTGCTATGATATGCAAACTTGTGCTGTGGCGAGCTTAGTTGGGGATCTCTATCAGCACGTGTAATCTATAAGGCTAAGGATATGCGTGTGTGTATTTGTATCTGTAATTTGCATTGTGTTGTTATTGATACAGTGGTTGAGGACGGTCAGAAGGGAATCTCTGGTTCACTTGCCATTGCTGCACGTCCATACAAGAAATTAAGTTTTAATGGTAAGGAAATTATACACTTATATCTGCAAAGCTTCCTTTAAAATGCATTTAAGAGGACATTGCAATACAGTATTCTGTTTCAATGTCATTTGTGCCCTGAATGAGGCATTCCTGGTGGCATCACAACTGTAAAGGAGAGCCGACACAAGATTGCAGGGGTTCGCCTTTTAATCCTTTTCTCCCATCCACACCTGTCCCCAGCCGTCCCAATCTCGTTCCCGCCAAAAGGCCCCCTCTTCCCGCCCGTTCTCTCCTTATATCTCCTCGATCACCCCTCCCACTAACCCACCTATTGGTGGGAATCCTTCCCCTGACACCCCTACACAACCATTCACTCTGGCACACCTGAAGCCGTTGAATGGATTGCTAACCTCAACATAAAACTATAACTGCTTCCCAGCCACACGAAGAAGAAATTATGCATTGCGAGCCCAGTTAAATCCACACACATCTTGATGAACTCGCTACGACACTCGCCTTTCTGCTTTATTATCACAAGTTTGATATTAAGAAGCCACTGGAGCTATGCACTTTTAAATCTAATTGAAAACTCGTTTCTCTAGAACTGCTTTTTGTGTTTAGTTTGTTGTCCTTCCTCTGCACCTCCGAATAGCAGGGTTGGCTTCGTACGATGCGAAAGAAGTTCAATATACAGTACATACAATTTTCAACACACATGCAAGCTATGTAGGCATGCACTCTGCAATGTAAGTTAGACTCAATGTTTGAAATTTTGCGAAAAAAAAGGATTACTCAAATTTGTTGTCATTTTCACTATTATGATCACAGCTACTTGTCTTTCGAGATCCACTTAAAGGAAGATACAGGACAAAGCATAAATCACCCCTATCTGTTCGATGCATAACTCGAAACTGCCTCAACAAACGTTTGAATAGTCACGAATGACAAAAATAATACCTTAAAGCTCTGGTGAAATCACTGTGACATCATTCCTACGTGGTTTAGTCGGCCGGTGCAGTGACATCATTGTCGTACTGCCGACGAGCATCTGATCATGAATTCGTTTTTTTATCATGAAGCTTGAAACTTGCATCAGGCAGCCCAGGAAACACAGCACACATACTTAGAAGAGAATAACTTTACTTTTTGGCTGCTGTCTTTATAAAAATAAAACTAAGGAGGATTTTTTATAATAAACAGTTAATCACGTGGTATAAACCCTTCCGTTTGCTCTGGCGTGTTTCTGATTCCGTTTCCCACTCTTTTATAGATGATGACCCTCTGGATGGCCTTTTATCGGATGAAGAGGAAACAAAAAATATAAAAGAAAAAAAGCCTCTTGAGACTGAAAAGGCAAAATCGCAGCCCAGTGATAACAGCGCGGCAAAGAACGAGTATAACACAGGTTGCAATGCATCCTATTTAGCAGGCGGTCATATTTTTATTTCTGCATTCTGCAGAGTTTTGTGTGACGTATATTTATGTTATCTACAGACAAAGCCTTTTTTGTTCTTTCACCATAGACACTGAACAAATAGGCGGTTACATGGTCTAGTCATAGCGCATTCGCAGCTTGATACAGTGATTTATGGTTCGAATCCAACAGCCTGACCTGATTAATACTGCGGTGTGTATTGACCATAAAAATACCGTCACTTACTGGCGAATGGCGGGTGTTGGTATTGGTGCACGTGTGGACGTGTGTGGGGAGCGGTAGTGTCGCGGTTATCGCGTTGTGCTACCAACCTGGTGACCAAAAGTTCAATTCCCGCTCATGATCAACACCAGTCACGATGATCTGAATGGGACCTAGGCCTCCTCTAGGTCGACTGAGCCTCAAATGAATACCTGGTGTGGTGTGTAAACATCACCACTGGGGAGACAAAGGCAGCCGGGCACGTCGCTGGCCACTCACCCCTTCGTGTGCCGTGCCGGCCTTCATAGGCGCTGCTTGCTAACAGAACTTGCCTCTACAGCCCGTTAAGGCGACATGGGGGATCCTTGTCATTATGGTATGTGTGTACCTTTGTGTGTGTGTGCGCGAGTGCTGGCGTGCCACGTGTGTGTGTGAAATTGTGGTGTAGTTCCGACTACGAGCTCCATCAAGTGATAATTTAACAGTTTTTTTTTCTATTTTATTTATTATTCAGTATTTTTTACAGTTACATGCAAATGTACAATATTTGTTCTTAATTATGGGTTTAACAATGCTTCCCTTTTTCTTGAACTGTAATACATTTCATAACACTAACCGTATGGGCATTTAAATACAGTGAACTATTGTGTTCCGACTTACGAACTAGTCTCAGGAACGAATTAGGTTCATAAAGCGAGGACTGACCATACTTAAATAACAATTAAAAAAACGTTCCTGGCTAACCGGAGCTATTAGCAGAGTGTACACTTATATGCGTGATTAATCACAGGTGAACTCACACTGGCTACATGAGGTGTGCGTAAGTTAAAGCCATAATTAACTCTTGATTGAACATTCACGCTCCACAGCTGATTTAGATAGCATTCTGTTGTATAACTCGACTACACTCATGCCCATGGTATGATGTACCATCCACAGCTCCTTCACCAGCGAGTAGCAAAAGACCCGTCGGAACTTCCAAACGTTACGATGAGATCACATTTGACGACGATGGTAATGACCTCGTGGATGCATTGGGCATGTCCGACAGCCCCAAGCCAGTGAAGAAGGAAGCTAGCAGAGAAGAGTAAGCAGTTTGTTGTGAGCGTTACTGTGGAGGTGCTTATGTTTTGTTATAAACTAGGCATGCAAAAATGCATCCATTCCGTGATTCATATTTACTCTTACACTCACAATACGTTAATAAATTTAACATGGAGGCTTTCGCGACCAATATCCAAAATAGAGGTTTTTGGGTTAGATCGCGTAAATATAAATGTATCATTAAACCCGCCACCACCAGACACGTCCAATTAGTAAGGTTTGTCACGTAAACAAAACATGCAATTCGTTACGAGTACAGCACACCTGTTGGAGCGTAAACCCACACCATTTACTCTCCAACAAACCGGACATGCTGTGCTAATAGGAAATTGGCATGTTATGGACAATACATTTCTGCACGTAAGAATCAGCCACTTACTATTTAAGTAAATTATATTTAAATGTTACCTTCATGCTAATGGTGCAAATTGCTTCTCGAATTGAATTGAGATCCCAAATTATGACAATTCATTGTGTTGTAGCAGGGAGAGTTAATTGATGGACACTTTTTTATATAAATGGATAGGATATGTGCCAAAAATGCTACACATTAGTTTCTTATGAGAGAAAAACATTATGCTCGCCAGGCGCAAAGACAAAGTTCAAATTAACCCAGATGCCTGAATGATTAAACCCTACTTTTGTTTGTTTTAGTTCCATGATTACACAACACTGCTTTTGGCACCAATCCATGATTATAGAACGAAGTGTTAATTGAAGTGGACCTTTGATAAATAAATAAGAAGTTGTGTTAGCATTCGTTTAACCCATGCTCTGTAAACATGCACATTCTTGGTGGGACAAGTCAGGGCACATCATTTACAAACCTCGTGCTACAGAATGTCAAGCCTTTAAATAGCAAACAAAATGTTGAAGTAGTCAATTGACAAAAGTATATTTTTTACAGACGTCCTTTCATCGTGGTGAGGTTAAATTCAGCCTATCCTTAATAAAACTACGACTATTTTTTGGGGGAAAACAACACCTTGTAATATGGATAGACTGGTCCTCATCATGGAAATGTAGAATTTCTACCGCTGGCTCAGGGCCACTAACATAAATTAGCATCACATTGGACATTTGATTAGGAAAACAATTTATCTGGCTTAAGCAGTGGCCTTGTCTGTGTGGTCGCCTTTTCAGAGATGACAGACGTCCGGCTCGCTCCAAGTTTGATGAGCTCTTGGGCCGAGGCACTGCCAGCAAACTCCTGGAGAGACCTGCCACTGGAGAAAGGAAGGATAGTGCTCAGCAGCAGAGAGCCCCAGGTCTGCAGATGGACTACTCTCGCAACACTGGATATACATGTATTGTACAGCCCATTTGTGCATGCACTCCTGGATGCTGGATGAAGGCCTCCCCATGCCATGCAGGCAGTGAGGGTTGTATGACCATACCTCACCACACTGGTCAGTGTGAGTTGTTAAAGGTGGGGAGGAGTACAGAATGATGGATTTTGCTGCATGCCTCTCTATTGCCCACAACATCTACAACACCTGATTTTTGTGATCGGTGGTCACCCTGGCAAGCAATATCTAGGCTTATTCCTCCGCTTCCGAGGCCTGATTTGATCAGGCGCATCCCAGGTCGATTTAGTAATTGGCTCACAACACTTGATACTGAAGCAACAACGTGTGAGATAATTTAGTGCATGTGCATTCATGTTTACGCGTGAAAAGGAGCGTCTGTTTGCTCAGCATGGTTGTACATCCAGCAGGGTCTTCCCAGGGACTAGGAGAGGAGGAGTTCACATTCGGTTCCTACATGCCCTCCGCTGCCTCGTCAGCTGAAGGCCGGCGGTCAGGCCCTTCCTCACGCAGATCTGTTAGGTGAGTAATAACTAATGATGAGACTGGCTTTCATGTATTATGCATCTGTAGTGACTTCTTTATGGAGACGGAGACGTTGTCGTAGAGGCAACACGGTTTATTGTTAAACTATTAGGGAGGTACAGCCTCCGGGCTAATGTGACCTCACACTCGGTAACCTGGCTCTTAGCCCTCCGACTATCAGTGGCCTAGGGGAGGCTATCTGACCCGACCCAGCCAAGGTACGGGTCCCGACCACTGGTCCAAGCTCGACGCGGCCCTTACAAGGGCAGCAAGCTCGAGGTCCCAGTGTCCTAGTCCAACTGGTCTTCAGTCTTCGTAGCATTGCCCCGAGCTGTGCCTGGGGTGCCCCTTTTATAAACCTTCAGGGGACCCTCCGCCCCTGGTACCGCCCCCTTTCTGGAACCTTCCAGAAGATCCTAGAAGGCCCCCTCCCAGCCCCCCACCTGGGGTAGGGGAGGGGAACCCCGCCTCTCTTGAGTCCAGCTCCCTCTCTATCCCCTTTGTACTCGCTGGCACACCCTACCGACCTCTGGCTGCAACTGCAGATAAGTGTATACGGCGAACGGCAGGTAAGTGGATACCGGCGGTATGTGCATACGCGATCCGACGCTACGTCTGTATACGCGATCTGACGCTACACATAGAAGCCAGTCAAAAAAGGATGCTTTTTGAGAAGGGTCCTGCATTGGGATGTTTGGCCAATTTCATCAATGGGTGTTTGGTATATGAGAAGAAAAGGTAGTGTTACTGCATACATGGCAGTGACATACTGCATGCATGGCAGTAACACTCAAAGCTCCACACAGATGGATTTAAGAATCCACTTAATACACTGTCATCTCCTGGCCAGCTCACAGCGGAAGCCTTCAGCATCTGGTAATTCCAGGCTGTCTGTCGTCCAGGTAATCAAGAGAAAACCCAACGCATACCAAGGGATAATACTCGCAGCCAGATTAACTTAAAGCTAATGCCTGCCTAACTTCTAAGATCTGATAAGATCTGAAGCATTCAGGTTTGCGTGGTCATAGGGGAATGAGTCATTACTGGTGGATTGGGTTAGTTGACACTCTTTACCACAATTGTAATAAAATTTGTGGAGCCAGAGCATAGTGAATATGAAAGCCTATGTGATGTTCTTTTACAAAGGCAGACTAAATTCATATCAGCGTCATTGTTTAAATTCTTATTTACCTGAAACAAAGTTTAAGGCGACCATCCATGACTGTGGCTTTGAGTTCTAATCCAAGTCTGTCTTTGACATAGTTGTTAAAATAAGTACTATTTTAGTAAGTCAACGGAAGTAATTCTATGGGAAGACTGGTTTACACCAAAATAATGTGGAATTTTCATCAGAGGGGAGTTCTTCCCGGCACTCTTCTGTGGGGGGGGGACATTCCATCTTAAAATAATTTTACATTCTGTATATGTTGACCTGGTGTAGAAATTTGTGCAAATGCCAGCTGACGTGCCTAATTTCCTCAGCTCAGTTTGCGTAAGGACTTGGAGACGTGGTTGGAATAAGGCCTGTGACCAAATCATCCATAATGCTCCTGATCTCATCAGATCTCGTAATCAGGGTTGAGGCTGCAAAGTGTTTGAATGGGTGCCCACCACACAGCGATATGTGGTGGGCAGCACAGGGCAATGCAGCAACATCCATTGTTGTGTTTTACTTCGATGCTTCCCAACTTCATTAGCCCACACTCACCAGAATGGTGAAATATGGCCAAATACCCCCCGCCATCCGAACTGAATGGGGAGGCAGTCATCTAGCAGTGGATTGACAATCGGACTGAACATGTCCATGTCTCTTCCCGCGCATCAGGTTTTATGGCGACGACAACCAAAGAAAGACTGAAGAAGCAGACATCATGGGCGGCCTGGATAGCGGCGGAGGCAAGCTGTCCACGTCGGCCACACCGGGCACCCCAACCACCCTGGCCACACCACCACAAACCACACAGTCATCCCGCGGCGGGCCGTCCGACTGGCTGGGCCTCAAGGGTGACTCTTTTGATGATCCCAAGGAGCCAGCGTCGAAACCGAACACTCAGCTGGGCACATCGAAGATGGGCGGTGTCGACAATGCTGTAGCATTGGAACCCATGGCTGTTACTCCCAGTGCCATTGGCTCTAGTTCAAGAAAACTCTCCTTGTCTGACAGTAAGCCGGGTGCTACCGTTGCGGAGCATGCTGGCGCGGGGGCAGTGATTGGAGACGATGATGAGGATTGGCTTCTGAAGAGTCTGTCCAGAAAGAAGAGCCAGGCTTCTGCAGTGGGTGACGATAAGAAGGTTGCAGGCTTCCGTGGATCCGGGGTAGATGCAAGTGTCAGGTAACTTTGCTTAAAACTGCGGGTGGTGTTGTGATGCGGTGATGATACATTTTTTAATATTCTTGGTTCTTTCGGTAAAGTCACGTAAATAGAAAACAAAAAATACAACAAAATTTTAAATGAAATACAAATAATAAAATTAAAATCCCATTTTTGTAAGATATTTTTTAAAAATATAACTCAGCACATTTGTAATCTGATAGCATTGCATGTTGTACAATAGTAATATTTATTGTTGACGAAACTATTTTATGGGTCTCTCACCTGAAGACGATTGCTTGTGTTGTGATCGAAACGTCGTGATATTTTTATTATTTGTATATCTACGTGGCTTTACCAAAAGACCCATAGAATAATTAATGTAACTTTAAGAGTATATAAAAAAGGAAATTCGTTCCAAAAAGATGTAAAGAGAATATTATGGGCCTGTTATGCAGGCAGAAAAGTATGTAAATGCGGAGTTACGGGCCCCAGATTGAGACCCGTAACTCAGCCCCCACCCATTGCGCTTTCTTGTTATGTTGCACATTTACGAAGGTCCTACATTGAGATTTTTGGATAATTTCATTTAACAAGGTTTTTTTTATGTAGACTTAAACTGAAGCACCTACAGAAAACCCACAGCCATGGTCAATCCATGATGTAACCTACTTAGCAACTACACACACACAGATTCCACAGCTCGATTCCCTTGGTAGTTGTACTCTCAAGAGCGTTCCATTCGTTGGCTGCCACTGTGATTATTCTTGACCATCTGCCATCATCTCTTATAACAGTGTGTCCTGCCCGGCCCACTTTTCTTACTAATAATTAGCCTGCATATTTTCACCAATCAATGAGTTCCTCTTTATTTATTCTGAATGCAAATTCAAGCTTGCAACTCTGTTTGCTTCATTGCACACTTTTCAGTCTTCTCTTTTTTAATGACCATGTTGTTAACGTATAAATATCCAAAAAGGTCCCAAACAATAGTAGGTAGTGTTATGAAATATAATTTGGAACATTTGAGTTTGTTCTGTATACATAAAATAATAGCAGAGCCAAATGTCAATTAGACTTATATGAAACCAGCCCAGGCCATGCTATTCAATGAGTTAAGTCGATATAGATCCTCTACAGGTTCTCATCTGGAATCTCGTGTCGGCAGTGTTTAGTGCATTGCTAGCATCGTGTATCTGGTTGCGTATCGTGTTTTTTTTCTTGACAGCAAATCGGGTATCACTTCCAGCTCTCAGCATGACGACTTGCTGATGAGTTCCTCCGCAGAAGACAGACTCGCAGCAACCCACATACACAGGTTCAATTTACATATAGACACCGACGTTTAACAATAGTTTAAAATGTATTGCAATATGAGTCCCTTTGTGATGAGTGGGATAGAATAAATGGTTGTCTTTATACATTCCTTTCGTTGTGAGCCATTTAAACAATGCAAAAGCAAGAAACAATCTGCAAAGAACAAGTGGATCTTCTTTTGTAGCTACACATTGGGGCTGTGTGTTCCAGGCTGGCTGATAAGAATTTGAGGTGTCCTGTATAAGGCATTTAGTTGATTTTTTAAAATAAGGTCATGTTGAAATCTATCTCATTACAGTGTTGAAATTTGGCCTCTGACTGATACCAGAATTGTAAACGTTCATGTTAAATTACCATTGGGTCTCCAGCTAACAGTTAATACTTGCAACATTGTCACCTCTTAGCCTTCCCTTCATGATCGAATCACTTAATTTATAAGGTCCATCCACTGCAACGCACTGCATTAGGATGAGACTGTACAGAGATCTATGGGATTACTTTAGTCATGGTAATGAGCAGGGGTAGCTGAAGGAGTAATATTGTTCAATGATGCTGAGTTGCCAGTGGTGCACAAGCACACACAACGAAAAACGAAACACAATCCTTAACAACACTGTCTTAAAAATATAAAAAAATATGTCACCCTTTAAGCAATGGCTCCCCCTCAGAGCACATGTGGAGGGACCATTTCCCGAAGCGTCGCCGATTTATATATTTATTAATGTTTTTTCTCTTAAGGCACTGCTGTTGACAAGTGTCAATTTTCCTTAAGTTATGTTGTGGGGAGGAGGGAGACAAGTGTAATGTCACTGAAGTGATTAGTACCGTGACAGAATAAATCCCATTCCATGTGTCTATTGGCCATACCTTTAAGTATTAATTTGGACAAACGTGTATGGAAAGACAATCCTGCCCCAATGCTCAAAATAATGAACAGATAAATACACGTGAATATCAGACATTTCACAGGATTACTTTTTCAATCGGAGATTGCGGTATGAGTTAAAATAACACTGAGGATGGTGATGTCTGCCTGGGTAAATGCGATATCTTCACTGTGTCCAGATACACACGTTTACATGTCCTCACTATTGGAGGATTTTAGATTCACTATGCCATGGAACTTTATGTTTCGCAGAAACGATGCAGCTGCAGCTACTCTGGTGTCCTCATCAAGGAGGGAGCATTTAAACGGTCATGATGCTCGCATTGCAGGTTTGTGGACGTCGGAGATTAATCTTGCATTACGTTTATTTCCATCCATGTGTCACTGTGTCATCCTCTTTATGGGCTTTTTGTCTCATTCATACTTTTTATTGATAGAGTGTATCGTATGGAGGGCCAATATGCCAAAAAAATGCAATATTTATTTTCGGTTCAGTTATTGAATCCAAAGTAAATAATTGACGTTCCATAAATTTCGTTTACTTAAGATTTTATTGAAATATAAAGCTGTTTAATCTTGATTTGAAGCTTTCGTGACTGCAGGAATCCATACTCTTTGGTTCTTTCGGTAAAGTCACGTAGGTAGAAAAATAATAGATAATAATAATAAGGATCTATTATTATTTTTCTACCCACGTGACTTTACCGAAAGAACCAAAGAGTATAAAGCTGTTTTGTTGGTAGATGTAAAATTGCTTTCAATTGAATATAACAAAAATGTTTTTTATTCAAATACAGTCCTCACATTTGCAAATAACTTTGGCATTGTTTTATATTTCCCTTTATTTCACCTGCATCGCCAATATCTCTGATTTCTCTCATCACTCTTCTGGGACTGACTTCCCACAGACTAAGCTGATCCTTCCGTTCCACAACATGCAACGCACACCTGCCCTCGAACCACTCAGCCGAGCCTCCCCACCAACCCGGCCACAATGTTTTCTTTGGTAGCAGTTCAGGAACCTCCTCCTGTCTCCCACCCCTCTGAGCATCCTCCTGTCGCGCCAACTCTTATCGGGCAGCCCATGGAGCAGAGCGGCTTCTACCATGCGATCCAACCACAGCTTGGGCCAGGCCATCTCTCACAATCTCTCTTTCCTGGCATCCCTCTCTCCTATTACCAGCCGTGTGAGTAGTGCGCCCTGCACTAACGCCACTCGCGATGCGTGCTCGTGCATAAACACAGAAAAAAACACTGACTGTTTCGGGTGAATTCACAGATAAATTTGGCATCTGTATGCTGTTTACGTCAAGTGACGATCACAATGACTTGGGGAAGTAGTGCAGCAGTGCACATGTGATTTCTAATTGAAATGTGTGAGCAGAAGTTAAAGCTCATGCATGATAATGATTTTATCACGATAACACATATAGCTCTATACATTAATCTGCAGATATCTGTAATATTAGTTAATGCAGCTCTTTTTATAAACTTTTAGTGGAATATATTGTAACTTAGAATACTGTGTTCCAGTATATTTGCATAAGCACCACTTTGTCTGATAGCAATCACCATGCTGTGTAGAATTATTATGCAAAAAATCAATTAATACATATGGATAATAACATTTTCATAAATGTAGAAGCCACTTTTCTCAGTGTTAGCATCTTATATCTACAACATGAATGAACACGTGCATTTTGTGTATGCACACGTTGCAGAGAGTTGTTAAAATCCTATGGTTTGTCCATGTCATAGCCTTTAATATGTGAGCAATAGGCTATTCATGCATATGTTGAACACACTTTGCTTTGTTACCAAATTGAAAATGCAGTCGAATTTTTTTCTTTCAGGGAGAATGTAGCCTTTGGGCAGGGTTCAATGAAACTGAAACACTTTATTTTTTTCACTCTTACTTGATACAGCAATCGTGCTGTGACGGTTCCGCCTGAAGACAGAAGCTTGTGTTGCCTCCGAAACGTCGTGATTTTTATTTTACTTTTATTGATTTTATTTTTTACCTACGTGACTTACCGAAAAAACCTAAGAGTATACTTTTTCTTTTTATTCTGTGAACTTCTCCTTTTTCACTTTAATTCTTCCCCATTTGGCTAAGTGACAACTGTGTTTTTTATTTTATATAAAACAACAATGCTTCTGTATACTCTTACTTTAATAATGATATTTGACAGGTCAACAAGCAGCACATCTAATGACACCACAAGCACATGGACAAGCTATACTGGTACAAATAACTGTAATTTTCTTGGTCACCATTTCAAATGATCGATGCCCTGATTCATCAATTAAATTTGATTCTGGAGCATGATATATTCATCACACCACGAGAAGGAATAATTTTCGACTCATATGTTGTATGTAATGGTTTTGTATTACCCCTTCAGCTACGAGAGGTGATAAATTCAACACTGTTAAAAAAACTTCTATTCTTAAACAATCTTTGACCCTGAATCGTTATGACTCATTTTATCTCGAGGGGAGAGAATCATTAAATTATTTCTACACATCAGTAAATTCAGATTTCAAATTGTGTGAATGATAAATGTGTCCACTGGTGTGAAGATAATGTGGGTAACTGGGTTCAATTCCTGACTCGGACACCTTTCTGCATGGAGTTAATATATTATCTGGTTTTCTCCCATAGATAATGTATATAATGCAACTGGTATTGGCCAAACATCTCAATGCTGAAAATGTATCTGCAATTTATTAATGTAACATCGTTAATTACTCACAAAGCAACATGATTACTCCCCGAGCAACATCAACCCCCAATGCGAAAAACATGGCAGGACCATCCTGAAAAAAGCTTGAGACTCTGAGGCTTTTCTGGGTGAATAAACATAATAATACATAATAGTAATACATAATAGTAATACTGTAATATAATAAACTGGGGGTTCTTTTTTCGCAGGGACAGGCTGTCGGTCAAAGCTTTATTCAGACTGATTCATCACAGCAAGCTCAGGCCTTCACCATAGAGCTGGATACAAAGGTAACCTGCCTGCATTTAACTCTGGTGGGTTCTGAGTATGAATTTAATCACTGATCATTATATTTAAAACTGGATGAAAGCACATTACGGTGCATCAGGTTTCTGTTGTAAGGCATAGGGTATGAAAGTGTAAGCCTAAAAGATCCATCCACTCATATCTTCCGATGAACTGCATTATTCGTTCTCTGGTGTGTCGTCGGGTTGTACCGCGTGTTTTTTGGCATGATGTGCGGAGTTTCGCTCAATGTGCTGGGAGTTTTTTCAGCGAAACGTCAGACATCGTGCCAAACAACATGTAGTACCACAAAAAAACACATGTATGTATGTAGTATGTGTGCACATCTTCTCAGCATTAGTCAATGGCTAGATGATGACAATTTACATTTACTGATGCTTTCATTTCCAAAGAAATTGGCATCTTCTTTGAATCACCATCTTTGTAAATAGTCCTACATTTTCCATTTTGTTTGTTAAAGGGATATTGTTTTTGATTGAATATATATTTTTTACATTGTGAAAGTAGCATTAAAAACACTGAAATCATTAGCTACACTGGATCTGCATGAGCTGACTAATTGATAATTTGTACGTGCCAAAATATAGTAATTACATAATTATATTTGGGACTAGAATAAAACTAATTTAAAAGTGCAAATTCTACATTTTCATGGTGGGCACCAAGTAACACCACTGTTCACTTTTTACAAAGTGGTACAAATTTTATTCACCCCCAGAAAGATGATGAGCTTAGTTAACCCCCGACCAGGATTTTAACTTGTAACCTATTCAACCAGGCGTCAAATATATGTTTCAACTATAATGGTGGCACATTGATTACTGCACTATGAACCTTTGCATCCTGATTTCGATTCCTATCAGTGGCGAGCGATATCTGAACCGGTGCTGGGTACCCCCTGCACCAACTGGCACTGGCCAACATGGAGTGGGGGATGCTTTCTGTCACCATGGGGTTAATAAAGGGATTAATTATTATGAGGCAGCGTTAATGATGTTAAGAGGTGAGCTTCTTAAATCTACGGATAGAATTCGTGTTACAGATGTAACAAATGTAAACATTGCACAGAACAGCCAGGGGTTTTGTTACGGCTTCATACATGTGTAGTAAGTATATATGGAGGCTTGACGACAGGATCGGAGGCACACTTATTTATTACACCAACACAGTTATTACAGGTCACTTGGCTACAGGGATTTCTCGACAGCTAACCCCTCTAGCCTATACCAACTCCTCCACTACGGGACTAGGGGAGGCTATCTGTCCCAGCTTGGTTAAGCTGGGATCCCGGCTCCCTGAGTCACCAGACCAGCTTCGTCTGGGCTCTCGGGGCCACGCCACCGGCTTGCCCTGGTCGGCCCTTAGAAGGACAGCGAGCCAGGGGAGCTCCGGGGCCTATTCTAGCAGGTCTTCGTTCTTCTCTGGTTAAAGCTGAGTCCCGACTCCCGAGCCTTTCGGCTCATCACCTTTTATAGGACTTGCCCCCAAGGGGGGCCCGTGGGGGATGTGCATGCGGACGTCGGTGCGAGCGCCACCCCTGTGTACGGCCGTAACCCCGCCCTTTGTGTTTGTTGGCCATCCGTGGCCATGCATAATCACACGACACCTTTCGTAGCCATGCGCAATTACACCTCTACACATGAATACAGCCGCCACAGCAGCACTGTATTGCAGTCACCATTTGTGCCCAGCAGATGCGAAGGCTGCAGATGGAGCGAGACCAGCTCAAGTCTCTCCTGGACACCGTGCAGCAGAGACACAAGGAGGACATGGACATCTTGGAGGAAGGGCACAAGTGGGTATTTAGTCACACTAAATATATTTATTTTGATGGCCTTCCCCCGCACCTCTGATTAGCATGGTTGGCTATGTACAGCATACATATACAACAACATACATATGTAAAGACAGTACGGAGCGATAGAGGGAAGGTATGGTTCCCCGGAACCATGGTTACTAATGGGCGTGCTAATGATGATTGACGGGACAAGCGTTGGACAGGGTGACGTGACGGGGAGCACGGGATCCAATAGCCGGGGAAGTGCAATAAGGACGGAGATTGACAGAGCCAGGTGCAGCGAGGAGACTTCTAGAATAGGGGCGTGGCCGGACTGGGCGAGGGATAAGAGCCTGGCGCGAGCCGGACCTGGGGGCTGCTGCTGCTGCTGTGGGGAATCGCCGTTGTCGTCGTCGCCTTGGAACGGGTCGTCTCCGTCGTCTTCGAGTTTTCTCGAGATGAGAAGCTACGTTGTCTCAGAATAGAGTCGTCTAACTACCCAAGTGTGCAGAGTCACTCGCGGTTACTCGTTGAGTAGTCAGTGGACTTTATTCATAATAAATATACGGAAAGACAAGACGGTGTCTCTTAGGGCTACATTACACATATACAGCAACTATGAAATTGTAATGCCTTAACTACATGCTCAGCTGATTACCTTACTTACCTACTTGTTCACCTATCTGTCTACCTGCCATCCACCTATCCACCTGTCTACCTATCTACCATATACTTTTCTAGCAAACTACCTTGCCACCCGCCCACCCACTTATCTACATATCCACCTACCAATCTACCAAACCATATATTCACCTACATACCTACATACTCACTACCCTGCCCATTTACCTTTGAATTTACTATTCTACCTACCAATCTACACACCCTCCAATCTACATGTTTAGAAAATATTCCTAAACATTTCCACATGATAAGCCACTTTGTTGAGCTATCATTTGTGGCCAGGCCGCTTCCTACCTGGTAAGATAAAAAATAGTTTTGTTTTATTTGTGAATGTTTAAAAGTGATTTATTTAGTTTAACACGTAAGCTCTTGTGAGCAATATCATCCATAATACAGTTTTTTTTGGGTTAGTAACATAAATATGAATGTGTCATTAAACTCACCACCACCCGACACAGCTAATTAGTAAGGTTTGTCACGTAAACAGAGCATGCCAATTCGTTATTCGTCCAGCACACCGGTGTGTTGGAGAACAAATCCACAACATTTACAATCGGAATAAGACGTTTCGCCAGTAATTACACCCGGCATCATCAGGCGGCAGGCAGATTTGTGGAGAAATCCTCCTATTTCGTTCCTTGAATAGACGAACGGATGTGATGACGTCACTTGTGAGCCCTTGTGTGAAGTGGTGGGAGGTTTAATGAATGCATATAAATTACAATGCTGATAAGGGCCGATCAAATTAAATGAGACCCAACCAACACCTTGGAACGTAAGACAATGACAATCATTGCCAAGTCATCAATTCCCAATAAAAAGCAATACCTGATCAAACTAAGGGTGTCAAAAACACGAAGACTTTATGGGTTACCAAAGATTCACAAACCTGATGTCCCATTAAGACCCATAGTTAGTACAATAGGCTCTGCCACATACTTATTAGCACAATACGTAACGAAACAAATACATCCCAACATCGGTAGACCTCTTCATTCATTAAAAACTCATAACATATTGCAAATATAATGAAAGATTAAGCTTAACTAACCTTGATATTCTCGTAAATTTTGATGTGACTCCCTGTTCACGAGGGTTCCGGTCAACGAGTCAATTAAATTACTCGATACTCTGGTAACGAACCCAAGTTTAGCCAAAGATATCCCACGACTAGCTGACCACTGTCTAAAGAACACCTATTTCTTGGTGATTTCTATAAATAAAAGGAAGGAGCAACAATGGGCTCTCCTTTGTCTCATGTGATTGCAAATAACATGAGTGTTGAAACTGGCGAAGTAATTCAAACTATTAAAATACCGTACATTGCAGGAGAAACTGATAAACTAGCCAGATGTTTGGAAAAACAAAACATCCGAGTCAGATTTGGCACAATACATAAAATACAATAATTTATATCTGGTACTAAAAATGTATTATCGAAGTTATAAACAGAAAGTGTGTACCAGATTAATTTCTCTTGTGGCAAATGCTATGTTGGGCAGACAGGACGAATGATAAGCATGAGACTAACAGAACACCAAAGGAATATTAAATACTCAAAAGTACAACTGTCGGCAGTGGCAGAACACGCGTACCAACAAGAATACTCAATTTATTTTTATAAAGCTGAAGTTCTGTGCAAAACTAGTTAATACTGGCCAAGACTAATTAGATAATCTATCGAAATTGAGAGAAATAATAATTTTAACCGTTCGGATAGCTACAGACTTAGTGCTGATTGGAAGCCAATCATCAAATAATACATTCTTTAAATGCATACCTATACAGGTCACCATACATCAATGGGCATAACCTGTGAGCCAACAATAAGAGGCACTGCTATTTTAGTGCACACAAACACAGGAGGTACAAGAACACTGTGCATGCATAATGTGCGTTGATTACCATATAAATAAACCAACCGGTAATGAATACCCATTGTAATTTATATGCATTCATGAATCCCCTCACTTCGTACAAGAAGGGCTCACAAGTGACATCATCACATCTATATTCCTATTTTGAGCCTGTGTGTTAAGATCGCGTGAACCACCTTTTACCGGCATTGATTTCTGAGTTGCGTGCTTCTGCGCTTACTCGGTCCTCCGCTCCAGCTCTCCCCCTCGCCTCTCTGGCCGCGTGCAGGCAGCGCATGCGGCTGCTCCAGGACTCGTGGGAGCGGCGCGAGGCGAGCCTGCGGCGGGAGCTTGAGGAGGTGGCGGGGCGCCACTCGGCTCTGCAGCGCGAAGCCGAGAGTGAGCGCACGCGGCTCGCGTCCGCGTGGCAGTACCGAGTGGCGGACGCCGAGCAGGAGGCGATGCGGCAAGCCGAGCGACTCGCCGAGCTGCAGAGGCACGTGGACCCACGCACACGGTTTGGTTTGGCTCCTCCATTGAGGTTATGGTTGCCGCCACCGAGGCTCAAAAGACCTGGGACATCTCACAGGAAGATGAATATTTAAGGTTGAATGAAGAGGGGAGAACGACGGGACAGATATTATATTTTCTTTAGGATGGTAATACATTCAGGAACTCAATGCTAATGTCAAGGTGTGTTATGGCTTCAGGAGAGCATGTAGATTTGATTTTCCTACGATGAAGGAGTGAAGACTTAGTGGTTTTCTGTATGGTCCATAGTAAGCATCTAAATGCAATGTCTCTTCAGAGGTGTACAATTGGTGGATCATACAGAAATCACCGTGTCGTATAAGACTCCCAACCTGCAGGATTTGGAGCTGTCTAGGATATAGCATTCTTCGCCCATCTGTGTGGTTTTATCATTTAACCCTGCAATATTGATTGGTTTTCTCTGGGTACATGCAAAACTCTGATTCAGCAATTGGCCAAACATTTCAATTAACGTTACTCTTAAAATAGTCTTGAGACCCATTGTAAGGAGTTTCCTAGTTTGCTATTCGCATCACTTCAAAATAAGCGCATGAGACAAATATTTGGGATATTGCACAGTATGGGCCCTTTCTTGCCAGTATCAAAGTATAAGAAGAGGTTTTACCCTTTCTGGCAACAAAACAGTTGTTAAGATGTTCAAACACCAAACTGAAACCTTTTACAAGGAATCCTGTCTGCATTAACCACAACACTTGTGGTCAGAATGCAAACAAAAAACATACTCTGATAAAAAACACATAAACTGATTGGTGTGGACCAATTAGTTTCAAGGACAATGGATATATTATCAGAGTATGTTTTTTGTTTGCATTCTGACCACAAGTGTTGTGGTTAATGTAGACATGATTCCTTGTAAAAGGTTTCAGTTTGGTGTTTTAACATCTTAACACCTGTTTTGTTGCCAGAAAAAAGGGGAAAAACCTATTATTATATTTTGATACTGGCAAAGTACCATGATGTAGTTGTAACTACTGGCGAAACGTCGTACTCAGATGGTAAATGTTGTGGCTTGGCTCTCCAACACACCGGTTAGTGCTGTACTAGTGACGAATTGGCAAGTTCTGTTTACGTGACAATCCTTACTAGTTGGCTGTGTCAGGTGGTGGCGGGTTTTAACGACACATTTATATATTTGCACGATCTAACCCAAAAAACCTCTTTTATGGATGTTAACACCTGTTTTATTGTTTTATGTTGTACCTACGCACCCCGAGCTATAAATGCCCTGATAGTACAACTTTAGGAATAACAAGCAGCAACATGTTCATGAGGAACGTGTTAGTAATGATATTAATGACCAAGATTACTGCTGAGCAACGTGATGAGCACCATCGGTGTGGAGGTTGTGTTAGCTGTGTATATTTACACTAGAATATAAAGTTGTGCGCTTACCAACGTAATGGAACGTCTGTCCCTGCCACTTGTTGATTGTGATAGCGTATGCGGGGAGAATGGGAAATTGCCGTCGTCGCAAAACAAATGGCAAAGTGGTGTCGGTGGGGGCCAAGTCGATTCTGGGAATCAACACCGAATCGCCTCGTTCTCTCTCTCTCTCTCAAGCGTTCATCATATTCATCATAGACAGATAGAGAAAGTTTTTATATATAAAAATCATTTTACATCTGGAAGACTTAATTGAAAACGACATTTCGTGTTGATTTTCTCTCGTCGTTAAGTAGATGTCCTTGCTGGGGGTTCGGTTCGATGCGTACTTTCACCTTCATGGGATTGTGGGATCGAGATAAGGCGACACGGAGCTGCTGGCCGTGCGAGAAGACCACCATCTGCAGATCGATTCCAACGTAATCGAACGTCTGTCCCTGCGCCTCCGTCGTTCATGCAGGGGGTGCGTAGGTTTGCAGCGTCCCCTGCATGAAAACGACGGGAAGTGCAGCGTTCATCGTATTCATCACAAATAAATACTCTTTGGTTCTTTCGGTAAAGTCACATAGGTAGAAATAAAACAAAATAAATCACGACGTTCCGAACACAACACAAGCACCCGTCTTCAGGTGAAAATCGCGACAGCCGCGGTGTCTGCTGCGAGCAGCAACGATGTCTGCTGCTGAGTATGGATTCCTACAGTCACGAAAGCTTCACATCATCAAAGATAAAGTTGGGCGTTTATATTATTGTTTTACATATTTGAGATGTATTTCTATTTATAAACTGCTTACATTTAGATGTTTATTATTATTCTTGTCCACATCTTTTTGTGGAAGGCATTCCATCATGGAGATGAGAAGAGATCACGAGGAACAGATACAAAGACTCAAGAGGCTCAAGGATCAGGAGATTGATGCAGTGACCAGCGCGACTTCACAGACCAGGTGCCGTGTGGCCCCCCACTTGTGTTCTGCACACATCATCATCGGCATGCTAATCGCTACCAGTAGCATCATTCATACAGTACTATCAGTAACACCCACACACATGTATCAGCACATGTACCTGTCCAGCCCTTGGTCAATAAAAGGCTGGGTGTGGACTTTTCCACGCCGCCCTTTGGGTCATGGGCGTTGTTTGACCCTGACCCTGATGCCTGTATATTTGAAGTTTGTATGTTCTCCCCAGGGTCGTGTGGATTTTCTTCAGGTTCTCTGGTTTTTCCCTCCACATTTAGAAACATGCATTTAGAGTATTTGGTTGTAATACATTTCTGCATGATAAGCCACTTCGTTGAGCTATCATATGTGGCCAGGTCGCTTCTGAAAAAGAGCTGTATAGCTCAGTGGGCTTACCTCGTCAGTGCAACGGTTGATTTTGCCGCACTGCCTTCTGCTACCCACAGCGTAGCAGCCTATAACACTTCCTTGTGCATTGGGGTCGCCAATCCACGCACTATCCAGGATCAAAACTGCTTAACTTCCAAAATCCACCAAGATGGATCACATTGTGGGTGATTAAGCCTTATGCATATTATTGATACATGGTCATATGAATATAATTAGTTTTATTGTAAAATAATGTTTACGTTTTTGTTTACATTTTAGTATTTAGTAGTATTTAATTGTTTTAAACAGTGCATAGAAACCAACATACGGAATTGGGGGAAATTGCGATGCAAAGCTTGCAAACATTGAACTTGACTGCAAATACATGGAAAGTAATGTAGCTGCAAAGGTTACAAAGTGCAGTCTTTGTGTTGGTAAGGTTCCTCTGCAGTGCTGCCACCACAGGCACAGTAATGATCACACAAGCTTGATCGCTTATCGCTTGTTTGTTTGGAAGGCTTGTCATTGCATGTCACACTGGTCTGCTACTTGTTTTTAGACATTCGTGAGTGGGTTGTTCACCTTCATGCCTCGTACGTGTATATGGACGAGTAAGGTTTATTTTTTAAATTCTTAAAGTCAAGTTGGTTTTGTTTTAACTACAGTTGTAAGTGAGACCACTCCTCCAAATAATGCTATGAATTTATATCCTACATTCTTAGCACGAGAATCAAATGTCACGGACTAAAACTTAAACTATGTGTCTAGTTTAACACGTTGGCTTTTGCGACCAATATCATCCATAATAGAGGTCTTTTGGGTTAGATCGTGTAAATATATAAATGTGTCATTACTCGGACATGAATTTGGGCAGCGCTCATCTTTAGAGGTGTTACATTGCATTGAATCATAAATGAATATTCATTCCTTAGCTAAACGATACGTGCATTGAATCGCATTAAAAAGAATCAATGTTTTTTTTACTTTTACATGTTGCATGTGATGAGTTCATGTGACCTCTCCAGACACTAGAGGCTGCTACATTCACCAAAGTGTTAAAAAAAAAAATCTGTTGTTGAATAAAAATGCCATCCTAACAGAACATTTCTTTAAATGGCCATATCCATTTAAAGAAATTGATATAACCATAGGCATTAGTGAACTTTTAGTTTTGAAACCAAACTAATCATAATACATACAATTTTATATTCTTTGGGTCTTTCGGTAAAGGCACGAAAGACCCAAGAATATGAACTCCTGCAGTCACGAAAGCTTTAACTCAAGACGTAAAATTTAGTTTGAAAAAGTGGATCTGACTGTTGTCCACTGGTTGAAAATTACTACTTATATCCTTATTACTACTTATTAAATTACTACTTATTACTTATATCCCAGATTTCCACAGCAGCCTGCGTGCTGTACCGAGACACGTGGCTCGTTTTGTCTGCGCCACATGGCTTGCAGTGTGACGGGAGCCCTCTCAAGCAGCGGTGATGTCACAAGGTCAAAGTGCAAAAGGCACGTGCCATTAATGACATCTCTCGTGTAGGTCAGCTTCAGGACTGTTTTTTTCAAGACATTCAGAAAATAAATAGTAGATTAGCTTGAGATTGCATAAGCCCATCTCGCCATTGGACAACCACAATATATATGCATTTTATTGGCCCTCGTTAAATATAAAATATCCTCGTGTCCCCCAAACATTGGTTGAAGGGAGAGAGAGGATGGCAGGGATCGAGGAGAAAGGCTGAGCTGAGATGCACTTTGGGACAGGACCCCAGTTGTGCTGAATATCTGTGAAAAAGTGCTTTATAGCTCATCGGATTCCTCCAGTATAAATACATATTATGATTATAATTGTGGGAATTTAGTATGAATATGTAGTGTACATGGGTACTTACATTTTGAATAAGGCAGAACATTCATTAGGCACGAGGCTTTGGTGGGAAACCTCCACTAGTCACCTCTTGTCAAGCCTGTCCGTCGAAACGTTGGAGAGTTTGCAAGATAGGGTGAGTGGGCTACCCATAGGACATTGCACCTACACAATATGTGGTTGCTCTTGCAAACTCGTAAGGCTTGTGTCAAGTAGACCTGTTTGCGTGTGTGGTCACTGAAAGATTAACACGTGTGTTTATGCTGGTGACCTCTATGCCCTTTCTCTCTTGGACTTTTTTTTTATCATTTATGTCTTTATTTTTGGAAGAATATTTTCGCGAGAAAAAGTGTATGCAGTGTATACTTTATATTTACTTTTGTTTGTATGTGCAGTTTCCTACTCGCCGGTTCTCGAGGCTTGCCGATAGGCCCGCCTCTGTGACGTTCCCCCTCGATGTCCCCCTCGAGTGTCTACCGTGGCCTGCTGACTTCAATGCTGCCATACACCGCAGTTCTTCTTTTTCGCCAGCAGTCAGCACGATGCCACTACATATGCATACCAATCACTGTCCATGCTGCCCTCTTGTGAAACTTTCTTGCCTCAATGTTATGGCAGACAGCGCCAAACACATTGTTATTGTGCCCTTGTCACATCACCGTAATGTAATTCCCACTGGTGCTCAATTTTTCCACTGGTTCCCAATCTCCCAAGTCCAATCCAGGATTCATTTCAAGATCCTCCATGCACTCGCCTCTGCCTACCTTTCCTCTTTCCACTAACACACATTCTTTTCTCCAGCAACCAAGACTCCTATGCAAGTCCTTTACTCAGTGGAAAGTCACTATTCTCAGCTGCTGCTTGCATCGTCTGGAATCACCTTCCTCCCGCCATCTGTACTGTCGACTCCTTGTTTAATTCACGGTTCAGAACCTTCCTTTTGCCCTGTGACTATGACCGACTACGTCTATCTATAAATAAATATGCCCACTTTGTCAGTACAGCATCTTGATATACGGTTGCATTTAAATGCAATGTATATCCACATGTTATTGTATTTTATACCCATAAAGTGAGTGCCAAATAGCATTTCCTTGTGAAATACACGAGTACTCTAATCTCTCTCCCTAATCTCTTTCTTCCTAATCTCCCCATTAACACAACTGACGTGCTCACGTCCGGGGATGGAATTCCTTTCCAGCTCAGACCCCGCTTGCTTGCCCATCGCCACGTAAATAACCTCTTGTTTGTAACAGCTCTCTCGCTGGTTCAGCAGTTCCACTGCTGGATTATTTTTTCTGCCTGAGAACGACCTCTCGTGTTGCGATCGAAACTTCGTGATATATAATTTTTTGTTTAATTTAATTTTATTATTTTTCTACCTACGTGACTTTACCGAAAGAACCAAAGAGTATGGATTCCTGCAGTCACGAAAGCTTCAAATCAAGATTAAATACACTAGTGTCCTCTATGCAGAGATGAGCAGTATCTAAACTACAATTTAAATATGTAATTTCATTACATTTGTCATTTGTATCTAAATTACACGTGACAACGCTTAGTTGCCACTTTGTATCTAATCACGTTTCCTCCAGTAATTTGTAATTTGAATGTATTCTACCCCATCCCTGCTGAATGCTGTCAGTGCAAGGATGTGCGCGAACATTGCCTGTCCTTTCTGATGCCTTCCCAGGTCCCTGAATGGAGTGATCGAGCAGATGGAGTCGCTGTCGGGCCGCATGGGCGAGCTGACGAACCGCGTAGAAAGCACGCACCACAGCAGCACGCATGAGCTGGAGATGGAGGCGCGGAGCAGGAATGCGCAGCTGCACGGTACGCGCATAACTCCGGTGGCGCTGTGGTCAGAGCATTTGGTTCGCAGTCAGAAGGTCACCCCACTGGAGTTAATCCAATGCATATCACCACGTTCTGGGAACTGGTCCCCATCACTGGTTTGGGGCTGCTAATGGAATGTTTTTTGTGTTTAGTTTGTTGTCCATCCTCCGATTAGCACGGTTGACTATGTATGGTGCGAAAGAAGTTCAACGTACATAAAATGGAGATGTGCATGGCACCAATGGTTGTTTTGTTCTCAGTTGACTAGGAGCCACACATCTGTGTTTTTGCATTTTCTCAGGGGAGACCGACACTTATGCATTTTATTTGATGCCCTGTGAGTTCCATTGTCCTCAGACTGAAGTTCTCGTAATATCTGTACTGTAGTCCAACAGCCAGATAATTTGATCATATTCAGTAATGCGCACATATGGTGACTATCATGTTTTCAAAGGTGAGAGTCCATTGAGAAAAAATAATGTTCAGCTCGTGGCCGGTCATTTTGTATATCAGTCTACTGATGATAACCGCATTCTCCCTAACAGTCTGTGTTGCCGACACATACTTGTCAGTAGTTTGGAACACAACGGGTATCTCTGTCTTTTTGTCTGTGCCGCAGAGCTGAAGGATCGCTTGGACCGGCAGCACAGGGACATGGAGGAAGAGCGAGCTCGCTTGCAGGATGTCATCTCCAAGATGGAGGCTAGACTTGGCGAGCAGACGCGCCAGCTAGAGCAGGTGAGGGCTGCAGAAGCCGAAGCATCGCAACATGAACGCGTTCGTCTGCAGGGTACACAGTCATGGATTCCGCTGACACGAGCACTGAGCAACACCTGTGGGCACCATATCCAAGAGCCGTTGTGCCCGCATTGGCTGTGTTTCGCACGAGCCTAAGGAGGCTGGGTTAGGCCTGACTTGCTCGCGTTGCGGAAAGGAAACGCGGTAAGAATTGTCCTACCGCGTTTATTTTTTACTTTTTATTCAAGAACCCAGAATACAAAGTAGAATTTGAAGAGGGGGAAATCATGCCTCACTCTTAAAGGGAGACACAACTCAAAAAACTAATATTTAATCTTGTAGATACATGTCTATATTATGTGTCCCAGGCTGTCCGATGCACGTTTACTATTTCATAAATGAGAAAAAAATACTTTTAAATAACAAGCAATCACAGCACTGTCAAGGCTCTGGATTAACATGCAAGTGCCATGAAGGATGTCACAGTAATGTCACAAATTTGCAATAATAAGGTGCTTGATCCTTACTTGTGTTTTTTTTTATGAATGATAAAGCTTTACATTCTTGTTGGACAACCCAGTGCATATAGCTCAAGTACTTATCTACAAGATTAGAGCTGTTAGTCTTTTGGGTTGCACATTTCTTTTAGGCAATAGCTCATTAGCTCCTTGCCTGGCCAGCAGGGTTGGGGAGTGCTGTAGGAGCACATGACCGGTAAAACATTGATTCTTACATACACCACTTGATCCACATGAATATAAGAATCAAATTTAATCCACGAGGAAATAAATCATGAAATGCCTATCGTGTATCGAAATTTGTTTATGCGAGTGCACACTGTTATCAGGTTAATTTATATGGATGTTTGTTGAAATTCTTTCACACTGTGCGCAGCCAACCATGATAATTGGAGGTGCGGGGGAAGGACAACAAACCGAACACAAAAAGCAGATCTTAAGAAATTTGCTTTCAATAAATATTAAAATGTGCATAGCTCCAATAGCTTCCTAATATCATAAAGCAGAGCGTTATAGACAGCCGCAGAAGCATATCTGAAAGCATGCGATGCAGTGACCGACTTTGTTCGATGGATAGCCAAAAGCTGCTGCGAGGATGACTGGAGTTTGCGTGATGGTTTATGCTCCATGCCGAGATCAGCGAGGTATTGTGGTTCATTTGTGGCAAGCACTTTGTGTGTAATGAGTGCGACCTTATGATGTATTCGACAACCGGAAGCCAATGCAGCTCGGCAAGCACTAGAAGGACACGGTCGGATCTTGCAGTACCCGTCACGACACGCGCCATAGAATTTTGCACACGCTACAGCTTGCTTGTGTTTTTGGCAGACGCCCAGAGTTTTAATGGCAGTGAACTGACGAAGCGGTGTCGCTGCAGGAACGCTGGAAGGTGAAGTCGGAGCAGTGTAAGATGGAGTCGCTGCAGCGTGGGCTGGAGGAGGAGCGGAGAGTGGTGATGCAGCAGCTCAACCTGGAGAGGGAGGAGCTCGACCGTGCCAAGGTGAGTAGCGCACAAATGCGTAAACCCAGCGTACGCACACGCCAGGTGCGACCACGGTCGCATATATGATAGCATTCCCATCTTGATTATTGTTAATTTCTCTGTCGGATTTTTTCATATTAAAAAATGCAGATGTCTCTATTGCCAACAAAGGGGTAAAATCTGTGAAATTATTTGTTTTGGCCGTTTAGTTAAGGTGGGAAAGATGTCCTAAACAATGATGCAGTTGGTGCGGCTGCTGCTGGCCACGGCTGTAAGGGTACCTCTACAAGTCAAGTGTAAATGACAGGTCAAAGTTGTTCCCTGCTTAAACGAGTGTGGGGTGGTGCTCATGAATGTCTCGAGCTGCTCGTAGAAATTTCACATTCCTCTGTTGGGTACCAGTCTATTTATAGGACAACCGTCGTTTTTTCCAGTGGCACACACGTTCTTACTTACTCAGGAGAAATGATGGTCTGAGCCAAACCCTGACTGCTCTTATTACAGTGCCACCTGGCTGGAGGCAAGTGATACAACCACATAGGGACCCCTGAATGTTGGGAGTTATGGTTAGGGTCCCCCGCTGTCACCTAAGGCCACTGTCCTGGCCCTGCTATTGTTGATCGTGTCTCTCCCAGGGTCCCGAGACTCTACCGTGCACAAAGGTGCATAATCCAGCAATTTTGAGTTGAGGATTGCTGGATCACATAGAGACGTAGTCTGTGTGAAACCCCTGCCTGCACAACACAGAGGCGGTACCCATAAGATGCAATACAGTAAGTAGGCTTCTGACTTACCCGTGTGGAGCTTGAGAGTTCGTCCCTAGCACGTGCGGGTTTTCTCCGGGTGCTCCGGCGAGCGGTGGGCTGGCGCGTTTATGTGTCACGGCAGACGTTGCTGTTGAAGGAGCAGGAGGCAGTGATGGCCCGGTGCGGGGAGGAGCGCAAGCGCCTAGCGGCGGAGAGCGCCGAGGCGCAGGAATGGCGTGCGCGCCGGGCAGACGGCGCCGAGCGAGAGGCGGCACGCAAAGCGGAACGTGACGCCCAGCGGGAAGCCGCCGTCATCAAACTAGCACAGGTGTGAACGCGCGTGTGTATGTGCGTCCGCTGGCGAACGTGCGGAGTTGCCAAAGCATGATCCAGTAGCTGAACAGGGCCTATGTTAACAGTGTAATTTTCCTCATCATCAGCAGCAGCATCATTAGTGTTATCTTCATTTTATTCATCATCTTTTTCTTCAGTATCTTCACCTGTAGCATCGTTACCAATGTAATTTTAATCATAATTGTCATCAAAATTATCATCCTAATTATCTTTATTATCGTCACCTCTTCATCGTCATTAGTATTACATTATCATTGGTATCAACATGACAGTGGGGTTGGTGGATCATGGCTGAGATGGAGCCTGAGAGAGACCTGCTGCAGATCATGAAGGTGCCGACATTCATCACTAGTCTCTGATAAGATTGGGTTTTCTCCTGACACTGATTTGCTCCACATTGAAAAATTTAGCACTCCTGAAAATGAGATCTCAGATTTTGAAATAAGAGCTAAGTCGCATCATTATTATTATGCATTGTTTTCCTGTATTTACAGAGCCAGGCTGACCTGACGGTGAGAGCTGGCGATTTGAAATCTCGGGAAGATCAGCTGAACAGGGAGAGGCAGGTCCTGGAGAGAGAGAGGCAGGAGCTGCAGAGAGAGAGGGAAAAGCTCAACGCTCTGGCACAGTCGTTGAATCTTCAGGCACAAGAGCTGGACTCCATGATGAAGGTTGTGGAACACGGGCATACCAGATGCATATTTTCATTATTATTTTTTTCTACACTTTTTTCTCTAGGGAGGCCTCACCGAGTCACATGACTCTCTTCCAGGTGGAACCTGCCAAGTTATCACAGTAGGAGGCGATGTTGCTTTGTGTAAACCCAATTGAGTAATTTTCAGGTCATGTTTCAGCATTAGGATGCTTGGCCAATACCAGTTTCATACTCATTTATTATTATTTATGTATGGCAGGAAACCAGAGAGCCTGGAGGAAACCCATGCAAAACAGTTGGTGACAATAGAAACTTCACAAAGGCACTCATGTCACGACTTGCTTTGAGGCACAAGTGTTACCACTGCACCACCCTGCCTCACAACCACTGCATGGGCTGTAGGTTACCACCCCCCTCCCCCCCCGCTGTAGATTAATTTAACAGTTTTAGCACTTGAAAGTGCGACGCAAGCAGAGCAGGTGACACAGCTGCACTGGTCGGCGCGTAGGCCTCTTCGGAGAAGTACGCGGATGGGGAGCGGGCGCTGCGCCAGGCTCGGCACATCGAGGGGGAGCATCAGTCCCGCCTCGACAACATCCACCACCAGATGGAAGCCCTGCGCGAGCATGAGCAGCGCGTGGTGCAGGTTTGCCCACTCACACCCATAAACGTCTACACGCACACGCACGCGCTCGAAGCGTGCACCAGCATACGCGTGCACGTACACAAGACACATTACCATACGTGTACCCATATGCACACAGGCACACAACAACATCAATCTCGGTTCTCCGCAAAGTGGCAGTAACGTCACTACAGCGTTTGTGCCATGCTAAGTGCACTTTGAGGCCATATAAAGTGTGGAAGGCCCGCTGGCAGGTCACGAAACAGACCACACACACGTACGCGTGATGCACATGAATGCAGACGTGCACACTTGGACACGTGTACAGAGATATGAGTGTGAACATGCACGCACATATTTACAATCAAAGGTAGTACACACGTACAATACAATGTGGATTGATATAGCATCTAACAAAGTGTGTATTTCCCATTGCATTGCTCAGGAGAAAGCCTCGATGGCCCAGGAACGACGAAACATGGGCCATCTGCCAGGAACCCCCACTCCAAAACTACACAGCAAATATCGACTCCGACACATGGACACTCATTGCAATACGTCCCTCCCGCCCAGTAGTAAGTGCATTACCACTTATGGCTTGTTACATGCAGGATCACTTGAATGGGTGCCATGATGGCGAGATGTTAACTACCTCGCCTGGCATACATGGAGGTCGTGAGTTCAATCCCGACCCTGACACCTGCATATTTGGAGTTTGCGTGTCTCTCTCCCCGTGGTCGCGTGGATTTTTCCCCCCGAGTCCTCATATTTTTTTCCTCCACATTTAAAAACATGTGTTTAAGAGTATTTGGCTGCTATACATTTCCACTTGATGTCACTTCGATGAGCTATCATTTGTGGCCAGGTCACTTCTGTAAAAGACCTATATATCTCAATGTGCCCTACCTGGTAAAATGAAAGATTGTTTAGTTTTTGTTGAAAGTTTTTGTAATTTCCTCTTCTTCTTTCGTGTGGCAGGGTGCTTAGCAATGCGCTCTGATGTTGAGGCTGGTGAGCTGGTTGAGGGCCCGGGATAAATGTTGTGAATTTCTGAAATGTCGCCAGCGACATATTTGGGCATTGTTGGACAATATGTTCAATGGTTTGGTTTTAATAGCCACTGTCGCAATGCAGGGGGGGGGGGGGGGGCTGCTTCTCATCTTCCACCAGATTCATAGGCGACCGCCACACCTGCCATGTGATATTGGGATGCGGTTAAGAGATGACGTTTTCCTTGGTAGGGCCATCCTGGTGGGTTCCGGGGTGGGATCGGTGATGAGGCTCTTGTTGGGACGTTGGCTTTGTCCAGTGTTGCTCTGCGCTGTGACTGAATATCGAAGGAGGGTGCTATGTTAAGAGCTTTTGCCTGGTCCTGGGCAAGATACATATATTTTTTATGCATTGTTAGGTGAGAATGAATTATCTGCAATTATAAATTAAGTTAATGTAGTTTAAATTAGATTGATACACTGTTGGGACTAACAAATTAGTTTCACCATTTAACAGGGGTTGTTTTGGGGGGAGACTGGCCCATGCCATGTGGATGTAATACTTTTGCCACTGGCTTGGGGCCACCAAGGTCGACGAGGAAGCAGTACTCAGTGTGCTAATTTCAACATGGCTACGCCTTGCTTTACCGTTGATTTAGGACATGGACGACGAAGATATTTTTTCTGTGGTTTATTCAGTGATTTTGTGCATTCACGGGACAGATGTCACAGGCTTTTTATTTCCTTCTGTAGCATCTGGAGCAAACTTTCAGAGTGCTCTCGTGCAGTCCCTCACATCCTCTGCTGCAGCTGAGCTGCATGCAAAGCTCACACTTTTCAAGCACACAGCCAGTCAGGTATGATGTTACACGTTCTGTTTCACCCAGATGTGTTGATTAAAGTCCAGTCTTCGTGACCCTTCATTTAATGCTTAACATGCATTATTGTCATCTTAATAGATATCATTAACAGATTAAGTAAACGTTAAATGTTCCTGCAGAAGTCAAATCAGCTGAAATCTCAATCATATCTTTATCTATGTCATTGTAAATAGTTGGGGCACTTGTGTATTACATTTTGAAGTCACAATGATCCAATGACTGGACCATGTAGTCATGTACAATAGTTATTCAATGCCTCCTGAAAGGTCTCGAGTCACTGAGAAATGTAGGAATATCGTGGCAGCGGTTCGTTCACAGCGTGTTGCACTGTGAACGTTCTCCCAATTCGATTGCTAGCCATGGCTAGCATGAGCTAATGTCTGAACTGGTCTTTGCCACACCGTCGCCAACCCGCGTTGGCCAGTGGAGATATAAAATATGGTCATGTAACCCCATGTAACCCCCCTTGGTGAAGTGGCATGGAGAGGGAGGCCTTCTTCTAGCAATGGATTGACAAAGGACGATTAGTTATACAATTTTTTTGTTTATCTAACAAGGATCGCGACTTCCTGGAAGACGAGGAACATTTCCTGCGCAGCCTGAAGAAGTCTTCCAACCAGTCCTCACTCTCCTTTGCCTGATCCTCACCAGGAGCTGTCACTGCGTGCTCCGTACAGTACCACCACACAGCTGAGCACCCAACGACTTGTTATGTTTAACGTGCGGGAAAGTCTCACCCGTATTAAGCTCCGTTTATTAGATTCCCGCTTTCCCCGTAGAAGTTAACAACTTTTTTGCATCAGTCTTTAGGAAGCCAGAATGAGCAGGGCTATTTTAGGAAACTCTAAAATGTGCCCCCCATTGATAGGAACGTGAGTGCAGCATTCGCTCCGTGAAACGTAATGGTTTGCTATAGGCAAGGGAAAACCATGTACAGAGGTCAGTAATAGGAGACAAGGGTGTAGGGGCGAATGCTATAATTTGTTTTTATACAGATTTACAATGCGGGGATTAACATGAGACCGAAGCAATCACCCAAATAGATGTGTCACTTTGATCAGTCTAATGTATTTTTTGTTATAACTAAACCCTAATTTCCTAAAATTCCAGTCCTCGCAACCTTCCGCGTTAAAATACATTCCTGTTGCACATTGCTTATCACGGATGAGAGATAACATATTGCAAATTCTGTAGAGGGCATATTCAAATGATGTGCTGCGTGAAAAGACTTCGTATTTGAATCGCGGCTATTGGTGAACAATAGACGTCGTGGTGGGTAGCGAGGACTAAAGTTTGGACAACTGCAGTATACACTAGGAAATTATGCCAATGTTAAATCTTTTAAATGCTAACTTGTAAAGGTTTGTATTCAAATTCAGCAAATCCACACAATTGTTTTTTTTATATTTTTCGAACGTTGTTCTGCGTTTATAGGCTACGTGGGTTTGTTTACCTCAGTGAACACATTTGCACTCTCATGCTATGCAGGACAGTCATGTCACTTGTATGAAAATAATAAAATACACCAATGCTTTGTTTTGGAATACATTTTATATAAACCAATGCAATCAAACGCAGCATTGTTTAACAAACTTGATGTCGTGAAGTGTGCCACGTAGTTTAGTGTAAGAAGCTCGACTGAGGCTTTAAAATCTATACAGTTGTAATGCAGCTCTCGGAGACGCCGCCTTGTCTTCTGTATATTTATTAAGAATAAAGTCCAATGACAACTCCACACGTAACCGCGAGTGACTCTGTACACTTGGGTAGTGACACATTCTGAGACAACGTAGCTTACAATCTCAAGATAACTCGCAGACGACGGAGACGACTCGATCCAAGGAGGCGACGACCTCGACGGGAGCTCCCCACACCAAGCCGCCCCAAGCCTCCGCCCCAAGCCTCTGCCCGCGCTGCTGCTGATCTTCGCCCGCTCTGGCCACGCCATGATTCCAGAATTCTTCTCTCCGCACCTGGCCCTGCCGATCACCGCCATTATTACACTTTACCGCCATTGGATCCCGTGCTCCCCCACACGTGACCCTGTCAATGCTCGTCTCATTAATCATCATTAGCCCGTCCCTGGGGAACCAATAGATCGCAACACGACGCAATCGTCATCAGGGGTGGGACAACCACAGCAAGAAAGACCCATAGGCCTACTTCAGCAGTTTTTTCTTGCTGTGGTTGTCCCACCTGATGACGATTGCTTGTGTTGCGATCGAAACGTCGCGATCTATTATTTTTCTACCTACGTGACTTTACCGAAGAACCAAAGAGTTAAGCTTCAAATCAAGATTGTCATTACACAGTGAAGCATTATAACATCCACGGTGTAGTTTTAGAAGCTCCGCATAGTCACCGCTCACACTGTCCCTGGGATCACCCTTAAAGCTGGAGGATGTGGAACCAGAGAAGGGTACTTCCAACCACTAGAGAAGCAGCAGATGAAATGCGTCAACAAAGTCAAGTGTAATACACACATCAAATTACTCCAGTGGCTTAATGTTTAAGTGTCTAGTTATCTTCCTCCAGCAGAGCATGCTGTCAACTCCCTGCTCCTGTTCAAGCCCACACTCAAGACTCCATTTTTACTTTGCCTATGAATGACCGTCTCTCTCTCATTATAAAACATGCCAAATGTGTCTACATTCAACTGGAGTATAATAAGCTGGCTGGGGGGGCTTTGCCGAATGGAGTTCAAGCATAAGCACGGGTGGAGCTGCTGCCTCGGTACAAAGGGGAGAATTCCCTTGGTGAATGATGCAGATGTAGCCACATGGGGGGCCTTCAGCTCTTCAGTTCAGCACCACCTGCTGAGTGCGTTCACGGTGAAAGACTGATGGTTTTCCTCCCTGTTGCTTTGCCAGCACTCATCCATTCAGATCACACACATTTAGAAGTTGTCACGTGTAGTTTACTTCTTTACATGATGCTTACAGAAAATGGCAACTTTGGTTCATTAAAAATAATTACATGTGGAGAGAAATAAATGCGCATTCGCTTCAGATAACTTTGTTGTTAAAGGAAATGGACCATCAATAGAAAATCAAGCCTTAACGTCTGTTACTAACCTCAAACATCAGGTGAAATGCGGTCATATTTTTTGCAAAGCTCTTTGCTTGAAGTTGTAAGGTTACAAGTTCAAATGACGGCCAGTGGTTGACTACACACATTGTTGCTGCATAGTTAAAATGACAGTGGTCCCCCTCGGGTTAACAATATTAATTGGTTCCATGAAAACCATCGTCAATAGAAATGATCGTTAATAGAATATAGGAAATACACAATTTATCTACCTTTATAAACCCTGGTCGAGGCATCCTTCACATTGAAACCTTTGAATTTGTCCTGCTGAATAGTCGTGAAAATGATGAATTGGGGCAGGCCATATTCACTAACCAGAGCACTTGTTTTTACACCTATTTCGTGTTTTTCAATAATTTCCTGATTAATTTGCACACCAATTGTTTTGTTCACTTGTCTACATATGCATTTTAGGGGCCTTTGTGATTGATCTTATTTAACTTTTAAGTAAAAAACAAGGTATTCAAGAGAGCTGTTTCCATAAGCAACATACATTAAACATTGCAAAGCTAGCCAGTTACTATCAAAACACTCATGAGAGGGCATCGCTGATTGGCTGAGGTCTGCTGAGTCCACTTAGGAGCGCTCCGATTTGCCGTTAATCGAAATATCGTTAATCGATGGCATCGTAAACCGAGGGACCACTGTAAAAAACCAGTGGCCGTCTTATGGAAAAACTGGCCGGTCATGGGAATGTTAAATTTTCTCCCCTGGGTCAGGGTCACCAATAACAAAGCAGTGCCATCCCATTGATTGTTTGACCTTGGAGACACTGCAAAAGTTCGATGTGGTTAGGTAACCCTTCACATGAGCACAGCGAACAATGAGTGGGCTGCACACAGCGTGGATGAACTGTGCGCGCTCTGCAGCAGCAGCAATCGCAACGTGTCGAGTGGGGCGAACCCTTGCTCATCCCATGTTCGTGCAGGAATCAGCACTTTACCGTCTCGTCCTTTTGCTCAATGATTCCCGTAGGTGGGCTCATTGCTTTCGCGGTACAGGTCCAGGTAGCGAAGAGTCTTCTTGTGTGGGTACTTGACTTGCGGTGGGTGGTATGGCTTGGGCCAGTCGTACTCAAACACTGGCTCACGCATATCTGAAAATTAACACAATGACACCGAGTGTTTTAAGTGCACAATAGATAATTTTGGCTCGTTGATGGATCCTCGCAAATGTCCTCTTAAACTTGCTCTAATGCCTTTACTAATAACTCGTAATATTGCTTTGACTTGGCATTAATAATTGGATTTATCAGAAATGCGCATTGTATTTTTTCCCAGATTTTTTAATTATTATTTTGTATTATTGCAATGGAGTGTTCAAATCATAATGGTGGCTCATTAAGGAAAACAATTTCAGCTAAATTGTATTACACAGGGCTCTAACTAGAAAAGTTTTCACAATTAAAAAAAGTACTACGAAGCAGAAACTAATATTCACTGCAGAATGTGCAGAGTTAATTGCATTCAACACGAATGCAGAATTGTATCATTACAACACATGTGCACAATTGCAGTATTTTTTAAAAATGTAATGTTTCAGTGAAGATGAGCATATCCAATGCTGCTGATGTTACAATACCTCTCCCCATTGCTTCCTTTCCACATGACCATCACCATCTTGGCTTCAGCTCTTCCCCTAAGCTGCCAGCCGATAGGCACTCATTCAAATGGCAGTTTCGGTAACCCACCATTGAAGGATGCTCACTACCGGCCGGTATGTGAACATGTGCCTATGACAAAACATGCCTATTACAAAACCAGTTTAACACGTAGGCTTTCGCGACCAATATCCATAATAGAGGGTTTTTTGGGTTAGATCGCGTAATTATATAAATGTGTCGTTAAACCCGCCAATACCCGACACAGCCAATTAGTAAGGGTTGTCACGTAAACAGAACGTGCCAATTCGTCTCTAGTACAGCACACCGGTGTGTTGGAGAGCCAAGTCACAAAATTTACAATCTGAGTACGACGTTTCGCCAGTAATTACAACTAGCTTCAACAGGCGACAGCCAGATTTGTGGAGAAGTCCACCTGTTTCGTTCCATATATAGAGGCATAGATGTGGCGACCACACTTCTGCGCTCTTGCGCAAAGTTGGGGGGGGGGATTAATGAGTCAACGTACATTATGCATGCGCATTATGCGAGCCGTTTCATCTTGTCCTTCCTGCCCATTGTGCGTATTAAAAGAGCGTACCAACGGTCATCCCTGCACCAGTTGTAGGCACTCCTATGACTGCCTTCCACTGTCACCAAACACTCTGCTTCTCCTACTACCCGCTCTCATCTACTCCGCACCTCACCTACTCCGCACCTCACCTCCTCTGCATCTCAGCTGCTGCCCTCTCCTACGCTGTCCCGTACCCACTCACCCGTCTGTCACGGGCGGGGGGTTCAGCCAACACCGCCCGGCGACGGCGTGAGGGGCGAGGTCCCGTTGACGGCTCGAGCGGCAGCGGCGAGAAGTCTTCTTTCTTGGTCCGTGAACAACTCAACTCAGCTCGCGCACGCTCCTGCTTCTATACCCCTCCTCATTCCGAGTCCTCACGTGCTTCCCACTTAAGCTGTCGCTTTCGCCTGTCGCACTCATTAATCCCTTATCATCACCCCCAACTCCCGTCTGTCCGGCGCCAACCTCCTGCCCCAGCGCACACACCTGCTCGTCCTCGATTGCACCTGCTCAACTGCGTGCACTGCGTATATCTCTACTCTACATAAGTATGGTGGCCCGTATAGGCATGAATTTAAACAAGGTATTATTTGATGATTCACTACCACGCAGCATTATCTCGGTAGCTATGCGAACGGTTAAAATTATTTTATTTCAATTTCGATAGATTATCTAATTAGTCTTGGCCAGTAGTAGCTAGTTTTGCACAGCACTTCAACATTATCAACATCAATTGAGTGTCCTTGTTGGCACGCGTGTTCTGCTACTACTGACAGTTGTATTTGGGAGCATTTAATATTTCTTTGATGCTCTTTTAGTCTCGTGCTGATCATTCATCCTGTTTGCCCAACATAGCATTTGCCACAAGTGCAGTTAATTCTGTACACACCTTCTGGTGATAACTTCGGTAATTCATCTTTTGTGTAAGAAATTAATTTCGACGAGGTCGAAATGGTAAAATAACACAGCGTTTACCGAAAGAAAACGCATACGGACGCCTATCTGAATGCAAAGTCACACCATCACCCCGCACAGAAATCTGCTCTTATCAAGACGCTCATTCATCGAGCTAAGAAAGTGTCAGATGGTGACAGTCTGAGAAGTGAAATTAAACATGTTAAAGAAGCGCTGCAAATGAACGGTTACGATGCACAAATAACAGGGCATTGAATGCCAAAACCAAATGAAATAACAAGAGCATTGAAACTACCCAAGTATTTAAAACTATTAAAATACCTTGATTTAAAGCTTTCGTGACTGCAGGAATTCATATTCTTTGGGTCTTTCGGGAAAGCCACGTAAATATAAAAATAATAAAAATATCACGACGTTTCGATTGCAACACAAACAATCGTCATCAGGTGAAAACAATATAGTGGGAGAGCTGCAGAAGCAGGTTGTTTATAGGTTTGAGATGGGTTTAGCCCAAGGGTAAGGGGGTGGGGCTAGAGATGGAATTTGCATGTGAATGTAAGATCGGAGCTGGATGTCTCACTAGCACAGCCACCGTTGCGGTGGTTCGCTTACATTGACATGCTAATCTCTCACAATACAATGGCCACCGCCACAGCCAGTCGTCGTGGAGGTATATCAGCTCTCCGATCCTACATTTACATGCAAATTCCATCTCTAGCCCCACTCCCTTACCCTTGGGCTACACCCATCTCAAACCTATAAACATCCTGCTTCTGCAGCTCTCCCGCTATATTCTTTTCACCTGATGACGATTGTTTGTGTTGCGATCGAAACGTCGTGATATTTTTTTTATTATTTTTCTATCTACGTGGCTTTACCGAAAGACCCAAAGAATATCAAAATACCGTACATTGTGGGAGTAACTGATAAACTAGCCAGATGTTTGGAAAAACAAAACATCTGAGTAAGATTTGGCACAAAACATAAAATACAGAAATTAATATCTGGCACAAAAGATGTATTACCGAAGCTATCACCAGAAGGTGTGCACAGGATTAACTGCACTTGTGGCAAATGCTATGTTGGACAAACAGGACGAATGATCAGCACGAGACTAAAAGAACATCAAATAATATTAAATGCTCCCAAATACAACTGTCAGCAGTAGCAGAACACGCATGGCCAACAAGAACACTCAATTGATGTTGATAATGTTGAAGTTCTGTGCAAAACTAGCTACTACTGGCCAAGACTAATTAGAGAATCTATCGAAATTGAAAGAAGTAAAAATAATTTTAACCGTTCCGATAGCAACCAACTTAGTGGTGCGTGGAAGCGAATAATCAAGTAATACATTGTTTAAATGCATGCCTATATAGGCCACAATACTTGATTAGGGATAACCGTTGGTACAGCTATTTTAATACACGCAATGGACAGGAAGGACAAGATCAAAGAGCTCACATTGTGCGCATGCATAATGTGAGTTGAATCATGAATCCACCCCCTCTCCCCACTTTGTGCAAGAGCGCAGAAGCATGGTCACCACATCTCCGCCTCTATATAAGGAAGGAAACAGGTGGACTTCTCCACAAATCTGGCTGTCGCCTGATGAAGCTAGTTGTAATTACTGGCGAAACGTCGTACTCAGATTGTAAATGTTGTGGCTTTGCTCTCCAACATACTGGTGTGCTGTGCTAGTGACGAATTGGCACGTTCTGTTTACGTGACAACCCTGACTAGTTGGCTGTTGGGTGGTGGCCGGTTTAATGACACATTTATATATTTACGCGATCTAACCCAAAAATATTACAAAACCATCCGCAGAAAGAGCCCGACGTCATCAGATCTTAGAATCTAAGCAGGGTTGAACTTAGTGCTTCGATTGGTGACCACCATGCACAAAACAGTTGTTATAGACTGTTGCAGGGCGACATTGCGGGCAGCACAGCAATATGTATTGTTGGACAATACTTCTATGCTCCCTACCTTCGCCAACCCACAGTGAAGTGTGATCAAATAAATTCGCCACGACTCACATGTGTGGGGAGGCCCTCATCCAGTAGTGGAATGACAAAACATTACGTTGTATTCAATGAATGCTGGTCCTTTGGGCTTTGTGTTGCAACTGCATGTTCCTCACCGAGTGTGTTGTGGAAGATATCTGTGACAGACTCGTCCCAGTGGCTCTGGAAGAATGCGATCCCGGCCGGAGTCAAGTCATCCTCATGCTTCTTATAGAAGTCAAATGTCCGGAATGTGCGCTCTTTCAGGCTGCGACTGTAGAAAAAATAAGGAGACGGAAAGAGGAACACATGGGTTTGAGAACAAATGTAAGTTAAAGACATCATTATTACTATTAAAAAACGTGGACTTGGATAGGCCATGGCACTAGAAGGGATGAGGCCGGTGGTTAAGACTAATGAAAGAGTGAACATACCCGGGAGAATGTCTACCATGGAGATGGAGAATTAAAATCACCTCAGGAGATAGATGGATTGCTGCATCGCTAGATTGTAAGGGACCGCGATGGCGTGGGGAGGGGGGAAGCTTTCATCGTTGACGATGGTGGCGAGTCGCATTGACACACGAGTGAATGAACGTAACAGGTGGGAGGGGATCTTCGGTGCATGTGCTGCATCAGCCCTCACCATGGCTCTGGCCGAATCTCTGTGCCAAAATCGAGGAGGTGCTCCTGCTTGTAGAGGAGGAACACGAGACGGTGATAGCCGGTCCCCTTTGCCGGGAACGGTGTCAGATAGTGGCACACAGTCTGTCCCATTGACACCCGGCCTCCCGGTATGTTCCCGCTGGAACGCACACGCACTGTGTCAAGGTCATGTCTAATTTCACGTGTGTGCACCATCTATATACTATAACAATTCCAGTCTTTCTCATCTGCCAATGGTTGAAAGACAATCCATGCCATGTCGGTAATGGGTAGGGGTTGGCAACCTGCAGCTCCAGAGCTGCGTACGGCTCTTCAAGGCCTGCTTCACGACGTTAGTTATTCAGGACCACAGTCTCTCGTATTCACATGCATTGCGGCTCTTGAAATATTTTGGTTGTCGACCCGTGACCATGGGTGTTTTTTGACCAACTCCATACTAATCAGCGTGAGATGTTGAAGGTTTGATGGACAGGACCGGTTCAGATATCAATTGCCACTTGTGTGAGCTGGGAATCAAACTAATATGGCCAGGTTTACTGTAGGCACTACTCCACCCCCATACACTATATCAGGACAGATATCTCCTCTTTATGGCATACAATTTGTATTTATATGGGGTCTAAATACAACCGCATCTCACCAAGACGTATAATACAGTGTGTCTCCTGTGGAAAGAGGCACATTCGTTTACTTTATAAAGACCGAGACAAAGGCAAAAGAGAATAGAGTTTCGTAGGCTGATAGTGATCCCCTACTGACACAGACACGGCACCAATGGGTGGACAACTTCACACCTGCCTGCCTTTCTTTGCCTCCCCTAGTGCTGAAACTTAAACACTGCACCAGGTACTCATCAGCTGTGAATTTGCAAGTTTAGTTTTTACACTTGTAAAATTGTTAAGTATTGCTCTTAAATTTGTTTCTATATTATCCTGTTTTTGTGTGAGTTTATGTATGATCCTTTATAAATCTCCACTATTGCTGACCAGCTTGGGCTGGATACCTGTAAAAAAGAATTGTTAATAACTCATCAGGTTGCTTCAGCTTAAATCAAATGTTTATGTATACGTACCAATGCCTGAGACAACCATAACATTAAGCTGATACATGAACAATTCAATATTAAAGTGAATACATAAAAAAAACCTGACCTGTTTAGGGTATTAATCCAATGACAAAAGAATAAATTTCAGTTAAAAACTGCATAAACACCAACTAATCAAGCATGCTTGTGGAGAATGTTAATAATGAACATAACTCATTCCCTTATTGGTATTTCCACTTAAATACGTTTTTTTAAATACAACATCTTAGCAGCATTTAATTCAACCAATGCTGGTGAGCAAAATGTCAACATTATTTGATCTTCACTCATGTCGTATCGGTGTAGACTTACACAAACCAATGTAGGTATTCTGACTCGTTATCCTGCAAGTGGCCATCTGCAACAGGCGAGATCAGAACATTGTTGGGACTTATCCAATGTGAAACCCTTGATTACCCCTACTCACAAAATATGATTTGTCATAGTACATCAAAGTTTCAGTTATACAGTATAATTTCGCAAAATTATAGTAATATATTTGTGCATCAACATAATTGGAACATTTACAAGAACATTATATTTTATTAAACGTAATTACTCGGAATTAAAGGTTTAACATGCCACTGGATTAAATAGTAAAAAAAAATTAATTAGGCACATAAAAAATAATACGAAAATGCATAAACATAAAAAAAATTCAGATTAATAAAACACCATTAACTCTACCTGTTGTAAAGATGTATGAATTGTACATTTCTAACAATGTTTATAAAACATGTAATTTTAGATTATATAATTGACATAGTAACATTGACATAATTTAAGTTGGATATTTGTGTGCAGCACCCTGGAATGAAATGGTTCCATGTTGATAAAAGTCGTACCGAGATTAGTTAGGATGAGCGTCCAGAGCGAATCTTCATTTGCTTCGAAAGTTACTTCTGGAGCCTCTTGCGTCTTTGGGTGTGACAAACGGGTCAGTGAAGCTCACTAAAGTTTAAAAAATACTCAAAAGAGACTATTGGTGGGGGTTAACTAAATTGTACTTTTTAGAAATAATTCATTGTAATTTGTAAATCTACATGACAAAGGGGTCATTCTCAATTACCCACACACTGCATACGTTATTCAAGCATTCACAAATGAAAAATGTATGCTGGGTGGTGCTGTGTTAGAACATTCGACTAACAGTTGCAAGGCTGCAAGTTCAAATCCGAATCAGAGATTAACAAATCTGCAACATCCCTACAGGATCAATACCATGATTATAACTTTGTGAAAGGTCAAGAGTGGCCCTATGAACATACTGGCCCCCGGCATGGAAATGTGGAATTTCAGCCACTGCCTCAGGAATGACAACGGTGATGACAACCGCTCCATTGCTCGTTAGAACGTGGAGACCACCCTCTCAATTTATACAAATATGCTCATGACATTTCGAATATATTGCAAAGGCGAATATATTGCAATGGGACCATTTATGTCACAGACTCTGTGCTCGGCTAATAAACAATCATGTGGCTGAGCTTGGATTGAAATGGTAAAGGAATCCGGAGGAGGGCGGCATCGCACATCTTCCCACCTCGAAGGGCATGAGCACGTTGCCGTAGTAGACGGGTGCAGTGGCATCCTCTTTGGGCAGGGCGTACGCGACGCGCAGCATCACACGCGGCACGAACTCGGCGCCTTTGTACATATCCCGGTAGATGCCGTAGTGCGAGACGATGCCATGGATGTGCTGGGGCCCTGTGGTTTTCTCCCAGTCAGCCCGCACCTCGTCCAGTGGGATTTTCACTGCGCAGAGTAGAGGGAAACAATGAGATGAATCTTGGCACGAAGTCAAGTGCAATGTTAAATGTGCCACATGTTACATTGTGTCTTTACCACCAACCCAAGCAGATGTCATTTGTATAACACCAGCATAGAAGTTCAGTATCTAATTATTTGTAATCAAAAGGACGTGTGGTATACAGGTAGTCCTCTACTTACGATGGAGATGCGTTACGACGACCCCATCGTAAGTCGAAAATATCGTAAGTCGAAGATGGCCTCGCCTACCCAGGAGTCTTAAAGAATGGTGATTATTTAGCAAAACAGAGCAATTTACAGTACCGTACTGTATATACTATATACTGTATGGCTTTATTAATTACAATACTGTATTGCACAGTAAAATGTAAAGTAAAAAAAACAAGGTAAATTCTTAGCCTACCTATATGAACTGCAATTTAATAGAAATTTTTTTCAGGAAACAATCCTATCTGCTATAAAAAACTTTGAACATGCATTGAACGTATCGTGGTAACCTTAAAATGAAATCGCTAAAGCTACGTATCACACATGCATTGAAAGTATTGTAACGTATCATATTGTATTGTACTCGCCAAGATTCTGCCCGTCGTCTGCATACTTGAACGATGTTAAGTTGTTGATGGCAATTTTGTGGTATCGCTATCGCCATCGTAAGATCGAAATATCGTAAGTCGGACCATCGTAACTCGGGGACTACCTGTACAGTGTTTCCTTTTAACAACACTGATTGCAATACATTTTCAACACTTTGAAAACTATACTATATAACCTGAGAATGATGATTCTTAATATTTGCCACCCAAAATATGTCACACTCAAATGACACTATGGTGGGGTTTAATACCTAGAGTACTGAGTCAGCACTGCTGAGTGGTTTCAAACATGATGCAAGTGGGTTCTCGAGTGTAGTGAGTTGATGATCTCAGCCTGCTCGCCAATGACTGCACACACAAAAAAAGGAAACTTTTATTTTTTTCCCTTTGTTTGGCTTATTTAAACTCTAAGCATACTTTATTTTAGTTCCAATGGCATATGAGAGGGCATCTAATCTTGTGTACCAAGCACAGATAAAGAGACGAATTAAAGTCTTCAGAAGTAATTTCATGACATCATATTCAGGTGCAGCATCGTATGGTGCATTGCTTTTTGCCAAAGTACCTTAAAGGAGAGTTCTTCACCTCATGGCATAATGCCACATTGGCAATTGTAAACTAAATATCTGCTTGCCGAGCTGTGACCGCATAACCCATGCCCAGGGTTGTCACACCACCTCTGAGCTACCAAGAACCGGGATATAATATTGTGAAAATATCTCACAGTACCAAAAGAGGGGTGAATGACATGTATGCAACTTAAATAAAGCGGTGACTTTTAATGTCTTGCGGGTTACAGACTTATAGATTTCTCAGGATAGCTACCTTAATAAGAGGACCCGCTTCTGGGTAAACTATGACAGGGTAGCAATCCTATTCACGTGTGCTAATTGGAGATACGAGGAAGGATAACAAAATAAACACAAAAAGCAGTTCAAAAGAAATTAGTTTGTCAATCTAGATGATTTAAAAGTCCATAGCTCCAGTGGCTTCCTAATAGCAGGAAGAGAATTGCAGACGGCCGCAGAAGCACATCTGAAAGCACACGATGCAGTGACCGCCTTTGTTCGATGGGCAGCCAAAAGCCACCGAGAGGAAGACTGGAGTTCGTGTGATGGTTTACGCTCCTTGACAGTATCAGCGAAGTACTGTGGTTAATTTGTGGCAAGCACTTTGTGTGTAATGAGTGCAACCTTATAGCAACTTCATTGCTGCTTCAGTGCATGGCTGCTCACGTGTTCGCATCCTGGCAGCCCTTTCCAGGTCGGCATTCCTCCGGTTCTCCCGCAGCACGGTCCTTCGCGCCAGCCTCTCTGCCGCGCGTGCAGGGCGCAGGTGCGGTAGCCCGATGTCGACGGGCCGCCTTGAGCCATTCTCATCGGGTTTCACTTTTGCTGAAAAATATAATAAATGATTACATTCTGGATTTTTAAATATATGATCACATGATATGGATTTCTGCAGGCATGAAAGCTTCACATCATATTTAATTATAGTTTAAAAAATATATATGCTTACATATCTTGTTAAAAAAATACGATTTATTAATATGATTACATATGAAAACATGATCACATTAAATGATTACATGTGAAAATATGATTACATATTATGACATCATATGTAATCATATTTTCTTTTATCCAGGAATGCCTTTCCTATTCCCACTTAAAGTTACCACCTCTGAGGTACAAAAAACTGGAGCAGAACTACGCTCTTGTTATTCTGCCCTTGGCAGTGTGACAGCTACCTCAAAAACGTATGATCCTGGGATAACCAGGACAGATGGCAATGATAGTTCCAAGACTTTGTCCAGAGGGTTCCACCCACATTGGGATGTTTGGCCTATTTAATTCATGTGCATGCCTTTTGGAAGGAAACTAGATAATCCCACACATTGGGATGGGCTAACACTTGAAGGTCCATAAGACAGGTTTACAAATTCAGTTTGCCATCTTCTGTCCACCATCCAGCCCAGTTAGATTTTGGAGTTTCACAAACCCGCGCGATTCACAAACCCTTGCCTCCAAAGCAACTAACCACAGGCGAGCGATATTACGCCACATCCTATTACAGGAACTGGAAAGGGCGCTATATACATCCTAAATAGAACCGAATAGGGCTTGGCAGTGTGGCCATCTCTTGGCAGTCTAGTCATCTAAAGGTCTTGGCAGTGTGGCCATCTTTTCGCTAGACTGCCAAGCCCTGGAGTAGGATGTGGTGTAATATCACTTCGCCTGTGGTCAGTTGCTTTGTAGGCAAGGGTTGAGAAGGTGCGGTGGCATCAATGGGTTTGGTCGTGATGATATCTTGATCTTAATTTGTGCACGTCGAATTACCCTGTCTCTGCACCGACAGCTTGTTCTGAGGGAAGGAGGGCCCCCTTCGGCCCAATGCCCAATGAAGACATTGATGTGCGGCATCTCTTGGCCAGACTGCCACACACCTCCGTTGTAGAGCATGAAGTCGCGGTACGTCTTCCACCACTTGTGCTTAATTCGCTCAGCCTCTGCGCGCTTGTAGTAGGGAGTGTAGCTGCGGTACTTCTCCAACTCGTCCAGCTTCCGCACATCGATGTCCTCGTTGGGCATTGGGCCCAAGGGGGCCCTCCTTCCCTCGGCACAAGCTGTCGGCGCAAGGAGAGGGTAATTCGACACGCACAATAAATTAAGATCAAGATGTTATCACGAGCAAACCTGTTGATTCCTCCGCACCTGGTTAACGTGTTCTACCCTCCTCCAGAACCAGAAGCTAATGCAGAGTAGACACGCGACCTCCAAGATCTGCCCCTGGCCGAATCATCCCACTATCTCCTCTGAGGTCTTCTTCCTCTTGGTCGCGATTCGTGGACACAACGCCAATGCCCAACCACATCCTGCACACACGTACTAACAGTGCAACCGTTTGATGTTGTTGTTGCAAAGGGCGTTCATCAATGTATTATCCACTATTACATACTTCTGACGGCAGTTAGGGCGATAAAACTCTTCGTATGAACACTTGGAGGTTGGAAGTATTCAGGGGTTTGAGAAGTGTTCTTCACCGCAAAGCCCGCGGGCCCCTGGTGACCTTTAGTGCGGCCCCCGACTATACAGAAAAGTAAAAACACCCCCCCCCCCCCCCCATTGCTGTCAAACCTCAATGATTCCAATTGTGGCGATCCCCACACTGATGTCTTATTGGCGAAAGGGCCCCTCTGAAAATGAGTGACGAACACTGGATCAGCGTCTCCCATGCGTCTTAACCTCCACGTTTACGCCTCGCCATAAGCGACGCGCTTCGCACTGAGACTTTGGAGAGTCCAGGGTGTTCGCCAACATCGCGACTCAGCTTGTTTCAAATGATTCCGGTGACGCGATGTTTATTTTGTTTAACGAGGAGAGATCTCAAAACACCAGGATAGTCTCGTTTTCAAAAGTGGCCTGGGGTAATAGTCTGAGAGTAAGGGGCAATTATTGCTTTCCCAATTTAGTTATTTTGCGGGCAATTTTCAAATGTGGACCCTGACGCCGGCACACGATGGGCCTGCTCCTGCGAATACCGTCCAGTGTGCACCTGCGCCGATTCCGTAACCTTCGCCGAGTTTAAGTATACACAGGAGACACGAGCGAGGACGCCGGTACTGGTGGTGATGACTGCTTAGCACGGCTTGGCTACGTATGGTGCGAAGGAAGTTTAACGTACATACAGATGGATACTGTGGTGGCATTGAGGGAGTGATAATGGTGATGATTTCGACACAAGATGTTGACGCTAACACCAAAACCAACTCTGCCTGCTGCCTATGATGATACAAATCCAAGTTCGCAGAAAGTTGATGCTGTTAACGATGATGATCATCCTACTGCTGATAGGTAAGGCAGTCAATGATGGCAGTTGTGACATCAGACTCGTGGTGGTGATGCTGACAATGGCCATCGTGATGCTATTGCTGCCGCTGCTGCCAATGCTGCCGATGCTGCTGCTGCTGTTGTTGTTGTTGATAGTAAACGAACCGGTTGTTCTCAAGGCGCGGCTGAGTCCCAGTTGCTTGGCCACCGCCGCGGCGAAGCGGCCTCTCGTCGCCAGCCCCGCCATGACCTTGCCTTCGTTACCGATTCGCCCCGTGGAGTCGATTACCGCCCATCTAATCGATATCTCGATTCCCACACCCACTGACAACGTTTGGAATGGATAACACATTTTATATTCGATTCCGATTTAACAGCTGCGCCAATGGTAGGAATCGATTAATAAGTCGTGATAGTTATAGGCCAGCTGAATCGATTCCTGTCGGTGAAAGTGACCATGTGCACGCGCTATCGGATTTGTTAGAGCGCATGAGTGGAATTCCGGCGCGCGATTGGTGCAGGCCAAAGCACGTGACTGCGCAGGTGAGCCAATGGGATGAATGACTGCGTGCGTTTCTAGTGTATGGAATACAATAGGAGGGACGTGCACCCTCATTGAGGATCCTGACTGCAACCAAAATTCTACTTAAACCATTCCGGCAACTCGCTTGTTACGAACGCCTTATTATCGTACAATATCTTTAAATTATAAGCATTATCATTGTAATATATGTTCTGGTACGCATTTTTATAACTTAGAAATTGCTTCATAAACGGTTGTTGAATAGTATTAATAACATCGCTGCATAGACTGGTTCCGGTCCTTTCACCTACGGTGGCCGAGCGGCGCATAAACGGAAACGCGTTTCACGTGGCCCCCACGTGAAACGCGTTGCTGCTGTAGCTGCTGTAGCTCCCTCGTGTGGCCTCAAGCCGCGATTACCGTTCCACAGCGGCCGCAGGACGATTCTCTCGCTACGGGTCGGGCGGGTATCTAAATAATGTTGCCTTAGTTTTACTGTTGGAGCCTTAAACATTTACGTTGCATTGTAGTAATCCTACAAATGGTCTCGTGTAACTAACATGGCTTGCAGCGAGCAACAATTCTACAACACACTGCTGGGATGCTGGGAAAGGGCGTCCCCCTCTAACGACTGCGAGGAGTGTCGACGTTCCTGGTCTTATGTTCTTCCACCTTCACGAGTGGCTAATCACAATTTTTTACGGCATTGTTTTAATGCTTAGACAGGAGCTTCCGCTTGATGCACGTTTCATTTGTATGTCCAGTGACGTCTCTATAAAGGTAGACGTACAGTACCGAGAGCCAATCTGACGGGATCTTTCCGTACGTATCTCTGCAGTAGAAAGTAAAACCAACATGCCATGCCTTGCACAAACCTGCACACGCAGTAGGCCAATATCACAGATCGCTTCTCGCAAGGGAGCGGCTTTTATGAACTCAGTTCGGGGGCTCTGGAGGTGGTCACGATCTGTGAGCTGTGAGCCACCAGGGCTGAGTGAGCTTCCCCCGGCTTCAGGTTCCCCGCAGTCCGCCTCGCCCGACCTGCACGACCACGAGGCGACTCTGTACGTACACGTGAGTGACCCCCCCCACCACCAACTCCATACTAAAGTTGAAGATGCCACAAGGTTTTGTGGGCTGGAGGGAGGAAGGTCTGTTAAAAAGAAACGGCTCATGTCCACGTGCATCCGTAGAAGTGTGAGAAGGCACACGGACGTGGCATCATAGCAGCACAGTTTACAATCCACCGCCTCTTCGGCAGTAGATACACAGCCCTCGGCTCTTGTGTGTCTGGGGCCGTCCCACGCTCGGTCGGTTTGAAGACTCGTTGTGGAGAAACTAAAACACCGCCGACTGCTCCCATCGCCCTCCAGTGGCGGTCACCGCAGTGACCTCTCGCTGACCCCCGTGGGTTGTTCGTGGAACGCGGTGAAGTCCACGGAACCTGCCACACGGAGTGGTGTTGAAATGGGACAGACGTGCTGAGGGCAATCACTACCAGAAGCCCTTAATAGTGCAGTAACTACGTTTAGGGCAGCAGAGGTCAATGCAGATAAACAATTGTACTGTGCTCTCTATGCTCTCGCCAGTGAGCCCACACTGACCACCACGCTCGACCCGCACGGCGTGGGGAGGCCTTCATCCAGCAGTGGATTGTCAAAGGGGCCGTACAAATATATTGTAATTACCAGAGGTGGGACAAAGTCATTGTTATGCAAGTCCAAGTCGAGTCTGAAGTCATCAAATTCATGACTCGAGTCTGACTCGAGTCCAAGTCACATGACTCGAGTCCACACCTCTGCTAATTACTGTATCAAGGTTGCTGCTGCACGGTAACCTTTTTGAGAATCCATTACCGGTTCCGAAAATCAGGATGCGGTAAGGGGCCGTCCATAAATGACGTCACGCACCTGGGGGGGTTTGAGAAATGTGACGTCACATCAAAATGCGCAACTTTAAATAAATATAGAATTGTTATAACAACACCAATTGAATACGCACTACAATGACAATAGTTTAAAGCGATTTGAAGCATGTCTTGTTTTCAAAATGGAAATATGGTTTTTGGGGGGTGGGGGCAGAGCTTTGTGACGTCATTTTTGAGGGGGGGGGTCTGACTTTTTGTGACGCCGTGTGACGCGGTGGGGGGGGGGGTCAAAAATCGCGTGACGTCATTTATGGACGGCCCCAAACCCCGTGAATGTATAATGGTGAGAGGTGGGCATACCCACATTGTACCCCACCACTCACGACCTGCCGATGAACTGCGGTCACCCGTCCACACTGCTGCTGGGTGGACAAACGCGGTCGCGACGATGTAGTAAGAGACGTGGCCCCATTGCTTCATTTGCTGTGCCCAGACATGGAATCGACCCGAATCGCAAGTCCCAGTGTGCTAATTATACCATCACGCGATCACTCTTAATTTCTGATAAAAGATAAACGCGTTTATTGAAAGACATTTCAATATGCGCTCCAAACCGGTAACCACGTTTCCCCGATTTTCTCCCCGTGCGGTTACCGGTAATGCCAACAAACAGCTGATGTTTAATCGTCCCGGCAGTCGCCACGTGTTTACGGCAGCTCCACTCCCACCACTCAACCCTTTCGGCAGGGGGCTCCATTGCGACGACCTTGGGAGGCAACTGTGGGTCGGTTGTGGCAGAAATCGCATTGAAACGTGGAGACAGATGTGTGAAGGAGACACATCGTCCGATTCTTTGTTTTATTTACATTCTCCACAGCGGTGCTAATGACTATCTGCGTCGAACTATAGGAGCCATATCGACAAAGGATCATTGCCCGTAAGATCGCAAGTTTCCCTGACTTGAGACGCCGTCGAAAACGAGCTCGCGTTTGCTTGTCCTGACACAATGATGCTCAAAGTAGACTCTCTCAGAAGACTGTGCGGCTCTTTAATAACGACAATAGTTGTATATCTTTACTATGGATGGATGTATGAAGGAGACTGCTGGTTTATTTTACGATTCATCGTGGATGGAATTGGACATGTTGCTTTGCCGGTACAGCAGCACGTCTATCAGAATCAGCAGCACTCCAATAATATAATACACACATTCTTAAATGTCTTAAAAATCTGCAAATTCTAAAAGTATTACAACAGTTTTAATTTGGGGCACCCCCACGGTTCATGATAACTCAAAAGTGCCAGAGTTCCTAAAATCCACATTTTAAGAGTGGATTTTGGATCTATTTTGTGAGCGGCTAATTCCTCTGTGACGGAGATTTTTTTTTTTTTAACGCTGCACATTGCAAAGGAGCAAGTGACTTTTTTAATGAGATAACAAGTACAACAATGGAAAGTCCTTGAACAAAAACCGATCCGGCACATTTGCTTGATTTGAATGTGAAACAAAATAGTTTATAATCCTTGAATTTATCACGGAATAATGGAGTAGTTAGTGACGCGCGGCGCTTCAGTAAGACATCGATGGGATTCGTGGAGTCGCGTGGCTTGTTCCTCTCAAATCCCACGGCGCACCGCGTGCACAAACTTCTTAGCAGATCTTCACGTATTCACGTCTCTGGTATGCCACAGATCATATCATCTGCCATGTGATCCCTGATATCGACGCAGGTTATTAGTCCTGCTGTAAATCACTGGTGTCTCAATTGCATTCATGAGACATGGACGCTTTTTTCTATAACAGAGGTTTTTTTTGGGTTAGATCGCGTAAATATATAAATGTGTCATTAAACCCGCCACCACCCGACACAGCCAACTAGTAAAGGTTGTCACGTAAACAGAACGTGCCGATTCGTCACTAGTACAGCAGCACACCGGTGTGTTGGAGAGCCAAGCCACAACATTTACAATCTGAGTACGACGTTTCGCCAGTAATTACAACTAGCTTCATCAGGCGACAGCCAGATTTGTGGAGAAGTCCACCTGTTTCCTTCCGTATATAGAGGCGTAGACGTGGTGACCACGCTTCTGCGCTCTTGCGCAAAGTGGGGGGTGATTACTGAGTCTGCGTACATTATGCATGCGCATTATGCGAGCCCTTTGGTCTTGTCCTTCCTGTCCATTGCGTGTATTAAAATAGCCGTACCAAAGGTAATCCTTATTGAAGTCTGGTGGCCTGTATAGGCATGCATTTTAACAATGTATTATGTGATGATTCGCTTCCACGCAGCACGAAGTCGGTAGCTATCCAAACGGTTAAAATTATTTTTTATTTCTTTCAATTTTGATAGATTATCTAATTCTTCATGGCCAGTAGTAGCTAGTTTTGCACGTAACTTCTACGTTATCAAAATCAATTGAGTGTCCTTGTTGCCACGCGTGTTCTGCTATTGCTGACAGTTGTATTTGGGAGAATTTAATATTTCTCTGATGTTCTTTTAGTCTCGTGCTGATCATTCGTCCTGTTTGTCCAACATAACGTTTGCCACAAATGCAGTTAATCCTATACACACCTTCTGTTGATAGCTTCGGTAATTCATCTTTTGTACCAGATATTAATTTATGTATGTTATGTACTGTGCCAAATCTAACTCGGATGTGTTGTTTTTCCAAACATCTGGCTAGTTTATCAGTTACTACCGCAATGTACGGTATTTTGATAGTTTTAATTACTTGGGCAGTTTCAATGCTCGTGTTATTTTATTTGGTTTTGGCATTCAATGCCCTGTTGATTTGTGCATCATTGTAACTTCATTTGTAGCGCTTCTTTAACATGTTTAATTTCACTTCTCAGGCTGTCACCATCTGACACTTTCTTAGCCCGACGAATGAGCGTCTTGATTAGATAATATTTCTGTCCAGGGTGATGGTGTGACTCTGCATTCAGATAGGCGTCAGTATGCGTTTTCTTTCGGTAAACACCGTGTGTTATTTTACCATTTCGACCTCGTCCGAGCAGAATATCCAGAAATGGTTAAGTTCTGTCAGCTTCCACTTCTATGGTAAACATGATTTTCTTCATTTTTTAAATTTTGACTGGGATAGCTATTTCCATTTTTAAGCATAAATATAAAACATTTCTGCAGTTTCCCAGTACAGTTAACGTGTGCTGTATGAAGCACAGGTACATATGTGATTGGATTGGCCAACAAGGGCAGTATGCTCTGTATGTTTAACATGGAATGTGTTTATATTGTTCATCTTTTTGAAGTTGAATGTCAAAAAATGGGTAAAAAACAAGCTTTTCCAATTCACACACTTTTATTTGCACTGAAAAGTAGAAAATAAAAAATTTTGACCCCGAAATTATTCAAATTTGATGTGCTCAATGAAAGTGGGTGGCTTCCATGAAGACAATTAAACATATCGAAAGGAAGCCACCCACTTTTATTGAGTACATCAATTTTGATTAATTTGGGGGTCAAAATAATGTACTTTCTACTTTTGAGTGCAAATAAAAGTGTGTGAATTGAAACGCTTGTTGTTCTTTACCTAATTGCTATTGTGTACTTGTTGGTGTCGTGCTCAGCAAGAGGGAAGCACAGCGGCCGCTCTGGCGCCATAACGAGGGGCGATATGAGCGCCTCTTTCATTGGCCGTGGGCTGGCCAGAAAACAGCCGCTGCCACTGGACGAGACGTTTGCCGTCGTAGGTGGGCGCGACCATTCCTGATTTCATAAAGGGGGGAGCGGGGGTAAAATATACGACTATTATTGAATTTAAATTTTAAAAACGAATAGGACCAAGATGGGTGGGACCTGGACTGTTTTTTTAATGAAATCTTGAATTGTCACACGAGGCGAGCGTGTGTAGAAAATGTCATCTCGTTAGGCTTTGTAGATCCGAAGATATTAAGCGTCAAAGATGCCAAAGAATATAAACAGACTACACGGCAAGTTCAATAAAAGTGTGTAATAAAAAACACATTCAACAACCATCAGCCAGCCACATTACAACTGTAGTGACGTTAATGGTGTCACCACTGTGTACCGACAGTACCTATCAATAACGGGTATTGTAAGCGTGGCACCTCTCTATGGCAGCAGTGTGAGCATGGCACGGCATGACTCACTCGAGGGCAAGGGTTGGGTGTCACTGAGGTCGGCTCAGGACAGGATACCCTGGGTGAACCCGAGAGGGCACGTGACCGGATGAAGGGGGGGCCAGGGGACCCCCAGATGGGTGTACGAGGGTCACGTGATGTGGAACCCGGGCCCTCCCGAAGGATCTGGAAGGAGGCGTGGCCAAGGGGGTGAGCCGGCCACGCCGGGGCAGATATAAGCCAAGTCCCGAGAGGGATCTGGGCTGTTCAACTCTGGGAATGAAGCCGCCGCTTACGGTCCTCGATCTCCGGTCTCCGCTCGTGGACCAGGCAGCCTGTGAAGCCGTCCTGGTCCAGTTCTATAGCCATCCCTCGAGTTTTAGTTACGAGCGTTATTCTGTTAACATCAGAGCTATCTGTTGTGTTAGTTAATAAACCGTGTTGCCTCCAAGTTCAAGTATGCGCCTCAATTGAACCCACTACACAACTCCCTACCTCAATCATTAAATATTAATTTTCCATTGTTCTATTGATCTTATTATAATCGCCAACCACACTGTTGTCACGCATCCACTGTTTATTCATTTACTAAATTTCTAAAAAATCCTTGGTAGAATCAAAACACAAGGCGATATTTTACCAAAAAAATGTATAGCTACATGCAATTGTTTTTTCCACGTAAGTTGACCTAACAGTTTGTACCAAGTACTTTGCACACATTTAACACAATATTACATTTAATTTTCCAGCAATTTGTTGAGGTTCATGACTCCAGCCAGAAGCCTCAGCAAGATCTTGGTAGAATCCTCTGTTTAAATGCAGCCTGTGGAAGAATACGGATAATAAAGTGTGGTGAAATGCAAAATTCAATTGAATTGATGAAATTTGTCATAAAATCGGTCCACGTGCATTTTCCAGAGGGCCCGCATTCCCTGAATGCAAATCATTTAACGCGAGTGATTGATGGCATTCCATGCGATCCAAATAACATTTACGTATCTTCATCCGCATGTGTCTGGGCGGCAGAGTTTCCTCGGATAGGAAATTGTTGTGGCGGTTCCTTCAACCAGTTGTTATTTAATGAAGATGTTTATCAATGGTGGACCCTGCAATGTTTGGCCCATTACTTAATGCATTATTGTGCTGCAGTTTTTTCACGTGGGAAAGTGAAAGCACCTCGAGACATGTGGCGCAAACCCATGATAATACTGAAAAAGCCATACAGATGGGTCAAGCAGGATGCTTGCTGTACTGTTATTTACTTGATACACCAGTCCTGCTTCCCAAAAGACTGATGACAGGCGCCACGGTGGCAAGATGTTGACTCCCTCGCCTGGTGTACAGGAGGTCGTGCGTTCGATTCCAATCCTGACGCCTGCTGCTGTATATTTGGAGTTTGCATGTTCTCCCTGTGGTGGTCGTGTGGATTGTTCTCCGGGTCCTCCGATTTTCCCCCTCACATTACAAACACGCTTTGAGAGTATTTGGCTGCTATAAATATCCACATGATAAGCCACTTCATTGAGGTATCATATGTGGCCAGGTCGCTTCTGAAAATGAACTCTATTGCTCAGTGGGCCTTACCTGATAAAATAAAAAAATATATAGTTTAGTTTTTTAGGTGTGTACCACCATGCATGGTTGATGTTTTCAACCATCACACAAAGTGTCAAGCAAGTGATGAGGAAACATATCTCTGTTGGTGGTTGTCAAGTCAGCAACAAGGTACATTTCATGTATCAATGAACACTGCACTTCCTACAAAGTGGAATTACATTTTATTTATTCTGGAGAGATGTAGGCTGAGTCAACGCGCCAACTGGGATTTTGAAAATCATACCCTTCCAAATTGTGTTTAATGCTAAAACTCATAGCATCACCATGTGTGATGACACTACTGCGTTGCAGTTTTGTTGATTTTGTGTTTGAGGAAATCGCAAATGGACGATATATATATTTTTTAAACCGACACAATGACAATGATACTGATGCTGCTTTTGATGATGATGCCTGCATGCTTGCCTCTCGTTGTGCTCCCCCCGTGATAAGTGGCCCTACTGCGCGCGGCGATGCTCGTACTGCAACTTCAACAAATACGTGTCGCGTGCCGTGGACCACGCACGCATGCGCAAGTGCCTGGTGCGTGAGCTGGAGTCGTTGCTTCTTGCAAGCGGTGTCACAACGTGAGCCCACGCACTCATGTGCCCATGTGCCCACGCACCCACCAATGTGAAAACCAGGGGGGGAACAATTATTTCATTAATCAATTAATTCCGTGTGTAGAAAACAATGGTTTTACCTATGTAACAAGTTTGCATTACCCCTACAAGCAATAGGGAAGATGCTGCCATTTGTAATTAATTCTAAAATAAGTCTCTACTTTAGCCCTTCTGGTTGTTACTTGTGTTGTTCAGCACGATGTTCGACATTTTTCTCTGTGTGCTAAGAGCTTTTTCGAACAACCTGAAAACACATCAGAGAGCTATACAGTACAACCACAAAAACTTTAGCCGGAGTCTCTACTTTGTTAAACCCCAGTTAATTTCAACACAAAGTTTGAAATGTTTCAACAACAGAGTAAAGACGATGACAGGGCGAGTCAGTCCCCGACCGCCAATTAGAAGTCAGCGGCCTTCCGAACGTTTTGGCCGCTGTGCGCGGTCGCAGGATCTCGTCGGTTTTCGTGGGGGGCGGCACGCCAAGCCTGGCGGAGCCGCAGACGCTGGTAGCCGTGCTGGAGGCAGCGTCTCGGCTGGCGCTGGTCCCTGCTGGAGCCGAGGTTTCTATGGAGGCGAACCCCTGCTCCGCTGCGACGCAGAGGCTCGTGGACTTCCGCGCCGCCGGGGTCAACCGCATCTCGCTCGGTCTGCAGGCACGTGCCGCTCGTGTGATATGCATGGACACAGAGGTGGCTGCTTAGCTCAGAGGTTGAAGCTCTGAGCAGAGACAGCTGAGATCCTGTGTTGTTGGATCGAATAATTTTTGTTGTTGCTTTTATTGAAATTCAATGCGAGCCCGGTACAAAGCGCCGATCACAGAACGGAGGGGGAACAAAAATGCCACGAACAACAGCAGCAGGCCGAGTTGGGAGTGGCAGGGCTGAATCAAGGGGGAGTATTGGGCTCAGTGTCCCACCCAGGTGGGGGCCACAAGCGAGGGCATGAAAGTTAATATGTGGAGGGGAAAGGGTAGGGGAAAGATAGCTAACATACTGGAGAAAAAGGGGGGACAGGGTAGAGGAGGGGAGGAGGGGCAAACGAGGGAAAAGCATGTGTTGGATCCAGATTTATGCTGCATGTGATTTAGCAGTTTTTTTAAGTGGAGTGAATTCATGGTCTCACCCTGATCATCAATGACTGCACAAAAAATAAACACATGTCATTGATGATACACGTTATTTGGCTAAATAACATTTTTAGATATTTAAAATATCAGTTTGATTATCACGCGACAAACATTACTTTCAGTGCCTAGGTGGGCGGATAAAGTGCTGCCCCTAATTTTTGGACAAGAATTAATTTCAATGGGATATCAGAGATAGCTTTGTGGTATCTGCTTCACTTGACCATTCTCTATCACGAAGGGTTATATCGCTTCACAAAAGATTTTAATCTCTAATGGCATGTCACCGAGAAGCCAAATGTGATAACTTTTGGAAAAAAGACAAAAAAAAGCAAAAATCAAACATACACACGTGTACGCACACACCTTTAATTACTGTCAGTCTCCCATCTGCTGCTCCTGCTCTTCTCCCTGTGAAATGCACATTGATACGTCCACTCATTCTGCCAAAACGTGCTTAGAAACAATATACACAAAGTGCTTGCCACAAATGATCCACAATACCTTGCTGATCCCGTCAAGGAGCATAAACCATCACTAAAACTCGATTATAATTATCCTCACAGCGGCTTTTGGCTAACCATCGAACAAAGGTGGTCACTGCATCGTGCACTTTGAGATGTGCTTTTGTGGCTATCTGGAATGCTCTTCCGATGCTAGGAAGCCACTGGAGCTATGTATTTTTTAAATCTATATTCAAAACCCATTTGTTTAGAAGTGCTTTTTGTGTTTAGTTTGTTGCCCTTCCCCCGCACCTCTAATTAACAAGGTTGGATGCATACGGTGTGAAAGAAGTTCAACATACATACAAAGACAAAGATCCCTCGTATAGCCTTAACAGACTGTTGGGGCAAGTGCTTTTAGCGAGCACCTATAAAGGCCAGGATGGTACACGAGGGGGAGGATGGCCGCACCACAGCCGGCCGCATTTGTCTCCCCAGTGGCGATGTTTGCACACCACACCAGGTCCTCATTTGAGGCTGAGGCGACCTAGGAGAGGCCCAGGACTGGTTCAGATAATCGTCACTGATTGTTGGCTGTGAGCGGGAATCGAACTCGGGTTGCCGGGTTTGTAGCACAACCCGTTTACCGCTACACTACATACAATACACACCCGCCCTCTCCATTAAATATGACCCACCTATACATGTGTAGTGTAGCACAAGTCGGAGATGAAGCAGTTGCGGGAGGCACCTTCCTTTTTTATTTGTACCTCTCTTCGGGGTCGTTCACACACAGGATCGCCTCCCTTCTCGCCCCCGTTGCCATACAGCCCAGCCTAGACACAACCCTAACCGCATTGCACCGACGGCATCGACCGGAACAGCCAACAACTGTCCGGCCGTGCAATTATCGCGTGAAGGCGGCAGCGACGAAGGCGGCAAAGACGACAGCGGCGGAGAGACGAGTCCCCTCCCAGAACCAGCAGCCCAGAGCTCTCCGCTGCTTTTGTTCTCCTCGGCGTGGCCTGGCTCTGCCCTGGCCGCACCTCCCTTCTCAAATCCACTAGCAGGCTTCAGGGGGCTTCCCGATGAGGTCTTCCGTGACCCTTGGCCCAGTTCCTCCGCCCTGCCAGCACACCCGTGTATATGCTCAACGGCGTGTGCGCTAACTATCCACCGCAGTTGCCTCTGCTGGACAGCAGTCGGCGCTATGTCACTACACATCTACTCGCAAGCCCATAAATACACTCATACTTACTGCACAAGCGGCTGGGGTCTTCCTTGCAGTCAAGGTAAACAACTATTAATATTTGACTTAACCTGTCACCTGTACATGTATGCACATTTCATATACACAATGGTTGAACCCTCTATCCAGAGATTTGCATTTCAGCTATGCTCTGAAAGGCAATCAACACATATAACACATATTAAATATTCAGTGCATTGTACAAGCAGTAATTGTATTATTGCTGCATGGTGTATGTACTCGGTGACTTTGTAAATGCATTCACATATACATGTGTAGAGGAGAGATATACGCGATGCTCACAGTTAAGCGGGTGCAACTGAGGACGAACAGGTGTGCGCGTTGCAACATGAGGTTTGCGCATTGCAACACGAGGTGTGCACCGACAAACCGACAGTAATTAAGGGGAGAAGTGGGTGCAAACGAGGTCGAGCAGGTTGGGAACGTTGAGGCCGGAGGTTGGCGTTGGGGTGACGGGAGATAGGGGGTGATGAAACGGGATTAATGAGGACACCAGGCGCCGGGCAGGCGGCGGCTTAAGGGCAAGCACGTGAGAACTCGGAATGAGGAGGGGGATATAAGCGGGAGTGTGCGTGAACGGGAGGAGAGTAGCTCGGGAACCAAAGAGAGAAGACATCTCGCCGCTGCCGCTCAAGCCGTCAACGAAGCCTCAACCCTCACGCAGTCAACGGGCGGGTGTTGGCTGAACCCCCCGCCCGGGACAGACGGATGAGCGGGTATGAGGCAGCGTAGGTGAGGGCAGTGGTGGAGATGCAGAGTTATAAGAGTCGCTGAGTGCAGGCTTGCTGTGTGCAGAGTCACTGGGTGTGGAGTTGCTGTGTGCAGAGTTGCTGAGTGCAGAGTTGCTGAGTGCAGAGTTGCTGAGTGCAGAGTTGCTAGGTGCAGGATAGGTGAGGTTCAGAATAGATGAGAGCGAGGAGAAATCAAGTGTATGTGACAGTAAAGATAGATATAGGAGTGCCTACAACTGGCGCGTGAACAGAAGTAATAAAGTGTAAGCAGGTGACTTTTTACTACGTGTCGGTGTGAGTGTAGTTTTTAAAGACACTACACATGGACACCTTGTAAACAAACACCAGGGTGGGATTTATTTGCCACAGTTTTTCAGACACGGCTCGGTCTTCCAGGAAAAGTGTTGTCTGTTTATAAATGAGCAGCCCGAAAATAGGGCTGCGTTCCCACGGGGGGCTGAGCAGCAAATTAAAGATGTCCATAGTCTGACGAGAGGCTCCTAAGATCCCGGCTGAGAGGCTCGATCCAAAACTACTCTGGCGGGGTTGCGGTTACACGTTACACTGACCACTTTGTGTGCATCACAGATTCATTGCGCTGAGCCATGCACGTGTTTTTCACAAAGACAATTCCTCCATAGTGCACGCCTCGCTGTATACCAAGAGACAGCCTCGGATACATTTTAAAAAGGTAAAGTTGCAGCCTTGCAATAGCTTGCTTTTGCGATTGCTGATGGACGGGCCTTCGCTAGAGGAATGGTATTTGGCCTACTCTTCCATGCTGGCCAACTATCTTCAAAGATGTGGGAGTACCTACACCTTACCACATCACACATTACCTTATTGTGGTGTACCCACTTATACTGCGTGACTAACCTAAGTTACATGGCTTGAGTTGTGCAGTTTGGTGTTTGCTGCCCCATCAGCCAGCATCCGTGGCTAATGTGAACTGCATGACATGGAATTGCGGGCTTGATTAGACTTCTGAAGCCTTGATGGTAGGCGTCAATGATATTCAAAGTGCAATGGCTTTCCCAGTGGCATTGTCTTAACGGAAATCCTTGGCATAGAAGAAGAAGACGATGATTGATGCAAACATAGATTATTTTGGGATGCAATGCGACAGGCGTATACTACAAATTCCGTGAATGTTAAGCGGGACAAATAGGTCCGTTCTTGAAGAATTGCATATAGAGGAGAGGGGCTACTGAAGGATATACATAATAGAAAACTGAGCATATAAGAAATGGCAGCAGGGGATCTGCTAAATTAATGAATTATTTTATTGCCTCAGGTGTCTCTAGAAAAGGAGATGTCGTCCCTCAGCGCTATCTCAACCGCATATGGTGAAAACAACTGGATCGAGTGATTTCTATGTATGTAGAACTTCTTTCGCAATGTACGTAGCCAACCGTGCGAATCGGAGGTGCGAGATCATTGATGGAATCGTTCCAACACAAACGCTGTCGTATGCGGTGACATGGCAACCAGATTTTTGAAGTTTAAAAACGAGCAGAAAGTGCATATATGCAAAGTAAATACTGTAATAATGCCCTTACAGTTTGGATTTATATTGCATCCATATGCAACCACATCTCAAGATGATCCACAAATATGAGGAGGAAACCTGAGAATCTAGAGTGTTATAATATGTGGGGAATTTATGTTCGGAACTTGTGAAGATTTGTGAAACTCCCAGAGCTGGCTGCGATGTGAATAAGAGATGTAACGCAAAAAACTTCATAAACTCGTATATCCTGCAGAAATAATTGTCATCTCATTCTATGCGTTTTGGGTCTTCTCCAGTTTTCTCCCACATGCAAAACACTCTAAAAAGGAATTGGTCCAACATCCCAATGCTGGGCCCTTCTGAAAAACACATCTGTCCCTTGAAATGGTTTCGTCTTTTTCATAATTTTACTCCAATTGTGCGAACAGCATCTTTGAAAAAGAAACTAAATGGTTATTCAGAAGTCACTCAAAGCAGTGCATAACCGTGGATTGGTAAACAGTCCCTGAACAGGGATATTACAGAGTTTTGGCAGCAAATTCATCATCTTATTCGAGATTTTGCATGGATTAGTCACCTCGAAGTGGTATCCTACATTATTTTATACAACCCTTTCCACATGTGAGAGGAATACCTACTTGATCTATTAGCCAGACATTTGTTGGTACCATCTGGATGGGTAAATTACAAAAAAATGTTTTTGCCCGAAGTGATGGTAAATGCATCCTATTATCCAAGCCTTCGAACGAATCTTACCAGTGTCCCATAAGTGTCAGAAAACTGGCCCTATTATCTGCGAGCCTTTCCCGCAAATTGAGCTTCAAACAACAGGAGTAATACCACAGACGGTACGATCGACCAATTATATCTACACGGATAAAGAGGCGTTGTATTGTAACTGTAAAAAACGATTTAATGAATGAGCTGCGACTCTGCCTCCTCCAGGCTCTAAGCGATGCTGACCTAAAGACGCTTGGGCGAGACCACACGGCGGAGGAGGGCGTACAGGCGCTGGCCACGGCAAGCGCCGTCTTCCCAGGCCACGTGTCGGCCGACCTCATGTTCGGGAGGCCGGGCCAGCATCCCGACTCTTGGGAGCAGGAGCTACGGGCGTTGCTGGGGTCAGCCTCGACGCTGGGGCACGTGTCCCTCTACCAGCTAACGCTGGAGCGCGGCACGGAGTTGTTCGCCCGTGCCGCACGGGGGGAGCCGCTAGCCCTGCCTGACGCGGATGCCTGCGCCGAGATGTACAACACGGCCCGGGAAATCCTGTCCCAGGCCGGACTCCGCCAGTACGAGGTGTCCAACTTTGCAAGGGAGGTGTGTGCCACGTGCAAATGGTGATGCCAGAACTGTTTGTTGTGCTGCCGCTGCGTGTTCCACGTTCGTTAATTCATCGAGTGCTTCCCGTTCACTACGAATATTAATGTCTCTAAGAAAGCCTCATTGGGTCTGGAGACATTTTTTGGAAGTCCATGCAATGTTTTACTTATTCCTTTTGAAGGAGGGTGTAATGAATACATGGAGAAAATTAACATATACGGAGATTACACTCCAAAGTCTGCACAGATGGGCTAGAAACCCAGTTGAACTACTGCCATCTAGCCACTTCACAGTTCCGCAAGCGAGTGTCTCGTTCGCATGACGATCTAAATGGCATCTGTTAAAACCCCACTTTTACCACCATGCGAGAAATTGAGCCTCTCTTGCTCATGCATCTGTCCCCCCGTTTACTGATGACATTTTTACACTCCAAACTTCATGGCATCGACTGTCCACTCCAGGATTCAATGTTTTGTTGAGTTATTATCAGGGGTGCAGTCACACTTTTGGGGTTATTGATGATGTCACAGACAGGACCCGCACATCCCCTCACTTCGCCACAGATAAGAAGAGTTCCACTGCACCATAATTGTATTACATATACTCAAACTACTTGCAACTAAACTCAGTGATCTGCCTGCCGTTCGTGCGCTCCTGTGTATTTAAAAGTTCCGTCACAGCATAATCAGCATGTTTGTTATATTGTTGAAGGGAGAAAAATGCAGACTCTGAATAGTTTGATTTTTGTCCAATCTTTTGCCGTTGCCTGTTCGCCACATCTATAATGTGTGGGTGTCCAGACACCCACAGAGGCTGCTCCCCTTGTTATTGGTGACTTACTGAAGCCGTCCACACAACCAGGGAGCTTGCATACATGACCTCAAAGACACAGCCCTACTGACCTAACTCCAGCACTAGGCCCCCCTGAGACACCCTCTAACCCAGTTACGTTTAATTTCATTCTTGAGATAGATATAAAAATACGTTTTCTTTACATTTTACTTCAGCCAACGGGGCTCTAAATGATTAATTCTCTTCCAGGAAATGCACATTCACTTTGGTTGCCCGCACCCAACCGGGACAGGGTTTAGCGGAACGCTCACCACCGTGGTGCCCACGTTGGCTCGGAGATGTTAACTACCTCGCCCGGTATACAGGAGGTCGTGGGTTCGATTCCAACCCTGACACCTGCTGTATATTTGGAGTTTGCATGTTTTCCTCGTGGTCCTGTCGATTTCTTCTGAGTCTTATGGTTTTTCCCTCCACATTTAGAATCAACATATCTTCAGAGTATTTGGCTGCTTATACATTTCCGCTTGATAAGTCACGTTGAGCTATTATTTGCGAGGGCCACGTCGCTTCTATATAGCTCAGTGGGCCTTACCGCGTGAAATAAAAAAAAAATAGTTTAATAGCTCGCAAGTGCAGTCTTTGCAGATCGCAGGTGAAGCCGAACACTTTGCCGTGAAACCATTGACAAAATTATTCTGACAAGGGCACTTCTCCACGCATCGCTAAATAAATACCGCACATCAAACACATTGAGTGGATGACCGCCGAGGGGTGTAATAGTCATCGCACTGGACTTATTATCTGGAGGTGGCCGGTTTGACCACCCAGTGCGCAGCAATTGAAACAATTGTGCTAGTTTCTTAAATCAAGTCAATTAAATGTTCTTTTTGCTTAAAGACATGGCGCATTTCTGGCACACATCTGCCAACCAAATCGCCACCACTATATTCAAATCACGCCCCCCCCCTCAACCGCCTCTGTTCGGCAGTTTAAATGGGTAAATGATTGACACGCTGTTTGTGATGAGATAGTGTGGGTACTCCCATTTCTTCCAAGATGTCTGTCGACCATAACAGAGTAGGCCAAAATATCCACCCTCTAGATGAGCTCTCTAAATCTCCCTCGAGTGAAAGCCCTTTTACCAGCAGTGGTGTACAAAAGAAATTACAGAGCTGCACCTTTAATCGTTAAATAAGTGGACAGCTTTCCAGTGGGGAAGGACCTTTGTGATATCTGTGAATTTATTTTAGCATTCTAAGAAAAAGTTGTTTATGGGAGGTGAACTGTTTACCTCCAGGGCTCTGCACGCTCCGCCCCCCTGGTGGGATTGTGTGTGCAGCATTCACCCTGCAGTTGGCTCCCCATTAAACGTTTCATCTAAAGTGGCGGTTTTTGGCGCATTTACATTTTGCCCTCCATTAAAAACAATGGGGCTAAAGCGAGCTGCCCTTAGCTGGCACATGTGCACGACTTACAGCTGTTGTCAGCTGAATTTCTGCTTGATATAAAGCGGCGTGTTTTTCAGGTTGAATTACGCCGTTCTGTATTTCTCAACTACAGTTTTTCCAGGTATTGTGTTTGATAATGAAACTATAAAGTACTGTATTCCTGAATGCTTAGCCACCTTCCTATTATCTGTGCTTATCCACAGATAACAAGTCAGTGGAAAAAATAACCCCATTTTGGGAAACTATAGAGGAGTCATCGTGAAAAATACCTTTGTTTTCTCCACACCTTGTCATCGCGTCCTTCCTTCTGCTTAAGCTCACATTCACCAACCTGTCCTGACAAGCTTGGTGAAATATGGGAAAATTACCCCCCGTGTTCTGCACGGCATTGGGATGCCCTCATCCAGCAGTGGATTGACCAGAGGGCTGTAAATGTGCATTTACCTATTCGGCTTCGGATTTGGCTGCACCGCTGTTGAAGCTACACTTTGCTTTCACTAACCTGGATGAATTGGGATGAGACCCTTGTTTTCATATAAATTGTGGAGCAAAATCCAACAAATAATAATCGCACGACATGTCGTGCCACAGTGCACACGCACTGTGATCACTGTACGCAGCGTGGCTCCAGGTTCCCACGTGTTCCCTCTTTCACTTGATCCTTGCATATCGTTGTCAATTTGGAATTTGCAACTGCCGTGGTCATTTATAGCCATTGTGTGAACCTGGTGAACGAGGTTTGGGAGCATTCCACATAGATGAGCGGTGAAGTAAAGCTGCAAAAAAATGTGCAAAGGTACCAACTGTGGCACGGCAGCAGATCGAGCCATAACACTGTAGAAACAATGATGTATACTCTTTGTTTTTTCGGTAAAGTCACGTAGGTAAAAAAAACAAAAAACAACTAAATGAAACGATGATGTGGTCAGGATTTTTGACTAAAAAAAGTCCGAAGATCACTCGTTCGAATTTCGCTCGTAGGTCGACTTGGCCAATCATCCTTCCAAACTCGATAAAATGGTAACTACTTTGTGGTGAGCCAAACATGTTTGTTTTGTGGATGTTTGGTCCCCTGCCATGTGGCTGTGCCATTTCCACCACCAGTTCGGTGCCATCATAGGAGATGGGTGTTTCCGTATTGGAGCAGGGAAATTATTGGCATCACTTTTGATTCCTCATTTTCCTTCACGTTCCACATCGCCAACACTACTCGCACGTGCCGCTTCCATAATTTCATTATCAGGAAAATTCGCCCCCTCGTCAACATCACCGCTGCCAAACTTCTTGTGCACTCCCTTGTCTCCACTCATCTGGATTATTATTGTAACTCGCTTCTGGTTGGTCTCCCTGCCTACACCCTTGCCCCTCGACAATAAATAAAAAAACTCGGCTGCACGCACCGCCGTCTTTAACCTCCCCTTCACCAGTCATTGCTCCCCTCTCCTTCAACAACTTCACTGGCTGCCTACCAATAACTGCTGCCACTTTAAATTGCTCACCTTAGTTTTCAAAGCTTTGCACAGACTGGCCGGCCTGACCTCTCTTCTCTCATTTCCTTATACGTCCCATTACGCCTACTCCAGTCACAAGCTGCCTTTCTTCTTGCCGTCCCTGCTCCACTCTGCGCCAAATCTCACTTTCGCTCCTTCTCTCTGCTTGCCCCCTTACACTGGAACAATCTTCTTCTCCACATCCGACTCTGCCCCTCACTTCCCATTGTTCGCACTGCCCTCAGGTCCCATCTCTTCTCTCTTGACTTTTCCCTTCCTCTTCCGCCACCTCAACCAGCACCACCTTACGCACCTAACGCCTCCACCGCCGCAGCCTCCACCTCGCTCCCTCCACTCTAGTCACTACCCGATCCCCATCCCTTATCTTGCTATTTTGTACTGTAGTCGGTAAGCAGTATCAAGCGCCTTGGTGAAAGGTGCTTTAGAAATCCAAAATAGAATAGAAAAATACAATAATATTTTTAAGCTCAGCATATTGACTGCAAATTGTATCAATTGTAATTGAAACGCATAAGCACATTGGCAACACATTCATTGTTTTCATACGATGTTCACTCGTGTTTTATTTAATAGCTGAACCCTGTCCGGATTAATGGGCGATCCGCATTATCTGGGCCGGGTGAGCGGACATCTGCTGTATTCGCGTATCCCTCCTGGAGTTGCGGATTTATTGCTCTGGTGCCCAATTATAGCTGCGAGCGCGTGAAGGAGTGGAGTAATGTTTAATGCCTCTCGTCAGGGACTGATCATTCCTGCACAATCGCCACAACAGAGAGAGTGAGCGAGCGTCACCCGTCATTTTTTCCGTTTCCCAAATCACAGGAGTTGCATCACGCCACTCATGTGGCCGGGAATAGGACGCTGCATACGAAATGAATAAATTAGCATGGAGGAGAGCGACATAGTCGGAGCAAAATTATATTGAATTACCGGTAATCGAAGCCATAGACCCATTGCTTTCCAGCCGATTTTGTTGAAGCTCTGAACAAATGCTGACATGGTTTCAGCATCTTTTGGCCTATAAAATACATGCCTATGGCTTCCCTGCCGTGTAGGCAAGAGGCATTCACAAGCGCTGTGGAACGCAAAGTCATATTTCTTGCAGTAGATCAACATTCTACAAGTTAGTGATATGCTCTTGGGGTGGAGTGTGGGTAAGGCAAAAGTAAATACATTTTAGATCCACATATTAACCTGTATATTTACTAGTGGTGGATGCAGTGCCACAATTGAGGGTCATGATTGCAGATTTCATTCCTTTTTTTATATTGCGGTGCATGGTCGTGCTTCGGGTGGTTGCAGAGGTGACATGGACCCATTGCATACAACGTACGCATAATAAACATCCATTGTGGCACATTGTCTGATACCTGTATCTTGGTGAACTTGAGAATTTATATTAATGAATGCATCGTTTCATTATATTTACATATTTCTTATTCCCTATAATCAGCTAGGAAAGCACATTAAGAATTTGAATTACACCGTGCATTGGGTGTCATTAACGTCTCCTATATTCAGCTGTGCTTGGCGCGTGCATTTGGCACTGACACTTTGCGGGCCACCAATAGCCCTGCAATGCCTCGGTGCACGTCATTGGGTGCAATGGAACCATTACCGCACCTGCTGCTTCAATCTGAACACTAAGCCCATTGTGTGTTGATGTCACAGACCAATTTGGCCATTTAGCGGCAATGACCAATTCACGAATTATGTCCCTTCTGTAACGTGGCTAGACATCTGCATGCATGACTGGTAACTTCCGATTGCTCCCGTGCAGCGGAACCACTGTAAACTGTATCTGTGCACCTGTGAGTGTTTGTCACGGAACTTTGGTAATGTTCCCTGTGCAGAGTTAACGAAAGGCTCATTCTGACCCAAAGCACCGAGCAACTGATAGTATTAATTATGATCTATGTACAACCTGTGGCCTTTGAACAAGGTAAAAAAAACCTAAGAGTGACATTTTTGACTCAATCTTATTGGAATTTAGAAATCTTTAAACTAATTTTCTCGTTCGTCTAACTCTTTTTCAGTTGTACATGATACATTTTTAACTCGTTATTTTGATTTACGTCATAACGGTTCCTTCTTCATCTCTTTTTCCTTAATTCCACCCCAACTGGACATCTGTGGAAAAGAGCTTTATAGCTCACCGGATTCCTCCTGCGGTATAAACAAACAAATAAATAAATAACGTTCGTTGCCAATTTTGGTCGTCTCTCAATACCAGCATGATTCTAAATAATGGGATGCATCTATTGATCGATAAGCGCGGGGCATTTGAGAGCGCAGGTGCGATGCGTGTGACACACGTCCGCTTGCTATCTTTCCTACCAGGGAGCCGCATCTGCACACAACCAAAGCTACTGGCTGGGGAAGCCGTACATCGGAGTGGGACCGGGTGAGTCACTGTCTACATGCCCCCTCCCCCCCGCCTGCCTCGCACGCCCCTTGCACTTAGCCACATTCTGGCCTGGTGGTCATCCGGTTAGAGTTGTCAATGTACTTGATCGGGAATTGACATAACTGGTCATACCTCCCATGTCGATCAAATGATTGTGGTGTTGTGTCGTTCTGGCAGGTATATTAAATTTATTGTATTCTTTGATTTGTCTAGGGCATGATCAATTCATTTTACACAATGACAGAAGCCAACCTTATTGTCCAGATTCTTTGATGTCTCGCATGTAACGGATGGATTTGACACACTGTTCAACCACACACACAGAGACAGTTTTTAATACAAACAAGTGTCTTATTTATTAAAGGTCAGAGTACCACTCATCAAATAAGCAACTGACATTCTGTCCAAAGAATACTCGATATTGTTACACAAAGGAAACTTCAGGGTTTGTAACAGATGGTTTCTCACGCTCGCGTTGAGAAGGTGATACGGCAGACATGTAGAAGTCTTCTGTGCTGGTGAATGAGAACTCATCACATGCGGCGGTGTCTCTCGAACGGCGCAGACAGCAGCTTGATGGGTGACAACACAATTAGCAGCAGCAGCAGCCAGGTGTGTTGTAGGGTCTCGACGACATGTAGAACAATTGTGATGCTGTTCTTGTTTCTTCGACGTCCGATGTACAGACGCATCTTCACCGTGATGATTATTTACAGACTTCTTGGTTTACAGTCACTTTTTATTTAGCTCATGTGACCCACGGCACGTGACCCACGGCACGTGACCCACGGCACGTGACCCACGGCACGTGACCCACGGCACGTGACCCACGGCACGTGACCCACGGCACGTGACCCACGGCACGTGACCCACGGCACGTGACCCAGCAGCACGTGTTTCTGTGCTACGTTAACTTCTCTTCCTTCTCAAAAGGAACGCCTTTCCTTCTCCAGTCGCCAAATGTCTTCTCTTTTTCCACTCAATATTTCTTCTGCAATGCTCGCTTTGACTCTGCTTAATCTAACTTGCCGTATGTATCGGCTCTAGTCAACAACTGTAAAACCTTGAAATCAGATTTTAGCATCTCCACTGCTTTACCACTATACCTCTGAGTAGTCAATCGGCGTTTCTGCCGTTCTCGTGCAACTCGCAACGTGGATCGAGAGCGGCCTCACAGGTGCAGGGCGAGCACACTCTACCTACCCGGCCAGCACGGACACGCCAGGGCTCACTCTGCCTCTTTGGCCCCTCCGGCCGCTCGCTGGGCTCCGGCCAACCTCTGGAACCTCTTCTGGCCATTTTGCTCATTCTGGGCCCTTTGTCTCGCCCCCCCCTTCTCCTCTTTGCGTCTCTCCTCCCAAAGCAGACCACTCATATACTCGTGTTATTAATGGAGCAATATATACGAATTAATCATTTTCATTCTTATTGGATCTTTTCCATAGAAAGAGAAGTGCTCTCTCTCTCTCTCTTTTGTGAGATTATGGAGACCTTGCAATCTATCCTGCTGTTTTGGAGATAATGGTGGTTGATGTTTGTTTAGCCTCTTGTTCCGTGCCTGGTGCAGTGCAGCTCAGCAGTATAACGAGCACCTGGAGTAGGGGTGTCTTCTGGACATTACGAGCCAACCTCAAGGCCTTTCTGCCGGGTTCTCATTGTGACGTAGCCCTCAAGTAAAGTTCGACTCCTGTCTCTGGTGCCACATTCCTTAAGAGGATAAATATTTCCTAAACAACCATTCACTTTCGCCGGCTGATCAAAATGACCGTGAATTAAATCCGACTTTAGGCAAATCTCGATCATTCCAGTCAGTATAACCATGGAGATGTCCACAGCTCTCGATCTGCCAGACAGTTTGTATGTTGGTGAACTTCGTATGTATGTTGAACTTCTTTTGCACCGTACGTAGCCAATCGTGCTAATTGGAGGTGCGGGGGAAGGACAACAAAGTAAACACCAAAGCAGTTTTAAAAAAGTTAGTTTTCAATCTGGATGATTTAAAAGTGCACTGCCCCAGTGGCTTCCTAATATCGGAAGAGCGTCCCAGACGGCCACAGAAGTGCAGGTCGCGAGTCAAGGGACAGTAGCACCAGTCACGATGCCGAGCGCTGACAGGACCTCGCCGCCGGCCCCATTAACGGCCTCCTCTCCTGCCCTCGTCACCCCCCTCACTAACCCGGGCCCTGCGCAGGTGCTCATGGGAGGTTTGTGGCGCGAGGAGAGGAGGGTGCGGCGCAGCGGGAGGCGAGGGTCCAGACGCTGGAGCCCGAGTACTGGATGCGCGAGGTGGAGCGGCACGGACACGGCACCCGGAGGAGGAAGCTCCTCTCCCCGCCTGAAGTGTACGTCGTTTACAGTACAATTATATGTATGTGTGTTGAACTTCTTTCGCACCGTACGTAGCCAACCATGTTAATTGGAGGTGCGGGGGAAGGACATCAAATGATAATGCTGTGCGGTTATAATGTGATGCAATTTTGACATACTGCTGTTGTGTAATGGTCCAGCGCACGGGAAAGATGAATCGCTCACTTTCTTCACCGAGGACCGGGCAGGAGCACTCGAAATATCAATATCTATTTTTTTCAACACGGACCTGGAAGATTTGACCAGAGAAAGGACCATAACTCCTTGCCCATATTTTCTGGTTAGCTGCAGGAAATTGAAAGCCATAGTAAGGGGCTCAGCAGCAAGCAAAGTAAACGGCAAGATAATTGGCCGTCAGCGGTTGGGTTTGACCTCTTCTTGGTTCTTTCGGTAAAGTCACGTAGAAGGGAAGTAGTAAAATAATAAAAATAAAACATAATACTACTTCCCTTCTACGTGACTTTACCGAAAGAACCAAGAAGATGAATCCCTGCAGTCACGAAAGCTTTAAATGGGTTTGACCTGTTTACATTTGCTTGTATTGTATTATGCTGCCTTGGTATAATAGTTAGCACATTGGAGCTGCGATCCTTAGGTCACCAGTTCAATATGCTGCCCTGGCTGTTTAAACAAGACCCCCAGCCATCTCTGGCTTTTGTGTGGTTTGTTGTTCGTCCACAATATTTTTTTATATATTTTCTTTATTTCAGCTTTGAGAATTGTATGTTTGCTGAACTTCTTTCGCGCCCTACGTGGCCAACCGTGCTAATCGGAGGTTCGAATTGATATGTGCTAAACTCTCTGCAGAGAATGCAAAAGGTATGCACTTAGCACGGATAAAGGGGCCTATTACTAATTACTTAATAAGTGTTTCTGTGACATCGCCCTCCAGGATTGTTCTCTAACACAGAGTGGTCTACTGTTAGTTGTGGCAGTTCTGAAGGCAAATCTACCTCGTTGAATAACACTGATAGCAATATGGGAATTTAATTGGGTAAAAGGAATACAAATGAATTAGTATGATATAATGCATTCATATAAATACAAATCAGCTGTTGTTTCAATAAAGGCACTGACAAAACCATCGTATTGCATACGGTGGCTTTGACGTGGTTATAAATGTGAACATTTTATATATAACAGTGTCTGCCTGTGAATGCAGCACAGCAGAATTTAAATTCACGGCACGACGCTGTGCTTAAGGGCATCAGGTACATGTGTTTGTCAACTCAGATGCTCTTTCATTCGATCATTAGTGCATATCAACATAGCCGGCAGATAATTAAAGGCATTTCACCATGTGTCACAGAGAATCTGTGCTTTTGTCACAGACTAAGATTGCCATCTTGCCAATAGCAAAGTTACGCAAAGGCAAAAGTTATCAGGAATAAAGGCTGCTTTTATTATGAAGCAAACTTATGAGCTGCTATGAAATATTTCATACAGTTTAAGTTTTTATAAAACTCATTCATTGATGCTGTAGTCTGAGGGTCGACATTGCATGAAAGTTAAAATAATGCAAATAGTTTGGTAGGGTTTTGGAGGGTTTCCTATATGAGACAGTGTTATTATTTATAGATTTATAAATATTTTTTACCAGGTAAGGAACATTGAGCAATATGGCTCTTTTTCAGAAGCGACCTTGCCACAAATGATTGTTCAACACAGTGGCTTATCGTGTGGACATTAATAGCAGCCAAATACTCTAAACACATGTTTCTAAATTTTGGTAAGTGGGTTGCGTAGTCATCTGTGCAGAGTTTCATTACTCCTCCCAAGTTTGCAGTGTGGCTTGTATCAAGGTGCCAGGTTCAGCATAGACACACAAATGCCCAAAAAGGAAACTGGCCATGCAGCGTTCTCTATAAGATGAGGGTTGGTATTGAGCGAAACTCAATGAGGCTTTTCTGGATAAAGTGTACTGGCAGACCTCGACTTACGAACACCGACTTAACGAGCTGTTCGACTTATGAACATGTTACAGGAACCGAATCCATTCGTAAGTCGAGGACTGTTCCTATCATTGACGGATGTTGCCACGGTGTTATGGTTTGCACACTGGACTTGCAATCCAGAAGTCGCTGGTTAGATCTCTCGTTGTGACAGTTGAAACAATGGGGCCAATTTCTTCAATTTCTCTCACCTGTGTTCAGCCAGCCGAAAAATGTGTACACACGATCGATGGGATGGTGTCGTGTGGTGGGATCAAGTGTGGGTACTCCCACCTCTTCCAAAGACGTTTTTTCACCGTAAAAAGATTTGGGCAAATACTCTCTAAGAGGGGCTCTCTTGGGCTCCCTCTATTGGAAGCCCTTCTGCCGCCAGTGGCGTGAACAAGCAATTTCAGGACTGCGCTTTTACCATTTTATCAATATCATTGTTTTTACAGGCTAGAAGAAGTATTGGTAATGGGACTGAGGATGAACAGAGGGATTACCCACGAGGTGAGTGTCATCCATCATTATTCGCTCCGTCCAGTGCCAGATGTTGGCCTCTCCGCGCGGACATCAGTGCCACCCAGTGCCTAGGATCGCAATTCGTCTTGCTGCCTGCGTACGCCATAGCACGCACGCACATTGCCACGTTTGCAGGAAAATAAGGGCCTGAAGTCACGTCCTGTAGCTCAATGTGCCACCAGTAGCACCTGAGTCGATATCATTGATGCCGCCAGTAATAGCGCAGCATGTGTCATGCAGTTCGAGGCCATTTAATATAATTTAATGACATCCTTTATTTATGACTCGGTTACAACCCACTGAGATAATGCGATTACCGTCACATTATTTGGTAAAGCGCTTTCGCAAACGTCATATTACTTTTACACAAGCAGCAGTGGCCACTTACTACAGCACTCACTGCGATTGAGAATTGGGTATAGGCAAGATAGCTCAATGACAAATAATGTTCGTATATGAGCACGTAGTAATATTAAAAGGACAATTGCGAACTCTGCGATTCTAGATGTTTGTGGAATGTGAACATTTATAGTGATACTCCTCTTGAGGCCAATTTGCTTCTGAAAAAAGCGATATAGCTCATTGGGCCTTACCTGGCAAATTTAAATAGTTAATAATTATCTGTATGCCAATTATCCATTCTCCCCACTATCTGCATGCCCTAATAGATCCATACATGCTCCTATTAACAGTGCGGCTGATTATTCATATTATGCGTTGTAAACTGAGCTCCATCCTTTGTCTCCACATACAAATACAAATATATATTTAGTTAAGCCTCTCGGTTATCAAGACCAATGTTAACCAGAATCATTTGTTTAAAAATGAAAATTCTGGAAGGTTTCGACCTTCAGGGTCTTATCAGCGGAGTCAGACTTGTTATATAAATGCTGCTCAGTTGTCATATGTTATTAGCCAGAGCACTTTCTCTCAACGATGGGGTCCCGTTCATTGCCAGAAGCAAGTTATAGTGAGTTGATATACTTCCTATTTTATCAGAGTCTTTGCTCGAGTTAAAGTAGTGACCTCGAAGTGATGACAAATTCCTTCTGTTATCCGAGGCTTTGTCACATGGTTCACCCAGACATGGTCTCTGAAAGCTGAATTTAATCCTAATATCCGAGCATTCATGCAGATCAGAGGAATTGCGGAAAATGTATTTAATTCTCTGTATTCATCCGCACTTTAGCACTCGGATGAAAGACATGAAATGCGATGGATAGACACGGATAATAGGAGCTGTCTCCCGTGCCCACCGCTCATCAAATCGGTTCAATAGCATTCCGCTGTATTTTCATGAAACATTTAAATGTAAATAAACAATTCACCAGATAAGGCCACTGAGCTATATAGCTCCTATTCAGAAGTGACCTGGCCACAAATTATAGCTCAACGAAGTGGCCTATCATGTGGAAATGTATTACAGGTAGTCCCTGGGTTACGGAAAGGTTTTCCCTTTTTCGAAAAGTGAACAATTTTCCCCTAAAGTCAACGATAAAATCTCACAGCCGGAAATAGCTGTGCCTCCCCTACCATTTTCTCTCAGTACCGCATCCCGCTGTCGTCCGTTTTCTATCGCTACCTGCATCGTATCGCTGGACATACGCTCTGCATTTCCTATTCTTTCATTTAATCGAATATTTACCCTAACACTACGCATTAATATTAAACTAAATGAGCATATATTGTATCAAATTGTTCATGAATACCACGAAACATATGAATTTTAATTGTTAGTAGAAAGCAGTCACTTCTGAATGTTCATTTACCGTGCATTAGGCTAGGCCTAGACTTCACATACACACCCATACACGCACACAAAGACAAAGGTGGAGTAGGCTCGTCTACAAAGACACACACGCACACCCCAATACCAATACCCGCCATACGCCACTAAGTGATGGTGACATCACCACGGCGCATGTGCCAGGCCAGGTGCACTTTGAGACCACGTGAAGTGTCGAAGGCTCGCTGACAGGAGGTCTCGAGACAGACCCAGGTGCCATGGGTTGGCTGACTGAGGTGACCGGTAGATGCACCAGCTGCACCCCCTTATGTGCCAACCTACTGCATTTTAGCCGCCGGCACTCTGCTCCTCTGCCCTCAGGTGTTGTTGAAGGGTGAATGCCTCCAAATACCCAGTAGCGTCCCTCACGAGCCTCCTCCATAGAGGCCGATCTTGACACCGCTGGTATCAGTCGTCGGCAAGTCCACTCAGCTCCACATCCTCCTGCACCGCATCAATCCATCTCTTCTCCAGCCCATGTCATGCCCGCCTAGCCCACTCTATGTGGCCAAACATAAGCTGCCCGGCTATGCGTTGGCTGGGCATGTGGGCTACATGACCCAGCTAACGCAGCCTTGCCTGCTGGAGCCCACCGATGGGAATGTGCCCAGATCCCCTGAAGATCCGTGAGATCTCTGCTGTCAAACCGGAGCTGGTCATACGCACACTGCCCAGGTATAAGAAACTCTCCACTCTCTCCACAACTGCTTCATCACCAATGGGGAGCTGAGGTGGTGGAGTGTTTGGTGGCACAAAATACCCAGGCAGATGCTGAGTTTTGGTGGGGCTGATGGTCATACCCCACCTCTTAGTGGCACACCTCAGGTTCAGAAGCAGCGCCTCAAACTCCTCCACACATATATACACATACATATACACACATACACACATGCACACAGTACATACAGTAAATAACTCGTTAAATAAACTTAAAAGAAAGAAACTTAGCAAGAAAAACATGGGAAAAAAAGATTGGTCTAAGCATAGAAACAAACAATTATGTAATGCTACAAAAGGAAAATAATTACTTAACGCTACAAAAAATAATATTTACCTTAATCCTCGTGACGCTCGGGCTCAGTGAAGGCGGTGTTTTGGTTGAACGAGGCATGAGGAGGGGCTTACGCCTCGCTCCGCGGTATTCATCCGCCAGCTCACCGCGCTGCACTACCTGTGCTTACATAACAAACGCAAACATTTCCACATATTAAATTTTTTCATGGTTTATGGAAGCAATTCCGTAAAGCCGGACAGTCAATTCCGTAAAGTCGGATCTTCCATAGCCCAGGGACTGCCTGTGCAGCTAAATACTCTCAATGCATGTTCCTAAATGTGGAGGGAAAAGCCGGAGGACCCGGAGAAAAATTCACATGACCACAGGGAGAACATGCACACTTCAAATATGCAGGTGTCAGGATCGGGATCGAACCCACGACCTCTTGTATTCCAGGCGAGATAGTTAACATCTCACCACAGCGGCGCCATACATCTGCTGAGGCTGGAACTTTAACACAGATATGAAAGTGTGTTACCACGTGTGGAGCTGGATAGACAAATGTTTAGTGGGTTCTCCAGTGGGAACCATTTTGTCTTGGCACATTGATCCGTTTATCCCGAGCTGGCCAGCGTATTTCTTGGGGCATTACCAAAATGCACCATCTGGTATGAAATAGACTTAAATGCCCAGTGGCATTATTCGGATTTTAATATTCCAAGGACAACTTCGGCCGGAGAAAATTGCATCACTGAATAAAGGATCCTAAATCGCATCCTTCATTCGGATCTCATCCTAAATTTGATTTGGATATCATCCTCCTCACACAGCCTGGCTTCGGGACTTCCTCCATCTGCCTTTCCCACCTCGTTACCCCAACCTCTCACTCGCTACACTTCGCTCTTGTCTATTGCTGGAATGCCGCTTTTCATTATCAGCCCCTAGCCTAGGCTCATAAGCCTAGGGTAGGGGCTCTGCTTAGCAACTGTGACGGAAAAAAACTTTCCTTTCGTGAAGGTGTCCACGTACGAAGCTAAGATAGGTTAACAGGCTGTTTTGTGGTCGTGTTAGGAAATTGCCTTGCTGTGATTCAATTTTGCAGCACTGGGCTCGATTCTCTGGAGACGTTGGGCTACACGAAGCGCTCGCAAGCCTGGAGGTCCAGCGGTTTCAAGACGAGGGACTCTTGATGCTGGATGAGAGGTGAGTGGTTGACGGGAGGTAAATCGCGTTGGACCGTGAGCACTTTTTACATTCCTGTGCCCCTGTGGGTGAGGGTTGTTGTTGTGTTTGGTAATGCTGCACCATTCCGCCTCAAAGCTTAAGTCAAATGTCAGAGAAACCCCATGTTCAAATGAGTGTGGGTAGCACTCGTGCTCTGATGATGATGACTGTTTATGACGTTTAACCCTGGGTTATAATTTGCATTTCATGGTCAGTGTGGATAACTTGGCAGAGGTCAGAGTTCATGGTTGTAATGTCAATCATTCAAATTTTAGTTGGCATTCACATCAGCCCCCCTCTGCCATTTGGTATGAAATCAATTGTATTTGACTCTCAGTTGTAGAGGTGTCATGATCAAAGGACGAAATGCTCAGCGCAATTTCATTAATTGTTGCGGTTCAGAGTCACGGACTAAATCATCTTTATCTTTTTTTTCACATGATGGTGAACATAGCGGCCACTAGTGGCTGCAAGATCCACGTGAACTCATTACATAAACATATAAGGATAAAAAAAAAACACATTAACTCTTTACACATGCGATTAGATGCATGTATCATGAGCCTAATAAATATAGATCAATGATTTGATGTAGCGTTACACTTGCCACGAATAAATATACCGGTTCTTACCATGGAAAATGGAACTTTTCCCTTGACGGCTCAAAGTTGGCAGCATGCACTGTCATTTGATCATCAGAACAAGGCACAGAACATTGTGTGGCTCGTGTAAGATCTGAAATACACTGAGGCACCACGGTGACGAGACGTTAACTACCTCGCCTCGTTTACAGGGGATTGTGGCTTCGATCCTAACAATGACGCTTCTATATTTGGAGTTTGCGTGTCTCTCTCACCATGTTCGCGTGGATTTTTATCCAGGTCTTTCGGGTTTTCTCTCCACATTTAGAATAAACATGCGTTTAGTGTATTTGGCTGCTGCTATAAATTTACACGTGATAAGCCACTTCGTTGAGCTGTCATTTGTGGCCAGGTCACTTCTGATAAAAGAGCTATGTTGCTCAGTGGGCCTTACCTAGGAAAAGAAAAATAGTTTAATAGTTTAGTTACGTGGATGGTGTGTGTGTGAATGCCTTCAGATTGCTGCGGGAATGGCTCGTGCGTAAATACAACCCCGCAAACACCGACGAATTGCGCTCTGGAGTAGTGAGAAGCTCACAATTCCCCCGTTGCAGCCTCCGCCGTAGCAGATGGCCATCAATCTGAGCAGCTCATTTAGCGCAAACCATTATTGCTGCTCCCTCGGCTTCGTGCCGCTTTCCTGGCCTCGCTCCGTGCGTCCGTGTATGTGCGTGCGCACAGAGCGAGTCGTGCGGTGCACACGCCCACCGTAATCTCCATGTGCACGGTATCGCAAAGTAATCTCCGTGACGCGAGCGCGTGCACTGCGGGTCTGCAGATGCGCCTGACCACCACGCACGTGCGCAGCTTGTGTGTGCTTAGCAAATATTTTCACTGTCGTAGCGTCAAATGGTGGTATCATTATAACACCCCCGCCCCTTCTCCTGCAGCTATTTAAACGAAAGGTCTGGGGGGGTGCTATGCAAGGTACGACTGTGGGTCGCCCCCTCCTTTCTCCCGACTAATTTTTACTGAAATAGCTACAGATGTTCTCACAATTAACTTATTGTGGGTCTTGCTTGCATAGCGGCCCATGGGTCTAGGATTTCTTCAAAGGGGGTGGATCGCACAACTTTATGCTCCTCTATTGATACGATAGCCAGATGTGCTAATTGGGATTGGTCCATGCTATTTTGCAGGTAATAATAATTAATTATTCCTAATATTTTTTTCTTAACATCGTTGTTACTTGTTTATCTGTTCGGGACCCCCTTGTGGCAGACTGGGCCCCTATTCGTTGCATCACACCGCCATATGCCCCCAACCATAGTTGCATCACACCGCCATATACCCCCAGCCATAGTTGCATCACACCGCCATATACCCCCAACCATAGTTGCATCACACCGCCATATACCCCCAACCATAGTTACATCACACCGTCATATACCCCCAGCCATAGTTGCATCACACCGCCATATACCCCCAACCATAGTTGCATCACACCGCCATATACCCCCAACCATAGTTGCATCACACCGTCATATACCCCCAGCCATAGTTGCATCACACCGCCATATGCCCCCAACCATAATTGCATCACACCGCCATATACCCCCAACCATAGTTGCATCACACCGCCATATACCCCCAGCCATAGTTGCATCACACCGCCATATACCCCCAGCCATAGTTGCATCACACCGCCATATACCCCCAGCCATAGTTGCATCACACCGCCATATACCCCCAGCCATAGTTGCATCACACCGCCATATACCCCCAGCCATAGTTGCATCACACCACCATATACCCCCAGCCATAGTTGCATCACACCGCCATATACCCCCAGCCATAGTTGCATCACACCGCCATATACCCCCAACCATAGTTGCATCACACCGTCATATACCCCCAGCCATAGTTGCATCACACCGCCATATGCCCTCAACCATAATTGCATCACACCGCCATATACCCCCAACCATAGTTGCATCACACCGCCATATACCCCCAGCCATAGTTGCATCACACCGCCATATACCCCCAGCCATAGTTGCATCACACCGCCATATACCCCCAGCCATAGTTGCATCACACAGCCATATACCCCCAACCATAGTTGTATCACACCGCCATATACCCCCAGCCATAGTTGCATCACACCGCCATATACCCCCAGCCATAGTTGCATCACACCGCCATATACCCCCAGCCATAGTTGCATCACACCGCCATATACCCCCAGCCATAGTTGCATCACACCGCCATATACCCCCAACCATAGTTGCATCACACAGCCATATACCCCCAGCCATAGTTGCATCACACAGCCATATACCCCCAGCCATAGTTGCATCACACCGCCATATACCCCCAGCCATAGTTGCATCACACCGCCATATACCCCCAGCCATAGTTGCGCTGCTGCCTGCAGCTCCCCCCCCACAGTGAGTAAATTATTCGATTAAATTACGTATTCTTTTGTATCCAGGTTGCCTGTATTGTTTGTATTTTTGTTGTTTCATATGCCTAGTTTGTACAGTTGTGTGTTATGCTTTCGGCCTAAATGTAGAATTCATAATGAAATAACAAAGTATGGACCACCTGAGAAATTCTCGACGATCTTGAGTGTTGTCAACTTATTCAGCCACGTGTCACTGTGGTGTAGCATTGGACAATTGTATAAGCTCAGCCCAAAACAAATTTACTTGCTCTACAGCTCCATTATCCAGTTGTATGCATCTCACCTGCATTGACTGATCACCCTGCGCATGTCCGCTTGTCGTGTGCGAACGTGCGTGCTTGCTTGCCGAGATGACAGGGGTGTGCGGGCTTCGTGGGAAGGCATCGCAGTGCTGGACGCAATGCTCCCGGACCTCCTGCTTGCCCTGCAGCGTCACCACTGGCCGCTCGCTCTACCCCAGCACCAAGGGGGGCAGAGGGTGGGAAGGGCCCAGGGAGGTGGAGAAGCAGGACACGTGTGCGGGACAGCCGGAGTAGGAGACGGGACAACCGTATAGCTCCAACGTTGTACCTCGCGTTGTTCAGCGTGATGTCCGACGTTCTGCTCTAAGTGCCGGGAGCGCCACGGTTGCAAGATGTTAACTGCCTCGCCTGCTATGCAGGAGTTCGTGGGTTCGATGCAGACCCTGACGCCTGTATATTTGGAGTTTGCATATCTCTCTCCCTGTGGTCGCGAGGATTTTTCTTCTCCGCATTTAGAATGGACATGCGTTTACATTATTTGGCTGATATAAATTTCCACGTGATAAACCATTCATTGCGCTATCATTTGTGGCCAGGTCGCTTCTGAAAAAGAGCTATTGGCTCAGTTGCGGAGGAGAAAAAAATCTGGCTGTTGCCTGATGAAGCCAGTTGTAATTACTGGCGAAACGTCGTGCTCAGTTTGTAAATGTTGTGGCTTGGCTCTCCAACACATTTGTGTGCTGTACTAGTGACGAATTGGCATGTTCTGTTTACGTGACAACCCTTACTAGTTGGCTGTGTCGGGTGGTGGCAGGTTTTAACGACACATTTATATATTTACGTGATCTATTATGGATGATATTGATCGCGAAAGCCTTCGTGTTAAACTGGCTCAGTTGGCCTTATCTGGTTTAATAAAAATATTCACATCGTTAATAGCTTCTTTAGAGAGCAATCTGAGCAGCTGATGTTTCTACCTTGATTACCTTGCGTTGCTGCCTGCTGCTGGTGTCTGACATAGGCACTTCGATGTTGTTCATTTGCTTAGTCTGGGAGAAGACCAAGTTGAATGGAACCTCGCTATGCACAGAGCACAATCAGAGCGGTGCGAGAAGTATGAGATTAAAATCGACCACATAAAAACCATTGCCCACGAGGGAAAACAACGGCTCACTTTATTGCGTTTTTGTTTGACGTGTTAAAATTTTCTGCTAAAAGCTGAAGCGTCATTTAACCACAGTAACCTATGCTTCTCATATGTTGCGTTTACAACAAAAAGCAAGATTGCCTTTAATCAATGTTAACTCCCATTGGTTCCATCTCTGGAGCGAAAATAAAGCTGAGCGGGACGGTGGATGTCAGGGTCATGGGATCGCTGCCGCCTCCGGATAGTGTCGGAGCCTGAAGGCTTTTCGCTGATGAATAATGATTCATGTCTAGCGCTTGCGTCATTCGCTTAAATTGCCCCGTGAGCATAATGTTTTACCAAATCCTCCCCTCCCTCCTGCTCACACTCCCGCTCGCTCACTTTTTTATTTATTTAGCGCTCCATTCAGGCACTACATATGGCAAGCAAACACAAGCTCAGAAGTGGCTCTCAATTAAAATACAGCTCAATTTCATCCGGTACAGTGCATTCAGCCGACACCCCTCCTGTTCTCATCAATCGCGAGATAATTATTGTTGCTGCATGGCCCCCACCGCGCACAAGGCCGCCCTCTATCACGGCGGACCAGTTGGCAGGTATCTTTCTAATGCCCTGATTTAAGGCCAACCGCGTGACTGCATTAACGCGTCATTTTCCACGCTTGGAAGCGCTGGCATTATCAGCCACGGCACCGGGCTGCAGCTTCTTGCTGCTTGTCTATCTACAAACACCCAGTGAACGGTAGCTTCTCTCTGACAGAGCTATTCCATTGTAAGTTTTGCATTATAACTGTTAGACAGTTTCAACTTTATTTTACGTCCGACTAAGAATTATTATTTTTCTCAGTTATGCGGTATGACGCAAGCGACAATAGCAACAATCGTTCATGAAGAACTTCATTGAAGTGCTGTGCAAGCATTGCCACAATGTACGGAATTGTGAAATATCCTGTATTATAAAACATACATGTTTCGAACAGTAGGTTGTATACAGAAATATAAAATCGGACAGTCTGGTAATGTGGTGGACGCGTTCACGTTATCAGGTTGTGGGAACTGCATCCAATTAAATGAAATGCTTCTTTTGAAAGGGTCCTTCATATTAATGGGTGGTAATAAAGAACTTCAAACTATAGTAACCATTGTTATCGTTCACGGGAAATAGAGACTGTGAGAGCTATGCATTTAGTTCATAGGAATGAGAACAAAAACAAATTTTTGTCAGAACTGGTATAGAACTGTAAACGAACTGAAACTAATTCCATAAAATGAAACAAACAACACTGACCGCATTTTTTATGCTCCGATTGTTTTGTTGTGATAACCTCTAATATAACTGTAACACATAGTGTATTGAGATTGTAAATACACTGGCCACCACCATGGGAATGTGGAATTTCCATCACTGGCTCCGTTCCACTAAAATAGATGAGCCCTGCTGCGTTGACACTTAATGAATAAACGGATGACAGGAAGACTCTAAATAGAGAACTTCCTATCAGCAGACACCACTTCCCTTGCGGATAATTTTTTGTTATGCTATGAATCGACTGTTATTCGTTTTCCACATCAACAGTAGCTCAGAGGTAAAGTTCAACATCAACTTTTTTTGCTTTTTTACGTAACACCAGGCTGGCTTTGGTCACAAGCCAGAAGCGCATGGCTCAATTCCAGGAAGAGAGCGAGGCAATAGTTGTGTTGTCGTTCAACTTGTGCGTGAATCCACGTCAAGTTGCAGGCTTCAGCCCTCCGTCTCTCGAGCTGCTCGCAGGAGTGCATATATCATTCGACCGGGGTTTTAAATCAATATCCTCTTGCCGATCTAAACGAATATTGGCTCCCCCCAAATATTGATTCCCTCAGGAACAAATATTTGGGTAATATTTGTACCTTCAGCGAATGAGGTATTTATTCCCACCAGGAAATATTTGTTATGCAACATCACCAGGCGAACACGTATTTACTTTAGGGGAGGTTAGCGACATTGGGTAGAACTAATCATCAAACATGAGAAAGTAAAACTTCAGTTTTTGGAAAGCAACTTTTATTAAAATTAAGGGTTTTCTTGAAAATGCATATCTCGACTGGAGCAAATATTACTTTGTTCAAAGAAATAAGGGTTTATAAATATAAATCTTTGAAAATGGAACCAATAGTCTAGAATATTGGTTATTAACAGGACTTAATAGTCCTTTCTGGGGCAGCAAATATTTTCTTACTTTTCCATTTTAGTCATTAATACTGTACTTATCAACATAGAACACTGATTAGTATAAGTGGGTACATCAAAGGAGTGTCGCTGTTACATTTGTAGTGAGTCCAACTGAGTCGCAGACGTTATATTGGGAGCAACACTATTTATTATACAACAGCACACAATATAACACGATCTACACTCGGGTCTCGAATGCCCATCTAACCACGCTACGGAAGAACTAGACACGGTTCGCTATCCCGGTCCGGACCACGAGCTGGGTCCCGGACCACGTGGCTAGAGGCTTCTTCTGCCCGACGTGGATCTTCATAACAGCAGCACACGAAGAGCTCGAGCTCCTCACGGGGCCCCGGGCCGGGGCTGGCTCCCCCCTTCGCCCCGCCCACCTTCCAGGTCTCTCGAGCTCTTTCTCAAAGGTTCCCGAGAGCTCTTTTGGACCACGTGACCGCCCCGCAGCCCCCCTCCACTGGTGGCCCCCCTCCAATAACATCCAGTCACATGTCAGCAGGTCAACCAGCGTATCATGCCCCAACATAACCCTGGCTGGCTGACGCTCCCTCACCGGGAGTCCGCATCGCACACTGCTCGCGGTGCTTCCGCGCTAACCAGCGCTCACCCAAGCCCCACTAGGGCTGGTACTACACCCCGTAACCTGGGCTGCCCATAATGACAACACATTATCCGCCGTCGCTTCTTAAGCCCCGGCACCATACAGTGACAACCACAGTCACTACACATTGACCAAAGCATTGGGGTTAATGCAAAACAAAATGGCCGTCCCAAAACGCCCATCTGTGCCGTCACCGCAGGAGCTGTGACCAACAAGTTCCTTGCATTTTCTCATGTTTTCATGCTCAGGGAAATGTATCGTGACTTTGTCTTGAGCTGCTTGGGCCATGTTTTTCTCCCAGCTGCCACTCGTGAAATATTATTATTTACCTTTTGCATAGTTTCAGGGATTTAAATTTCAGTTGCTGAGCAAAGGGCCAAAATGCCAAGTGACCAGCAACAAGCAGCACTGTTAAAGGTGTAATCAATGAGTTAATACATTTGTAGTGACATCAGGGATGTCCCTACATTGCGGACAGCACCGTGTGGATTGCTGTGTGAGGCCGGCTCTAGCACAGCACGGCGTGCGATGCACTATCATCGCGTATACCCTGTAGGCGGGTGTAGTACCAGCCCTAGCGGGGCTTGCTGAGTGCTGAGATAGCGCGGGCACCACGCATAGCGTGTAGTGCGGGCTCCCACCAGGGGGAGTGGGAGAGTGTCAGCCCAGGAGCAGGGTTGCCCCAGGCCATGGCACTTTGGTTGACCCCCCGTAGACACGCGATCCGGAGTGTCCACGGAGAGGGTCCCAGGTGGGGGGGGGGGGGGGGCCTAGGGGGTGATCACGTGTCCGGGGAGAGCTCTCGAGAGGGATCGGGAGGGAGCTAGAACGCTCAAGAAGGTGGGCGGGGCCAAGGGCGGGTGGCCCCGACCCGGGAGGATATAAGGTGGGTTCCTGAGAGGGACCGAGGTCGCTGCATTCTACAAGCTGGAAGCTCCACGTCTACAAGCTGGTCGGGGACCCGAGTGAGGGTCTGACCCTTCGTAGCTGTTACTCCTATGTATAGAGTAGTTAGCTGGGTGGTCACCACCCTAGGCTGTATCTGGTGAAGAGGTAGTTACCCCTTTGTGTTAACGGGTTGATGTTAGAATAAAAGTGTTGCCTCTAAAGAACGTCTGCGACTCAGTTGGACTCACTACACATTTGTTGAATTGAGGAAGAGTGGCACTCTGGTTGTGAATTTTCTGTCCAATTCCTAAAAACACCCAGATGACTTTTCCATTCATCATCAGCAATTTTTTTATGGCGTCGTGCTAATGCATGGCGACCTCCACTTATTACACAGATTTCGATATTCCTACAGTGAGGGAAAAAAGTATTTTATCCCCTGCTGATTTTGTACGTTTGCCCACTGACAAAGAAATGATCACTCTCTAATTTTAGTGGTAGATTTATTTGAACAGTGAGAGACAGAATAACAAAAAAAAATCCAGAAAAACGCATGTCAATACTGTTATAAATTGATTTGCATTTTAATGAGGGAAATAAGTATTTGACCCCTCTGAAAAACATGACTTAGTACTTGGTGGCAAAACCCTTGTTGGCAATCACAGAGGTCAGACGTTTCTTGTAGTTGGCCACCAGGTTTGCACACATCTCAGGAGGGATTTTGTCCCACTCCTCTTTGCAGATCTTCTCCAAGTCATTAAGGTTTCAAGGTTGACGTTTGGAAACTCGAACCTTCAGCTCCCTCTACAGATTTTATATGGGATTAAGGTCTGGAGACTGGCTAGGCCACTCCAGGACCTTAATGTGCTTCTTCTTGAGCCACTCCTTTGTTGCCTTGGCCGTGTGTTTTGGGTCATTGTCATGCTGGAATACCCATCCACGACCCATTTTCAATGCCCTGGCTGAGGGAAGGAGGTTCTCACCCCAGATTTGATGGTACATGGCCCCGTCCATCGTCCCTTTGATGCGGTGAAGTTGTCCTGTCCCCTTAGCAGAAAAACACCCCGAAAGCATAATGTTTCCACCTCCATGTTTGACGGTGGGGATGGTGTTCTTGGGGTCATAGGCAGCATTCCTCCTCCTCCAAACACGACGAGTTGAGTTGATGCCAAAGAGCTTCATTTTGGTCTCATCTGACCACAACACTTTCACCCAGTTGTCCTCTGAATCATTCAGATGTTCATTGGCAAACTTCAGACGGACATGTATATGTGCTTTCTTGAGCAGGGGGACCTTGCGGGCGCTGCAGGATTTCAGTCCTTCACGGTGTAGTGTGTTACCAACTGTTTTATTAGTGACTATGGTCCCAGCTGCCTTGAGGTCATTGACCAGATCCTCCCGTGTAGTTTTGGGCTGATTCCTCACCGTTCTCATGATCATTGCAACTCCACGAGGTGAGATCTTGCATGGAGCCCCAGGCCGAGGGAGATTGACA